AGTCGATTTCTTGGTGTTATTTGAATATTTCGAGTTTGTCCAAACTATCATCAAAATATCAACTTTTCATGAATTGAGAGTACTGATGTACTTAATTTCAATTAAGGCTATGTTTTGGATCATATTTAGCACAATTTATTTTTTATCCCGAAAACATATAGATATAGGTATAGGACATTATTAACAAAAAAGTATTAAGATACGATTCCAAAAATGTATTAATATACGGGGTGTTCCATTTAAAAAAATATAATTGCTAGGACTTTTTAATAGAAGTGGCAACGCTGCAATGCTGAAAATATTTTAGATCGATAGAACAGGTAAGGAAATGTGAGAGGTGAAATTTTCAGAAAAATCATGCTTTGCGTTTTCCAGAAACGTGTAACCTATCATCGACCGTGAGTCACGCTGTATATAGGCCTGCGAGTCTGAGGCTACTAGATTCTATCCAGAAAAAAGCCATCCCCGTCATTGAAGACTCAAATATCATACTCAACCTCGATAGCCTCGAACATGAAACAAAGAATCTCAATTCCAACTAGAGTTATATATGTCAGACGTTCGTGGCAAAATACAGCTGCCCATCGCTTTGAGTTTTAACTCGACACACCTTGAACTATACTTTTAAAGAACTTTCATTTGGAAAATCATGATTTTATAAAATTAACTCCACACATTTTCGCAGAGGTACCGCTTTGTGAGCGTTTCAAGGATTTTCCAGCATTGCTTCTGCTGTATTGAAAAAATGACGAATGAAATGGAATAAATAAGTGATCAATAATAGAACAAACCCAGCTGAACGGCTACAATCAGTGATATTTCAAAACATTTCAAGTTCACACCAGGTAATCAATGATCCTTGATAATTTTTATTGCCCAGTTGCACGAGTACTACTTTGAAATCAATTGATTGCACAAACTAAAACAGCAGATATCATCATTTATTTATCACAACAACAAAATCTGAAATTTTCGTTTACTTTTCCATTGCCACCATTCTTAGTTCATTTATATGTTCACATACCTATGCCAAATTTATTGTAAACGAGTTCTACGCTGATTATATCAACTTGATAGAAAACATATTTTGAACAAGGAAGTATTAGAAGTAACAAACCAATCTTGGAAGGTTCAGTAAAATTAATTCATGAAAAATTTTAACGGAAGTGGACCCAAATGAAATCCTTGGGGCACTCCTGAAGAAATTAGGACAGAGACATTGTACGTTCCAATTAAAAATGAATTACAATAACATCTCGATGGTGTCAACTTAGTTATCAAAACCTACGTCGTGAAAAGTTTGTCGCATTTCTGGTACCTAAACAAAAAAGTAATTTTCTCAGATTCATTTGAAACCGAAAACTCCGGTTGTATCCAAAGATGTACGCTGTCTGTTCAAAAAATTAATTGAATTTTCATTTTTCGCAAAAAATATTCACTCATTCATCAATCTCTAATTTGTCCCCTTCAAGCACAATACACTTGTATCAGTGTTTTTTCTAATCATTCAATCTTGGGAGTAGGAACAAGTCGCAGGGGGGCAAATCTTGTGAATACGGTGGCCCAGGCATGATCACGGTGTTGTTTTTGGTCAAAAAATTACGATCAAGGGTGCATCCGCATTAGCGGATGTTTTCTTCGTATTGATTATTGCAAGCTTCAAGATATATATACGACTATGTGGCAAGAACTCCTGATGCAATACGCCAAGGACATTCGATCGAACTTGGCGTGCGTTTTTTGATCTTGGCTCTCCTGTGCTCTTCCATTGGGACGACTAGACTTTGGTTTCGATGTTATAACTAGATACTCATGACCATTCATGATCCTTGTAAGCAAATCTTGATCAACAATTACTGAGCAATGCTCGTGCGACGTTTTTTTTTGTCAAAATTCAGCAATTTTGGAACAAACTTCGCTGCCACACGTTTCATGTTCAAACAGCCGTAAAATTGTAAGGCTTGAGCCAATCGATACGCCGACATCCTCAGCAACTTCTCTAATGGTGATTCGACAATTACATAACAATTTTCTTCACTTTCATAGGTTATAGGTAATCTTCATAGGTTACTTGTAGTGCACTGTTTGGAACCTTTGTTGTAGTAATGCATATTATTGGTGTTTTATCCCAACAGCAAACCGTTATTTCAACACCTCGACACGTGTTTCGATCACCAAGTGACCATCTTTAAGTGGAAGATCAAACAGGAAGAGGAAGATTAATCTTCCTCTTGAAGATGATCGAAACGCGTGTCGAGGTGTTGAAATAACGGTTTGATGTTGGGATAAAACTCCAGTAATATTCATTTTCATAGGTTTCTGATGTACTGGGGCGTTCAAGGCCACTTGTGAACAGTTTTCCTACTCAGAGTACAATCACCGTATGCTACTGTCAGAATTTCAAATGTTTTTGAGCACTTGATTCCATTTTTCACACAGAATTTGATGCAAATTTTTTGATCAATTTTTTTATATCAGAAAATTACCGAACACACAAAACACTTCTAATTTTCATGCCTCCCACCAACAAACTAAACAGCTGAATCTGTGAAAATATGTTCGAGTCGAGTGTAACCACATAAAAAATTAAAAAAAACATTCAACTTTTCAGGGGTTTGGTAAACCTCATCGACAACAAATCTTATTATTTGGACACTGAAAATGTTCGCCGCTGGATGGAGAGTGTCGTAACGCGTGCCCTAAATACTTTCAACAAGAATACTGATGGACGTTACATTCTGAAAACTTCTGAGGGCCCGTTTTATGTAAGTAACTGAAAAAATGGTTTTGACCGTGAGTTTCGATGCAGAATTCAGCGAGTATTTTGCAAATTTCGATCATTCGCTAATTGTATTTTTCATTTGATTATATATTCGACTTTCAGGCAAAAATATGCAAAGGGGGTCCAGCGTTCACGATGAAAGTAGAGGGAAATATATCCAACAAAAAAATAGTGCTCGATATAGACCTTGTGCCTTGTTTTATCTTAGGAAAGGATACATGGCCTAGCAAACCATTCAGGCAAAATTCTGTAGAAACTAAGGTAAAAATGTCATTCAATACTTCAACTTCAGTAATGTTTTCAACTACTGTCATGAATATGATACTATTAACAACTTTTTCCTTTAAAAATATATAAAGTATGACTTTTATCACCAGAACAGTTGAGCCCATCAATGCATTCATGTTTCAGCCTAACTCCACTGACAGCAGGTCGAACAGCGCTATCTGGTGTTGGATTAAAACATTAAAAATACAGTATGACATACTGTAACAAATTAATAAAGTAATTGTCTTAAACAAATTTATTTTCAACAATATTTCACTAATCACAAATTAATTTATTTATTACAACACTTAGCAACTAACGCTTAATTTATTTCCACTATTTGAATTTCTAGCCGCTCGATTCACTTTCTGAACTGCCCTCTTGGGTCGGGAAGCCGGGCTTATATAATGTAACGGTCCTTTCTAGAAATCTGTAGTCGGTTCGGTACTCGACTAGAGTTTTACCAACGGTTGCATTCTTTCGGGGTGATGTCATGTGTTTGCTGAGTCGGCCGGCATATCGGTCAGGAGCGGCTTCAGATTCGTTACAATACTTTGCCTATTTATTCAAATAGGCAATTTATTTAAATATTAAACGGTCTTCCTAGAACTCTTCTGAACTATAATAGGGTCTAACCACACATGGTCCAGTCATTTTAGGGGGTTTGCCCAGCTGTAAATTTGTATAAACTTTGTATTTTGGCATCATAAAAGTATTCTCAAAATTCACGATTCGACGGCCGCAACTTAAAAAATTGGGGGTCAAAAGTTGAAAAAACGACTTTTTACACGTTTTTTTGCCAATATCTTGTTAAATTGTCTACAACTTTTGTTTCAAGCATTTTTTCATACGTTTAATCGTTTTTGAGATAGAGGGCAGCGCGAGCGCAGATTAAATATAATTTGTAATCAACTGGTTGTCCGATTGAAATCACCTCATTTAAGGTTTATAAATTATTACTTAATAAATAATTATAAATAATTTTCATCTTTCATTAACAAATACATTATATTTAAATATTTTATTCAATAATTATTTTCAATTAAATATCAATTTTTGTTTGAAGGTGATTGACAATGTTTCATGATGAATTTCACTAGTTCGGACTTCCATTGTCTACTATATAAAATGATATGAAAACCCTGAAACAACTAAAAAAGAAGAATGAAAATGAATAGCTGAAAATAACAATTATATTACCCAAAATAAACCTGAAATGAAATAATAGTGAAATAAAATACAAGTAAAAATAGAACAATTGAATAAATAAAAATAAAGAAATGAAAAAATAAAATAAAAATAAAAAATAAAAAGTGGAGAGATTTCAAGTCACGTTAGTTCACGACGTTTCGATTGTTAGTATCTACAATCTTCTTCGGGTGATGACTGGACTGATTCCTCCGAGAGATGACTATTTATAGGTCGTTCGAGTACTTTCACTTATCCCCGCTTTCCATTTTCCGCTTCACTGGTTCCGTGGAAGATGACCGTTTTGGCGGGAGTTGGCAATTTTTCGCTTGATGATGGGTTTCCATATGTTGCGTATTTCTACGCTGGCTTGGCTGAATACGTTGTTGGACAACATATATGCGGCTTCCTTGAATGTTCTCCTCAACTAATGTTCCTCTCTGTGCAAGATCTCAGCTTGGGACCACTCGATGTTGTGTTGATGGGTCTGCTATTCCTGATTTGCTGGTTTCCCCTCGCTGTGTGTTTTTCTTGTGCTCGGCAATGCGAACATTCAATGGCCTCTTAGTTTCACCAATATAGGATTTTCCGCACTCACAGGGTATCCGGTAAATGCAATTCTTGGAATCGCAGTCCGCGTTCGGTGGCCTGGTTTTCGTGAGGCTGCTACGGATAGTGTTACCGGATCTGAAGCAGGTTCTGATGTTGTACTTGGAACCAATTCTTCTTATCCTCTCCTTCTCGCAGCTGTAAAAATTCAAGGGCCTTATCATCTTCACTGTCATCTTCACCCAGATTCGTTTCCAATTCTTCCATGATTTCTGGATCGAAGGACCTATCTTCGTTAACATCGGTCTCATATGGTACAGCATTGAAACAAGCTTGCCCATTACACGGGCCACAAGCTAAAGAGCATTGCAACCCCGCTTTCCTGCATCCACAACCACAACCACTTTTGCAGTTACAAAATATCGTATTGAGTAACTCATCTGGAGCAGGTGGTAAAATGGTCATGATAGGTTCTAGCAATCCGTAACGCATTGTCCAACCCCATTCCTGGGGTTCCAAATCATGTCCTAACCAAGTTTGAACTTGATAATAAACACGATTAAAATGTTGGTGAGCTGCTCCACTTGTTGGTGGGATATTTGATAACTGCACAGGTTTATTGAGCTTTGTTAGCTTGACATATTTTGCATAACGAAGATGATCTACAGACTTTGGAGCATTATAAACAGCTAATAAAGTTTGAAATCCACTATCAAATAACCTTTGAACCGGGAAGTTTTCTTCTTCAAATGCTACGGCAAGTTCATACAAATTAGATAGTTTCTCGAATGTTCTTAAAAACGGTTTTTTTTCCTTTTTTAAAGAGCGCAGAAGTTGTATCACAGCCACGTAAAGCTTATACCGGCTGCAAGGTATGAATTTTAAAATTATAAAAGAATTTCAGAGTTTAGAAATTTTAAACAAGATTTGCGGCCGTCGAATCACATGTGAATTTTTAGAATACTTTTATGATGCCAAAATACAAAGTTTATACAAGTTTACAGCTGGGTATGTCAACAGGCCTAAATCGACCTAAAATGACTGGACAAATATACATTTTTATCGATTTCCGAAATTTACAGTTATCCTCTAAATGTTAATATGGCCAGGTAAATAATTAAATATTTTAAGGCTGTTCTAATAAAAGGAGTATTTGACCAGAGCAGAGGATGGGATGGGTGATCTTAGGTCATTAGTTTAACGAAAGGCATAATTATTGGAGTAGTCGCTAAATATCAGATTGTTTGTTGATCAAACAGATATTTCCAAGATAAAAATTCCAAAAACTGTCAAACGCTTGAGTAGTTCAAAAAAGGGTTTGCAGGCGTCTCAAATTTTGGCATTACACATGAATATTATAGCCTTTTCTGTAAAAAACAGTCTGCAATTGAGTTTTGCAACATGAAGGGAATTCCAGAAGGGAATTCCATACCTCAAATTAGAACCATGTTCCTTACCAAGTTGTTCTCACTGCAAAACACACTTCTTATTGATCGGCGAATTTAAGTTCGTTGCCAATTATTACCCCAAAAATTTAGAACTAGCTGTGTTTTCAATCATCTTGTCTGCGTCACTTTTGTTAATTGTATGCTGTCAATAAAACAGCAGAATGTCAAGTTTGTTTTGGAAATATTAAATGACAGCAGATTGGAGTCACACCAGTTGTTTATTTTTGTTTATATCTCAGCCTACAATCTCGTGGAGATTACCCCATTATATTGTTGTATTACCAACGAATCTGTTAAATCGTTTATATAAAACAAGAAAAGTACCGGTCCCAGTATTGAACCTTGTGGTACGCCACTTTTCATTTCGCCTTCTGACGAGGACGATGAGGTTTTTATAATCTGACTTCTGCCTGTCAGATTATTTTTGAACTATTTATGAGTAATTCCACGGATGCCATAGTGATAAATTTTTTTAGCAGTGTTCCGTGATCTACACAGTCAAAGGTTTTGGTAAAGTCACAGAACACTGCTGCTGATGATGATATTATTAAAATATTTTCATAAACGTTGTATGTTAACGAAAAGATAGCGACATGTGTCTTCTTTGTTTGATTGATGACAATAAAATTTGATAAGAAAACGATGCTTATGAGCTTTAATGAAGGAGATGCAGTAAAAAACTTCACCAACTATAACAGATATAATTTGGTGTGAAAGTTTCTCCTGAATTGCATACACCATGGCATGGTCGTTTTTCGATAATCAAGAAAAGAAATTATCTACTGTACAGAACTCGGTTATCACCTAGAAACGGACCCAATGAGATGTTTGTTGTTCCGGGCTAAAAACACCACTTGTTTAAGTCTTTCTAATCTACTTCGTATTCACATCACTGCCTTTCTGGTTTTTTTCCCTAGAACACTCTATAAAACATATTCACGGAATTTTCGAAATAAGTTTTTCTCAAATATCGAGGGAAAATTCAGACATGAAGAAAACTTTGGTTCTTTGGTAAAGATACTCACCTACAATGTTGAATCATTTGTGAGGCAGCATGTAAACTTTCACAACAGAAGAAAACTGGGTTTGTTAGCCGTGGTCTGCAGGTTTTTAAGCAGGAAGACAACTAGAGCACTTCCTCCGTTGTCTGATTCTTGTATACCGCAGCCATTGATGAAATTGGCAATATTTACACAATATCCTGTTCCAAAAACAAGTCAGACAAAGAATTATTTAATTTATGAAAGTAAAAAGTTGTATAATAACATACCTTGCGAAATTAGGGAGGAAAAATGCTATGAATCAGAATCTTGTTAAAGATGCCTTTGCAACAAAAGCCTACTACAATCTTGATGAATATTATAATGGAACTTTGCTGTGATTCAATATATGTTGTTTTTTTTTGTTGTTTATATTGACACCTATACTTTAAATTATTTATACTGGGATATATCGTATTTTATTTCTGTGACATGTGAACTTATGTTCAAATTGTGTTTTATATATTTTCTGTTATCAAAAATGTGAACTTAGTTTTGCTCAAATTGTGTTTCTGGGTATTTGTATTTTTGAATTGTTTATTTTCTTTTATTCTTTGACGTGCTATACATACCAGATTTTTGTACAAGCTTTGTCAATAAGATTGTATTGTCTTGGACAATAAAGTATATGTCTATCTATCTATCTGATATACAAAGGACATGACCATATAATCTAGGCTTTGCCAATACGACCTACATTCAGTCATCGATGAATGTTCGTGAAAGTTATAAATCATTTTCAGCCAGAATATTTCATTGTACCAAAACCGCTGAAAGATGTAGCTAACAGCAGCCGATACTGGCGACTGTCGTTCCAAGAACAGGAAAGGGAAATAATGGAAGGCAAAAGAGCTCTAAAACCAACAATCAAACTATTGAAGGTTAGTAAACAAATGCATTATAGATTAGCTCAAGTTATGAGTTAAGATTGAATTGAACTTACTTACTGATAAGATTTATTTTGGGTGGTACTGGAGATCAAAATGAATCTTGTAAGTTACGAGTGAAGCTTATAAAGATACACTGTAAATTATTACTCATCGTTTATTTGTAGTAAAATATCGAGTAGGTAAATGATATAAGTGTGTTACTGTGTGTCAAACTTGAAATTTGCCAGTGGAAATATTTTGAAAACGAAAAAAAACCCATCAAAATATTCAAGAGAACCAAGCGTATGAACAAATTTCTATACTCTCATCCCCCACTTCCTAACAACAGTTTTGAAAATGCTCCTCAGCAGTACAGAATATTGTAGATGTCATTTTCAAAAATCATCCAAAAATGTAACACATCATATTAGATAATTTCAGAATTAGTAACTCACTTTGTTAGACCACTGTCAAGGTCATTTTATTTTATTTTTTTTTTTTGTAAAGTAGACATTCAAAAAAGTTTTCGAACAACTAAAAAATTATTTTGTCAAACATTTATATTTATAAAATAGTTTATAGGTAGGTGCCTTTATTAAATTTAACTTACATTGTTTTCAAAATGCTGTTTGGTAATACGATTAAAAAGAAATACAAATGAGTGTCAAAAACAAATAAAATGTATTCCAGAAAAAAAATAAGAAAAATGTACATTAATAGTGAGTACGTCCACCCCTGGCTCTAAGAAATTCGGCACAACGACGAGGCATGCTTGCCACCAAAGTTCTAATTATTTGTTGTGGTAACTGCTAGTAATTCGTCAAAAGAGCATCTGCAACTTGGTTCAGATTTTGGAAGGGCTGATGACCGTTCAAACATCTTTCCAGTTCATCCCAGAGCTGCTCAATAGGATTTAAATCCGGACTACTAGCTGGCCATCTCATTACATTAATATTGTGCTCCTGTAGGAAATTTCTCACGACCCTGGCTACGTGTGGCCTGGCATTATCTTGTTGTAAAATGAACCCAACGCCCAAATGGCAAATGGGACGACATGAGGTTCCAATATATCCTCTATATAACGGACAGCCGTTAAAGTCCCTTCCCAAAATACCACAAGGTCCGTGTGTCCTGCCAAAGTTATACCAGCCCATACCAGTATCGATACACCTCCAAATGGAGCAATTTATTTCACACAGTCATCCAAATAGCGTTCACCGGGACGTCTTCATACCACGTCCGTCATTGTTGAAAAACATGATTTTTTTTTCATCTGTAAACATTACATTGGCCCACTGCTCTAAATTCCAATTACGATGCTCTTGACAAAAGTTTCTACGATTTCCTCGATAAGCTGGAGTTAATCTAGGGACTCTAGCAGGTCGTCTTACATGGAGTTGTACTACTTCGTGAAGTCGGTTCCGTATCTTTTGGTTTGAAATTCGCGTTCCCGTAGCTTCTATAAGGCGATTTTGCAGTGTTCTAGCAGAATCGGTGCGACCCCTAATTGCCCAAAGTCGTAACAAACTATCTTCTCTGCGGGTTGTTGCCCTTTGTTGTCGATTGGGATAAGGGGCTCTTTTTACTATGCCGTAAATATGCGATTCCAAGCTCTGGAAACCGCAGAATGACTCACATTAAGCATTTGGGCTACACGACGCCTTGGATACCCTACTCCGATCAATGCCACAGCTCTAGCAACTTGAAATTCGTTGAGGGTACTCCTGTTGGAATTGAATCGCTTTTTTTTTCTTTTTTTTTGTTACTAAGCAAATCTCACAATGAGAATTCCTCAGAGCATACAGAAACTATTTTTTCTAATAATAGTAAATGCTTAAGAGTAACTTAATACCATCAATAGTATTATGTTGTTTCAAAAGTTTTGTCCGTTTTAATGTCATGTGTTTTTGTAGCTCCATATCTCAATAAATATTTATTCTACTGCGTCGAGATGTATAATGATCGATAAAGAATTTTGTACTTTATACCGTACTCGTTAATGCACTGTTTGGAACCTTTGGTGTAGTAATGAATATTTCTGGAGTTTTTCACAACACTGAACCGTTACTTTAACACCTCGTGTTTCGATCCCCAAGTGACCATCTTCAACAGGAAGATTAAACTAAATATACTTACAATGTTATCCTTATTTATACCACAAATACCTCTTCTAGGTATCTACGTCTCAAGTGTCTTAAATTAATTTTGTGATATTGTCTTATTTCCTAATCTTAAATTAGTTTTACAACGTGTCTTTATGTAATAGTCAGGTAAATCTAATAATAAAAATATGATTTCAACAAGCTATATAGTATACTATGGTGTTGGTCCACCATCGTCATTCATAATATTATTATGTTTACTTATTTCTACACTCTCAAAGGCATCTAGTTGCCTGTTGTTGTTAACTTGTCTAAATAATCTTAACGAACTGAAGTCTATGGAATGGTTTTGTTGTAAAATATGATGAGCGACTGCTGATTTTTCAGGTCTTCCATATTTTAAGTGTGCTATGTGTTCCTTATATCTTATTTTGATAGATCTTTTTATCTGTCCATAATATTTTGCATCACAGTTCTTACATTCAATTTCGTAAACTCCAGACTTTTCCGAATTCTCGACTTTGTCTTCTGGATTTCTCGAGGGGTATTGAAGATGATATAATAAAGAATAAAAAGTTTAGGCAAAGAATGAACGAAATATTGACTTTTAAAAACGACGAAAACCAAGATAAATATATCTCAGTTTCATACCACCAATATACGAATAAGGAAGATCAAACTACCTCTTTCACTTGAAGATAATCACTTAGTGATCGAAACACGTGTCGAGGTGTTAAAATAACACCTCGTAATAACAGTAATATTCAATAAAAGTATGTCTATGGATCGCTTTAAATTAAAATGAAATACTGAACATTGTGGTCGTTAAAAAATAATGACCAATTACTGGTTTCAACTTAATATTTTCAATTTTTGGGTGGAACCATTCAATTTTTTTTAGTGAAACATATTCATTTACGAATCGTTTTTAATAATAATAAAGGTCTTATTTCCCATCGCTAATACATATAAATCAAATTCATTAAAAAAATAATAATAAAAAAAACATCAATACATTGGGAAAACACCGAATATCAGGTGGTCTGATATCTGGTGATAGACAGACCTCCGTTATTATTCTCAAGCGTAAGGTGATATAATAGTGAAACGAGTGAAAATAATAGAGAAAAGTAAGAAAAAAAAAATTTAATTTGGCAGACACATATCTATGTATATCTACTCACATCTTCCTACCAACATATATACAACATATACATCAATCTAATTTATACTTGTATTTGATTGTTCATCAAGAAGATGAGTTTTCATTCTTTTTTTAAATACTTGTTCACTCAAAATTTAATTATAAACCTTCGACACTTGATAAGAAAAGGATCTTCCATATGTGTTTGTTCTATGAATTGGAGGTGTAATAGTGCCTTTGAAACGAACGTTTATATTATTGATATCCTCTCTGAAAGAAATTTTGTTCGGAAGGTTTTTGAGCTGATAATTTTGTGAAACAGACAAGATGAATGTAATAATCTTGAGATGTAGAATAGGAATGCAAATGTCTATCAGTGCACATTTCGTATACTTATTGTAAAGATATTGTTTTATTTTGAAAACTTAATCAGGCTTTTTCATTCCTTTGAGAATCGTATGTTATTTGTGATAACTTTTGGTTTCTTTTAGAGATTGAGAGACATTCAAAACCACAAGTGTATAGCCAGCTACTACATTAAAACTGTTTCTTTATGGCAAACGGATAAAAGAGATCGAGAATTTTGGAATAACTCGTTGAGTGTCGTTTTTATGAATGTGAGTATAACACTATTCATGATACTAATTGCAAAATTTCACAATATATATTGTGTTTCAATAGGCGTTTCACTACATAGTAGCATCATCAGTTGGACTGGTCCAGTCCAATTGAGGATGCTACAATAATATTAACAATAATAGCATTTGTTTGAAGGTGGGTGACAATGTTTCGTGGTGTATTTCATCAGTTCGGACTTCCATTGTCTAATATAATATAAATTGATTTGAAAACCCTGACAAAAACAATTAAAAAAATTAATAAATTTAATGTTTCCCAATTATAGAGCAAAAATTAACAATTCAATTATACACATTATAGCACTAGTTCATTTAGACTATACATAATTAAGGAATATATTGCTAAAATACAAATCATGAAATTATAAAACAACAAAAATTAATCACTCCGGGGCGACTTCACTGATTCCAGTGACACATTTGCTTTTCGGCTGCCCGGAAAAACCTGCAGCACTACATCATTTGAAGATCTTGATCTGCCAATGTCCTCTCTCTCAAAAAAACAAAATGTAGGGAGTCTCCAGAGGCTCCAATAATTTTTATAATTTCATGATTTAATACTATACATGATTAATAAATATCCATAACTCAAAAATGTGCATGAGATTTATTTTTCAGCTTGCATATACTACAATAAAAGATATTACATAAGAGCTGGTTTGCAGTACTGCACATCAAATTCACTGATGATTTCAACTATTAACTGGCTTGAACTGTTTTGCACAAAAAAGTGGTATTATTTCTAGATGTTTATCTTAGTAAAAGAAAATATATTGCAGAAAGTAATTCTAATTACCATTCTACCATTCAACATTTGCTATGCGGAAGATGTATCAACAGTAGAAGCAGACTCAAATGCTAACGATTTTAATGGACCTATGTTCTGGAACAGATAATGATGCTGAAACTTGGTTTACTTCAAATTATCTCAAACTAAACAGGGATAAGACACAGAAAATTATAATGTCATTAAATAGACAACTAAAGAAGAAGCAACATGTAGATTTATTGGGGTTTAAAATTGATGACATGTTAAATTGGGAATGACATGTTAAATTGGGAAGCACATGTTGCTGGTCTGTGCAAAAAACTTTCTACACAACTGTTCCTACTAAGACAGCTGAAAATGTGTCTTAGTCAAAGTATGCTATTACAGACATACTTTTCTCTTTTTAACAGCCACCTAACATATGGCATACTTTTATGGGATCGGTCTTCACATGTAATTAAAGCCTTTCGTATGCAAAACAAACAATCCGGATCATAGCCAATGTTTCTTACAGAGAATATTGTCGTCCTCTATTTCAGAAACTCAAAATTCTACCCTTGTCATGTATTTTCACACTCTATAACATTTTAGAGATTCACAAAAATAATACTAAGTACCTTACTAATGCTGACTTTCATAATTACCCTACTCGAAGAAGTGCACACCTGAGACCTCAATTTTATAGACTGGATCTATCACCTGGAAATTAACTCAACTTACATTTATACAATAAAATACCAACAGACATTACCAGTCTGAGTTATAACCGTTTGAAGGCTAGAGTTAAGCACTTGCTATTAAGGCACTGTTTCTATTCCATCGACGAATATTTGAATTGGGAGACAATAATCTTTTAATATGTTAAATGTGTTTTTATTTTCAAACTATTTTAGATGTAATCAGTGTGGATAACCACAACTATAGTTCAATTATTGTTATTCTTGTTTTGTCAGTTTGACTTGTCACTATTGTACATTTTGCAGTTAATGTGATGAAATAAACATATCCATCTATCTATGTAAAAACGGACAGATGCTTATTTACTTTTTTTGCAAGAAATACAAGATCGAATGTTCGCAATAGTTCGATATAACTGCCATTTCTTTAAAGGTACACGTTAGTAGTGGATATTGGAAATAAAATCTATATTGTAAAAATTTGTAATAATCATCATGTGTGTCACCAAATTTGCAAATTAGAGATGTTGAAACATTGGATGAAACTGTCATTTGGTGTATTTGAAGAGAGCTTCCCTTCTGCTAAGTTTTTTTAAAAAAAGTTGATGTACAACCTTCACGAAATTGCATGTCTGTTATAAGCACGACTGGATGGAATTTTTCTATAAAGTAAATCATGAAATTACTGTTGGAACTGTTCACTCAAAAATTGCCTTTTTGCCTATTTTTGGGGAATTGAAAACGTTTTTGGTGGAATGTACAAAGAACAAGATGAATTTTCATAGAAGACTCTATAATCAGAAAGTTATACATGACTATTCTTCAAAATGGCAGAATAAACTCTCAGCACATAATGAAAATATCCTGAAAAAACGATTGGTACATTTTTCTGATATAAATAATAAATATTTCAGATCTTGAAAGATTACCACGAGTGTCTCAACAAGAAAAATATCCCTTATTATTGGAATAAGAATAACAACCTCATTGGAAAAGTGAAGCAAGACACTCTTATCAACGTTGCAAATAAAATAAAGCTGATTATTGATGATATAGAAAAGCATCCAAATGATCCATTTGTAATCGCAAAATATTTATGTGAGTACGATTTTTCAAAAATAGTGTATATAATTCTTGTGGAAAAACACGGCATATTTTCATTTTAGAATTCAGTCAAAATTAAGTCATGGGAAATTTCCATTCTGCAGTCAGTAATGGAAATGGAGTGAAAAATGCAAATGCAAATGTTCAATTCAATTTATTGTCCCAAGAAACAATAAATACTTTTAATTAGGGACTATAACTAACTACAAAGTATTACAAAATAACAGAAATAAGATATTTTACAATATCTTGAAAAAAAAAACAATGAAAGGCAGTCAAATATGAAATTGGTTACAGAAAATATATATTGAAAACGAATTCAAGTGTAATAGGAAAAAATGCAAACTATGAAATTCCACTAAATAGATTTTTTTTCCATTGATATTTAAATTTTGTGCTCCTTTATTTTCTCTGGAATTGAATTATATATAATGATCCCATCGTGATATATCCATTTTTCCCCAATATTTGTTGTATTTTAATTTTTGACAGAAATTCGGATCGTCTTGTGACATAAAAAAATAATAATATAGGTTTCTTCATGACATTTTATACCTAATATATACATAGGAATTAAAAAACAAACTTCTAAATGAACTGATAATAACCTTGAAAAGTGAAACTTGTGCCAGGACAAAGTTTTTGTGCTTCAATTTTCTTTTCCTTATGGTTTATTAATATCGGGATATTACCAAATTATTACAGGCTCAAGTCATTGGCTCAACAAAATTTCTTAAACTAAATGCATTCTGGATAAAACCCTAGACTATTTCAATTCCTAAATATGGGGTTTACAACTGGAACTTCAATCTGTCTCTTAGGGAATTCTTGTAAAAAGGAATCATTCATCTGTGTTTTTCAAAAAAAAAAAAAAATTAGACATTCTCGTACTTGAAACAATATTAGTAGCAGTTTACTCACCTTTTCAATAACTTTTCATTTCAGTGAAGGCTGATGAGCTGAATAACTTCAAGAAGGAACATAACACCACCTACTTTGGAACGTTTAAGGTCAAGTAACTATATTAATGTTACCGAATATTCGAAAACGCGCCATACACACTAAACTACTTTAAGAAAATAATAAATAGTTTTATAAAAACGCAACACGTGTTTCGCTATACAATAGCTTCTTCTTAGTATATCTTGAATATCTGTCACCTTTTGTTTATTCCTTCTTATTCTATAAACATTGTTCAACTTAACTTTTAAGAGTAAGAATACATATCTGTACTTTCATTAACCACTCCCATTTTCTGACACAAACTGAAGGAATGGATCAAATGGGGATAATGGTGCATTTTTTACCCAATACAATAAAGGGAACCAGAAGTACAAAAAAACTACCAATAATAAAAACCTCATGTTACAATTTTGGGTCAATTTTGTAACTTTCGTCAGCACTTTATCGATTATTATTCTAAAAAAATATATCTGATATTTTATTTTTCAACTGTGGTATCTAGCAATTTATATATGCATTTTATTATATTATTTGTTATATAGAATTATTTATTTATCACTCACATAATATATTATTAATTGTAATAGTGATTAGTACCAATTCCAATGTAATTTAATATTGTTTTTATTACCAATGTTGTGAAATATCCATATAGAAGTTTGTTAATTGAATTAAATGACATAATCACTTCAAATATTCATGTATTTGTTTACTTACGAAAAATATTTCAAAAACATTATACCGCTTTTTATCCGTTTTTTTCCTACTACTCGAAAGTTGTCTGACTTGTCTGACGTTCAACGTTGGTTTGGGAAATTTTACTCCCAAGATTTCAGCCTCGAAGATGAGCCCCAAAGTGGTCGATCTACAGTAGTCCAGGATTTGAAGATCCTGGTGGAGACTGATCCATCACAAATGGTGCGTGGGATGGTGGAAGAAGTGGGATATGTATTCACTGAGATATTACAGTTAAAACAGACAAAACGTTATGGCTTCAAAGAACTTTGTTCAGGTGAGTAGAGACAAAATTTGTATTCACCGAAGTGAATGTGCCTATCAGACTCTGTCCCCGAAGCGCCGACATTTTCGGATGGCGCGCTGGCATCAATAACCAGTGAACGCTTCCCACTCCGTGAGGCAAGCGAAAATTGGGTCCAAGAATCATGTGCCTGAGCAAAAGCAATGAGCCAAGGATGACAATCTTCAGCATTTTTCCGGCCAAAATGCATCATTTCGAAACAAGCAGGTATAATCTTTACACATTTTTCTGCATTAGAAGTTATTTATTTTGAAAAAATCAAACCAATGAATCACCATCAATGCACTGCATTCATGACCACATATTTTGATGCGCTATAATGGTACTCGGTGCGATGCATAGCAATAGCACAGTAAATTAAAATTGTTTGTCAATATACTATTTTTTTATTGAACACGCAAATGACAGCAACGCACACCAAAATAAATAAATAATTAAAAATAAATCATTAAACTAATAATAACTTGTAGGTGATTTGTTAGGAAATACAAATGAAACATACGTTATAAGATAATTAAATTCCAGAAATTTCAATGAAATGAATATAAAAAAAAATATAAAACAAATGCTTGGATTGAAAACAGTGATTAGGCAAGTATGTATTGCCACCAGAGCAATTTCAAATCTTGAGGTATAGAGTTGTGTTTGTTATATCACTAATTCAGACACATCCAGTAGTTTATGAGAAGACGAGTGACAGAAGAAGTGAATCAGAGAAGCATTAGCACTTCACCGTAAAATATTTAACTATCTTGTTACAAACAGCATGATTTTTCTAAAGGAAAATCTACACTACAGTACACTACACAATAAGAAATGCTTTCACTTTTTAATTCATTTGTAGCTATTTATTATTATTATAGCATTTCATTTGTTGATACTGTTGATAATGAAATAACTGATATTTTGTACCTACTTCTAGTACCATTGTACTCGATATTTTGATTTTTATAGTAGATCCAAATTAGGAGCAATCACATTCATATATTAAATCGATGAAAATAATTTTATATGAAATTTCATATGTTGAAAAATTAATCCCAAAATTTCCACATATTTTTGTAAAAAGGTCGAGAAGTAGAAAGCCTGTTTATATGTTTTTGACGAATCCTATACTCACACTCAAAAAAAAAGAAAAGAAATAAATTGAATTAAAAAAATAGCCATAATGAGTATAGTTATTGAGTTTGGTTACGTCAAAACCAAATGTTCACATGATGCAGTATGTCAGGGAATGGCTACTGGTACTTAGATTGGTTATGTATAAAATTTCTTGACTAAAACACTGGATGCATCTGAACGGCACTTTATAAATGTCAACAACATCAATGAGTCACTTATCAAAATCTACTTTGAAAGTGGATAAAATTCAGCCTCACCTTGCAATTCACTCAAATCTATAATCTGAACAGTTTCTAGGAAATATTTTCCAGAGAGATTTATGTTAAATATTTTCAAGCAGAGCCATGCGTGGAAATTATTTCCACAAATCTAAACCATTATCACTCCCAATCATTAGTATCAGCCAAATCACTGAACATTTTATCCTTGATTTTTGGTCTCGGATCCTCTTTAATGTCTGTGTTTATTGCACCAGTTTTACCAATGATGTATTCAAATTCTGAAATGGAGAATGTATTTGGTTTCTCATATATATTGAAACACGTATTGAGTAGTTACTTACCGTCTTGTTTTAAATTTGGTCCTCGGAATTCTAAGGGTCCAGCCAATTGCTTTTTCAATTCACCCTCAAAATAAACGAATATTGTTGGTAAGTTCTTGTCGGGATAATTGGGTATGCACGTAGTAGAAATTGATTTAAGAAATTTCACTGTGGGATATTTAACTGCCAAATATTTCATGTATTCGTTTATTAAGGCACAAAGTGGAATCCTTGAATGGAAAAAATATAAAAAACTAAATAATCCCCAATATTCATAATTGAACTAATAATTTTTCATTAATGGGCTACCGTTAAGTTTATTCATTCCTTGTAAATTACATATTTTTCCCCTTTGATCACGAATCAACAGAAAATCTAGTAAAAAATAATGTCACGCTTAAAATGTGACATGTCATTGAAAACCAGAGCATTTATGATTTATGGTTAAAAAAATGATTTTTACATATTCAAAGGGCAAAAAATCTTACTCTATATTAAAATGTATATGAAAGTGTGTATAATCTTAGAAATTTCATATTTGAATTGAAGGGGTTATATTTTTAGGAGTGATTTAACTTTCTTTCCCAAAAATGTCATATGTTTTTTACTTTGAATTCTACAACTGCTTGAAATATAATAAAAAACGACAAAATGCAATATAGAAGAAAAAAACAAAGCTTTTCATAACCTGCTATTCATATAGTTCTTTTCTATCACGTTAAACTTACTATTGAGTTAGAGTAGAGTAGAGTACTTTATTTGACAATTTTACATAGTATAGTATATTTATGGCAAGTCACCTTGCTATTAAGAAATCCTACTACGGAGTTACAAAGATAAAATCATCTACTGAAAAAGAAAGTAGAGTGTAGGTTAATTAAAATCATGAATATAAAATCAATGAACTGAGTATTTAATGAGGTCTTTCACAAGTTAAAGACCCTTGCCACGTCACTATATTCCTCACTGTTATGAAAACAGTGTTGGAGAAGAAACTTTTTACTGGTAGATTTGAATTTTGCAAGGCTCAGTGCCTTCAGAGACGAGTGAAGATGATACACAAATATAAGTTTAATGAATTTTTCTTAATAATTATTCATTTATGTCTGGACAGGTTCAATAAACCAGCAGATCTCGTTCCACATCCATGAATATCACAATGTCTGTGAAGTTTATCAATTATTTCATGAATCTCTAGTAAAACTTTATAGATATATAATGTTCGAAGTGGCATAATGCTAAGTTGAATAAAAAAGGATGACAGTGATCTTTGTAACCTGTTTGGTTATTATTCTTATGGCCTTTTTCTGGCACCATATGACATAACTGAATGAAATAATCTGTAATAGATTCTTTTCAGCGTCATCAAGCTGACCACATTATTTAATTGTCTCAAAACAAACAAAACAGTGGAGAGTTTCCTAGTCACGGCTTCGATATAATCAGACCAGCTCAAACTATCATCACTAATAGACATTTTGACTCGAGATTATAGGGACAAAAATATTAATTTACAAGAAAATTATTTGAAATTTCTGCCAACCCTCATAATGTAATATTATTCTTATACCTACCCCTGTTTATATAAGTGTAAAACCACCCATATTCCTTCTCCAGCATTATTCACCTCATTGACATAATCTTGAGCTGATATTTCTCCAACACTTCCAAATTTTCTACGTTCTGCTAAAGCTTTCAACTCAGCTATCCTTTTGTTTCTATATTCCAACAGTACAGCCTCGTCCTCGGAATCTTCCAATTCGTCCAACTCATCCAAATTCAACTCGGATAGATCTTTTCCGGCTGGAAATAGATAAATTGCATATCTGAAGTAACACTTTCAGAATAAAGACCTACTCGATGTTTTTTTTTCAATTGTTTCTTCTAACATAGATACAATCTGATCCTCAGTAATTTCTTTTTCCTTTGGTGGAATGATACCCTTGGCCCGGAGAATATCGTTCCATTCAGTATCTGCATTAGGGTCCTAGAATAAATAAAAATATAAAAAGATAACCAGTGTGGCAGAAGTAGATATCTCATCGGATCTTTATGTTTTACTGCTATCAAAGCTGAGTACTGAGAGGTGCAAGACAGTTGACATAGATGAAATAATTAGGAGAAATCCTTCGTTCGGATATTTTTATCGTTAGAATAAAGACTAATATCTCTCTAGGCCATAGAACGACAACTCTCAAAAGTCGAAACTTGTGCGAGTCAAGGACAAACGAGGTCTTACCTTTGAACGTGTGATTCCTAGCACACTTTCACCTCAATTTTTTTTCAGTTATAGACAGCCCGAGTTAAATACCTACATATATTAGGCCATTCGCACTGGAGAGGGATTGGACTTCCAAAATAGATTTTTTTATTAAATCGATAGTTTTACTGCTCCTGGTTTACAACTTTTATTGAGTAATTCGAAAGAAAGGAATTTTGGCCAAATTATGACTCACTATGTCATATCTACTGAAATGTAATTACAGAAACAAGATAAACTTGAGGAAAAATTGTTGAAAATTGTCCACTAAGAAATATTTTCAATTTAAATGTTATAAATACCTGCATCTTCAACAGCTTTCTTTAGTCGCACTTCGAATTCTGGTATCAAATACTGGTATTTGTCTCCCAAGACTTAAGGAGTAAAATTAGCTATCTAAAATTTAACCTACAATTGAAAAATAGAACCTACAAAATACTTTTGACTAGTGACTGACAGGCTGACAACTGCTGGAACGTTGGAACCCACCAAATACTCAGCCAAATGCATGAAATATCCCTGGTCACGCCTATAAAAAAATACGGCACTCGTGATGAAGAAATAATAAAAAGATCCAATAAATTTCAGCATGTTGTTTAGATTTGGGAATAAATAGATATTCAGTGAAAGATTTTTTTCACGTTATGGTTCATAATTTTCTAAGATTTGAACAAAATACGCGCGACAGATTTTAATCGCTGCACCATTTATCAAAGTTGGCTCCATCTCATTTCTCGCATCGAAATCGAGAGTTTTTGACAAAACAAGACCGAATATAGATATTGGATATTGCATGATCGATATAAAAGAAAAAAGGGCGAAAGGGTCTCGCTTCCGAACTAGCAACTACGCATTCATTCGTAACTATACGAAGAGTTACGTTGACTACACAATACGCTATTTTTGTTGAAATCTTATATTTTATTAGGGAAAAAATTACGGTGCATACCATTACTAAAACTCTTGCAAATCGGTATCTCTGTCCTCTATTTTTTAATGTATTAATAAAGGATAGAAATATACTGAAATTGCATTGGTTTTACCAATGAAAAACGCTATAAAATATCCAGTGACAACTGACGAGGTTATATTTATATTTTGATTTACTGCAATATTTTTCAAAAAATCAAAATGATTTGCATTTTAATCCGAAATATGAAGAGGTCTGTATCGTCTTCCGGATCTAGATATTTTTTTACGAATACAAGTTTGTGTTCTACAACTTCAAAACCGCTAATGCCAAAAATGACCGGAAAGAAAATGAGTCCTTATGGATGGTTTTTGTTGGTCTGACGATTAGGATCTATAATGAAATTGATAACTTTAATTCCATAGGTTGTAGGTTATTCCTGTGTCTACATTTTCTCTAGGAGTTTGGCAAGTGATGCGCAAAAATTGGAAAGAAGGGCTCCTTATTGATTTGCAAGAAAGGACAAACAGTCAGCCTGTTGAACTACCTCAAAAGTAAGAACCAAGGTACTTCTAATAGTTGAAATATAAAATATTTGAAACTTCTTTGTAGTTTGGATGATATAGAAAAATTAGAATATAAGCCAGTGCATGTAAGAGGTCATTTTCTACATGAAAAAGAAATGTACATTGGTCCTCGATCCCTTCTAGTGAATGGGGATGCAGCTTCCAACAGCTCCTTGCTCACAGGAAGTAATAAGAGCCATGGCTTCACAGTTATCACACCATTCAAACTGGAAGATAGAGAGTATGAAATCAAATGAAGGTTAATATTCATTTTAACGGCTCGCGTCAGTTTTTGAACAGACTTACATATTTTGGTCTGCTGATCGTGAATATAAAAAGGAACCTTGGCAGTCTTGTCTACCTTCAGAGATATGGCCATTCAAAGGTCAGAACTTTTGTATTCAGGGATAGTAAATTAGCGTCACACAACTTTTTTATTTTTTCCAAGATATTTATTCTATAAAGTTCAATAGAGTCCAAGAGTGTGAAGTTGGCATCCTTTCGTAGTTTTCATCGTGACCTACGAGACGGCTCATGGCATCTCGAATGCTCCATCAAGGTAAAGCGCAAGCCATTAAAACGAATATTTATCCAAATGAAATTAAATGAATTTTCAATCAGTGAATTCTCTAATTGTAGTGAAACTATTCTGGTGAACCGTGGTTGGGTACCTTCCAAACATAAAGATCCTAGAACTAGACAGGAGGGTCAAGTAGAGGGAACAGTTGATGTTATTGGTGTTGTAAGAAAAAATGAATCCAGACCGAATTTTTCAATGAAGAATCAAGAAGGAAGTAAAATCTTTTTTTATAGGTAACCAGAAGTTGGCATCTTTCATTGCCAAAGATATTGAATGTCAATAATTTTGCAGAGACTTAGAACATATGGCATCAGTTGGTGGTACAGCCCCTATTTTTCTTGATGCAACTAATGATTTTGATCTTCCTGGTGGACCAATTGGCGGTCAGACACGAATTTCGTTAAGGAATGAGCACTTATCATATATACTCACTTGGTTTACATTGTGTGGAGCTACTAGTCTCATGTGGTATACAAAATTTATTAAGTAATGTAATACAGGTGACATTTTTAGAACTCAGAATGTTGTACAGTAAAAGTAAGTTGAAATAAATTGTTTAAATAAAAATCAACTGGTACTGTTTTAGAAACTGAAGGATACTAAAAATCGTTTTTCAAATTTCACTCATATGATGGACAAACAATTTGACAACATTAGTTTATAGTTATTAATATTATTTGCATTAATTACGCTATGTCTCATTTGGACATCATTTCCAATCAAAGTGCAACTATTTTTATATTAAAAACATATTCATTTATGATCTGGTAAACAAGAATCGTATGTATTAGCTGAGCTTCATCATTGTCCGTGAAAATGTTTCTATTCTGGTAGCAGAAGTATTTGTTACATTAGTAAAATCGTTGATCAGATGGTGTATATTATAAATCAGAAACAGGTTCAGTATGAGCATTTCCTGTTAAATTAGTAAAGTTGATGTTGAAATCTGACAGAACTGCAAAAGAGAGAAAAATACGTTAATTGTCCTAAGAAAAAGTTCCTGTTGACAAACGTTATAATAATATTAATAATAATATTTATTTCTTTGGTTGAAAAGTACAGTTGACAGAAATCAATGCGCAATAAACAAAGAAAATGTCAATTATAAAAGTAAATGTAAAAACATATAAATGTAAATAACTACATATAATCATTTTATAAAAGTCAGCCCAAATAATATGTAACCATATTATAAGTCAGTCAAAATAATATAAACAACACACTAACACAGTGATAAACATACATAAGTAATAAAAGTTACATATAAATGTAACTAGTTATAGACTATAAAAAAGCCAATAAAATATAATCAACACAATTTCTCAAGTATTGAAAGTGAACACTTTAACCAAGTGTGCTAAAGCTCAAGATCTCAGGTTAGTTGATTGGTGAATTCTTGAATGGTGTAACAAGTCCTTTGAAGTAGCATTTTTTTCAGCTGACTTTTGAACACATTAATATTTGGGGAATTCTTAAGAGCTATTGGAAGCATATTGTATAATTTACACCCACTGTACTCTACGCTTTTTTCAAACAAAGAAGTTCAATGAGTGTTAGGTACGATTAGATCTTTCGAACTAGTATTGTGGTTATGATATGGAAGAGAGGACTGAAAATTTTATCTATTTTTGAAAACGTATGCACTAGCCTCTAGTATGTGTGTGCAGGCAACTGTAAGAATTTTTAGCTGTTTAAAAGCATCTCTACATGAATCACGATACCCTAGCTTAGCTATTATTCTAACTGCATATTTCTGGAGAAGAAATATCCTTTTAACAGAAGCACTCATACCCCAATTGGTACAATGTTAAAAGTGTACTAGAACTGCAATGATTTCACATGAATCTAATAGAATAACAGCTTTTCTTCAGTTATTACATAAGGTATAAATATGTTGATTCCATATTAGTTTTTTATCTAGAACAATTCCTAGCATATTTACAGTTTCTACAGGGCTAATTGATTTTTCACTATTTTCATATAGTATCACATTCGAATCCCTTTGACCACGTGTGCTGAACAGTATGGTGTTAGTTTTAGATTTGTTGAGTTTCAAATTGTTCTTTTCAGCCCACAATATGATTTTATCCTATATATCCTCAGCAGTTTTATGGAGTGATTCCATGTTGCCTTCAACAATCAAAATATTTGTACCGTTAGCAGATCTTGAATTGAGGTATAATACACAATTCTCATTTGTTGATCATATACGAGATATTATGAAATCTGGTAGTCGAATGTTGGGTTTTGTAATCAAACAAACTTCTTCATTCTCTAATATAGGCATTATTAAATTACTTTATTTTTCGTTGGTAAGACCGAAATTGGAGTTTGCTTCTATTATTTGGTTTGCGGAGTACCAAACCTATATGAAAGAACTAGAGAAAATTCAGAATAAATTCTTGAGGTATCTATTTTTTAAGTGATATCACAGGTGGCCAAACTATAACTCAACAAGGTCTTTGGAACTACGACATGAATTTAAAATATTATCTTTAGAACACCGACGCCAATTATCAGCAATGATATTCATGCATAAACTCTTGAATAACAACATTGATTCTTCAGAAATTCTCAGTATGTTACCATTTCACGTTCCTCTTCGTCGCACCCGATTTTTGCTCATGTTCAATATTCCAACCGTAAGTACCGCAAAGAATGCACCACTAATATCATTACTAAAGTTAGTTAATAGTTTGAATATATCAATAGATCTTAATTGGACACTTTCCTAATCAGCATTCCGCAAGAAAATTTTGGAAAATATGTTAAATTTACCTACCTATAAGATAAGATCTCACCAAATCATGTGCTACCCCTCGTACACCTGATCAAAAGCATGTGAGAAATCTATAATAATGCCCATGACACATTTTTTCCTGTCGAGAGCATTAACAATTCTTGACTGAAATTCACATAGGGCTGACTCTGTACTCTTGGATTTAGTGAAACCGTGCTGTGAGGATGACAATAGTTTGTTTTGTTCGTAAAACATAGTCAACTGTTGTTTTAGATTCAACTCGAATGGCTTGGAGAGACTTGACTGAACTATGTTAAAACTGTATAAAAGTAGTATCTAAAACCTTTTTTACATAAAATAAAATGTCGAACACATTGGTACAGGGCAAATAAATGTTATACAAATTAAAATTTTCTCTAAAAATATATTATATTATAGCGAGATATTAAAAGTAAACCCTATAATTCATAAAATGAGTTGACATTGTAAAATTCATCCAAATCATAATAGACTTTATCTATTAAAATGTCTCTTGATTTTTTTCTGAAAACAGTCAAAGAAAAACTCTTCAGGTGCATGAGAATTTTATTAAACATCCTTCTTCCATTGTATATTAATGAATACTTTACCATCGTTGTTGTGGGCAGGGGAAGCATATTTCATTTCACAGATTGGTAAAGACTCCATGCTGCAAGATTTCACAATGCTCAAGTCAGATAACACTACTTTAAAATGTATTTGTAACACAAAGAAATTGAGGAGAAAGTTATTGTCCATTTCCCAACTATTTTCGCACAGGATAAATGAAACAATTGAAATATGTTACTGGAAGATATAAATTTTAATTGGCACTATAACGTCAATATATCATTTTACATTCATAAATAATATATAAAATTCTATAGATCTCTAAAAATATAAGTATAAAAAAATAACTGAATAATACTACATCATGCAATAACTTTGAGAGCAAAAATATTGATCTGGATTTCATGTTTCATAAAAAATACATGTAGGAAGATAAACTTTCAAAATGTTTCAAATTTGCATTAGTTTTTTCTCTTTTGATGGATTTTGATTTGACACACGCCAAGCTCCTAATCGGTAACAGCTTCTATTTACTGCCTAGAGAGGTGCTGTATACAAACTTTCAGAATTGATATACGTATAATATAAACTATTGATAATGGTTTCTATTTTTCATGAAACTTGAAACAATCAGATCAATATATTTGCTGACAAGATCGGTTCTTTATTATTGAAACAAATTCGATCTATCAAAGATAAAGACTGTCGGAACATACAAAATTCAAAAATTACATTAACACTGCAAATCAAATACAAATTAATCCATTGGCATTGCTCTGTTGCTACTTAAGCCATCTATTCACAGTATGTCCTCGATTACCAATTTATAAAACTATGTGCCCACATATATAATCGACAAAATATTATTTTGGCTTCAGATTTATAATTTATTAGCATTTGGTAGTATTCCTCAACACTGACCAGTGTTGTCGAATGTGCTTTATTCACCAATTTCAATAAAATGATGCTAGGCATTTTTATTTGAGAAATAGTTTATTCTAAACAAGGTAGTCCTAGAAGTACCTGACCGGAAGTAAAGATGGCAGTTGCTATGTTAAAAAGTGACTATCGTTTAAAATACCAACTTTGCTAAGCATACATTGGAGGTGCTATGTTGCTTAGTATTAAGAGGATTGTCCTAGAAATTCCAACTTACTATGGTTATTCTTCATGGCCTTGACAGCATCAAATACATCTGGCTCAATTATTGATATTAGAAAAAATGAGAATAAGGAAGCTGGAAAATAAAAAAATTTATTTCCAATGAATTTCTGGAAGCATCCTCAACAAATGTCATCTCAGTGTATTTGTTAATGTATAGGAGGATTTCTGATAAATGATGCTATTGGAACCAATGTTAACACGCTAGTATCGTTTAAAAGAAAGAGGATTAGCAGTATAAAACGCGATTTGTCGAGTAGCGTAAAAACCCACTAGAGGTGAAAATTCCTTAGACTGTAAGAAACAATTCATTTAATACTCAATTCGACAAAGAAATGATAGACACATAATTTATAGTCTAACGAAGTGTAAATTCTTGCCGACAAAGTTAGATTATTTTATGTGAACCAGGAATAACAACAACGGGGTTTCTTGTTATAAGAAAAAGACAAATGATGAATCAATTTGGCGAGAAAAAGATGTAGGTTCAGGAATCAGTTTCCTCTTCAGCAGACTTGTTTCAAAACAATAAAATGTCGACACAGAAAATTTATGGTTTCATTTTTGATAAAGTAAAGTAAGAGGTCTCCAGACAACTGTTTTTATTTTCATTCATTTTTATACACAATAGTTTGGATCGGAACGGACTCTCCAGAAAGACAGTATTTTCCCAAAGTTTTTTCGGACATTTAGAACAATTAAATGTATAATGTTGGCAAGGATGTTTGAACTGAAAGGGTATATTTTTAGGATAGATCAACTTTTGAGAATGAGATTTTGACTTTCTACTTCTCCATCTTCATACAAAAAAAAGAGGGAATCTTCCGAAGAAACCAATCAACTTCAAATGAATTCTTCACAAAGAAAGAGCCCTTTCGAAAAAACTACTTTCATATAAACATGATGATTGAGAGGAACATGCTTTATAGAGGTATTTGTATAGTTATGCTTCATCTTTGTTAATACTTCTTAGATAGTTAACTTTAGAACCCCCATTTAAATTACAAACTTATGACATATGGTCATGTAAACAATAATCTTTATTATATGTGAACTTAAATGGTATCAGATAAATCAATATCAATATACCACTAGAACCGCCAGACAAGTCTACTTCTTTTGAAATAATTTGATGACAGTCAACTGAAAGTGCCAACAAAATAGGCATTTCAAAAAATGAATACTTATCGTGTACTGATAAAAAGTGTTCGTCAGATGGGTATCATGTTTTCTCAATAAAACAAAACAGCGTCTGGGGATGTTGAAATTGAGTGTTAAAAGCAATGCTTCACATATTTAAAAAACACACTTTAATGTGAGATTACCACTTGAAAGTTCACAAAACTGAGACACGTGTTTCGCTATACAACGGCATCTTCAGACGTCACAATACTCCAATGCTTCACACACAATTGCTTCATGAGCCTGGCCGACATTTCACACCTTATCTTGAGTATGAGTATCGTACATCAATGGCAAAAGTTTTAGCAATATAGAAATACTTCCCCTTTTTCGGATCTTTCTATTAGGTCAAATACTTCTAGGACTTTCCTTCCACCAAAGAAACCCTCCTTCCAACCTTCCAATGTTCAACCATTTCTCAAATTAATTATTCTAAAATGAACATATGCATTGATCTAGAGATTAGTAAAAATTGTCATGTTTATTTTGGGATCTCATTATCCTCATAAATACACAAGATTCTGTCATGGACGTAGGTCAAAAAATGTCTCAATCATCAGATTGATTTGTTTGAGACCTGTGCATAAACGTTTTCAGTCGAAAAACTATACTTGAAATTGATAACCCTAGATAAATTATATATTATTTTTTCTTTTTGTTGGAGGAACTCCTCAAATTGTTGTTTATTCCATCTGGGGGATGTGGGGCATGTCCATTGGCAATTCTGAAATAGAGGAAAATATTTTTCAAATCGTGGATATAAACAGAAAAAAAATCCTTTTTTGAACTACTTAAACGTTTGACAGTGTTTGGAATTTTTATCTTAGAAATATGTGTTTGATCAACAAACATAATCTGATATTTAGCGGCTACTCCAATAATTATGCCCTTCGTCAAACTAATGACATAAGATCACCCATCTCAGCCTCTACTCTGGTCAAATACTTCTTGTATTATAACTGCCCTAAGATGTTTAATCATCTACCTGGCTATATTAACATTTTAGAGGATAACTGTAAATTTCGGAAATCGGCAAAAAATGTATTATGTGGTAGACCCTATTATAGTTCAGAAGAGTTCTAGGAGATCCGTTATTTCTAATTCATTCATGTTCGACCTGCTGTCAGTGGAGCTAGGCTGAACCATGGATACATTGTTGGGATCAACTGTTCTGGTGATCATTTTTGGATGTTTAATGTTTCAAATATCTTAAAGTCATACTTTATATACTTTTTAAAGGAAAAAGTTGTTACAATATCATATTCATGACAGTAGTTGAAAACATAACTGAAATTGACATTAAAAAAAAAATTGTTTAATGTCTAAACAGGAATAAATCCCAATAACAAGACATATTAATATTATTAACAAGCATGTTACAGTTTATATCTGCCTATATAAACACAATACACATACATATTTACATACACATATACATAAATACAATACTAATTTATCAACAAGAAACACCTGAAGCGAGTAAACAAAAAATAAAATAAAGTAAACATTTAGGAGAGTTAAGCAAAAAATTAGGTGGAACACTTGCGTGCAGCAAGCTAGGAAAGTAATTGAAAAAAACCATAAGTCAGATATAGAGCTAACAAGTAAAAACAAAGTTCAGGTATATTACAAAAAAACATAATTCAGCAGTAATACAGTAGTAGTAATAAGCTCACATGGTAGAATAACTTTCAATTTGGGCTCATGTATTTTGACTAGAGTGTAAAAGTTTCTTAACGTGGTTCTTAACTAGACCAATAGGTTCATAATAAATGTCGAGATTTTCACAGAGTTGATTGTAAAGTTTGCTCATTGCAACAACTGGTGACTTGAGTAATATGTTTGTTCTAGAATTTGGTAGATAAAAAGTCAGTTCATTTCTAGAATTGATTCGTGATGAAAGTTGAAGTGGGAGAGTAGTTCGGGACAGTCAATCAGATTATTCACTAGTTTATAAATGAAAATTATAGAGTAGTAGGTTCTTCTGTTTTGAAGGGATAATAGATTAAATTTATTCAGTAGTATTCTGTTGTCGATGCCTTGTTCAGGGTAAACTCCTTCTAGCTTGTAAGTAATATATTTCATGGAGCCTCTTTGTATAGACTCGATTTTGTTTATGTGGACATTTTATATGGGTGACCATATAAGGGAGGCATATTCCAGCCGAGATTTGACATATGCATTGAAAAGAGTTGAAAAACTGTCTCTGTTACGAAAGTTCTTACAGTTACGATAAATGAGCCCTAGCATCCGTTTGGCTGAGCATGTTATTTGTGTCATAGTCGATGGAGAAACTCAGTTTAGGGTCAAATGTGACACCAAGATCCCTTTGATGAGTGCTTATTTGAAGAGTTATGTTATTTATGCAGTAATCATGAGAAATAACATTATGTTTAAGGGTATATTTTGAGTATTTACATTTGTTTGTGTTGAGGGGAAGATTATTTTCAGTACACCAATTGTACAAAAAGTCAAGGTATTTTTGTAATATTAAGCAGTCCTCCTGTGATGTAATGGGCCGAAAGATTTTCAAATCATCTGCAAAGAGTAAGAAATTGCTAGAGAGATTATTTCCTATGTCGTTAATGAAGAGTGGGAATAAAAGAGGTGCTAAATTGCTTTCTTGAGGGGCACCACTGTTTGCAATAAATTGAAACGAATTGTGACCCCTATAATCTACGAATAGGATACGTTCAGTTGAGTATGAGCGGAAAAGGTTGAGGAGTTGAGAGTCGAATCCATATTGGTGAAGTTTATTGATAAGAATGTTATGATCCAACTTGTCAAACGCCTTCGAGAAATCTGTGTAGACAGTATCTGTTTGTAGGTTATTATTAAGTGCATTACTTACTGATTGTGTGAAGCACATTAAGTTAGTTGTAGTTGATCTTTTGCTAAAAAAACTGGGTTGATTGTTTGAAATTAAAGTCTTAACATCAGGAAAGATTCTTTTGTACAAGCACATCTCAAAAGCCTTTGCAAAGTTTGATAACAAGGTTATAGGTCGGTAGTTTTGAATATTGTTTATGGTATCAGCTTTGAAAATTGGGCAAATTTTTGATATTTTCCATTTGTTAGGAAAGCATCCTGTACTCAGTGCTAGATTGAAGATATAGTTACAACAAAGCCATTAAAAAATTTTTTGATCTCAAAATCTGAAATTTTACGTTTAGAAGTAAAACTGACTGCACTCAATGAGTTCAAGAAATAAATCAAATATATGTTTTTCTAACTTCAATGGATTGTCCTATCACTGGCTCTATGGGTGGACTTGTAGAGAATCTGTGGTTGACATTTTTGAAAAAGTCACATGTGACAGATATTCGCATCAATACTTGTGGAACTAAAACTGCTGATTATTTAATATACTGTATCCATTTTTGAACTTTTGCTTTAAAAATATATTGAAAGATATGTGCAGCTATTACAATTTGATATAATTTGTTTGTTGTTAATAGTATTCAATTTCATTCACGGAGTTGTGTGTTATTCAAGAAAATGATATATTCAGACAAAAATTTCTTTACCTTGTTTCTATCCTTGGCACCGCAGCCCGTTGATCGTCCATCCTACCCGACTGGCACCTCATGATAAGCGAAAAGAAATCTTCGTCAGGTACTGTAGCTCCGCTTTTACTAGCATTGGCAGGTGGAGGGTCGGCCTCTACATCGACCACAGGAGCGGGTAGTGGCGACCTCTGGTCCTCGATTCGTGAACCTTGACATCTGACAAGCTGATCCAAGAAATTGTCGTCAGGAACGCTGTTAGTTCTGGTCTCCGTTAATCTTTGTAGGGAGTTCATTTGCAGACCTGCTAACAAAACAAGTCCTGTTTATAAGTTCGTGAGGTGGAACGTCTTGGAGTGATCAGATTAATTGTAATATTTCTATATGACTTCAATTGACTTTGTAGTGTGTCGATTGTGAAAATAGTGGAAATATATTGAAATTGTGTCAAAGCTCTTTTCTGGGTTTGTTGAACATGGCCTATATTGTTACATATCTTGAAAGAACCAAGTGTACCTCAAAAAGAACACATTCTTGATACGATACAGTATATTTTGAATTGAATGACCATAATTGAGTCCAAACCAATTCATCTTCTTCTCTCGGGAGAAACAGCTATGTTTGATATAAACTAATTGAACAATTCAACTTAATCTCTAAATCAGACTCAATAGGCAGTTCAAAAAATATATTCAAGTAACACTTTACTGTGGGATTTTCACCGAACAAATGTCTTGCTGTAAAATAGCTTTCTCAGGCATGTTTACACTGAGTGAATCCTACCTAATTAGTGCTTTATATAACAATTTACTTTGAATTTATTAAATAGAAATGTAATAAACTAATTACCAATTTCCACATTAGAAAACAGATTCAGAAGACCAAAATAATTCAATTATATTTAATCAGAGAGTCAATTTTCAGAATTCTTGAATAAATTAGTTTCTGAGCATTACAAATGATTAGGTTTCAATCCCTTCGCTTACAGATGTAATACTTTATAGTCGTGGTTAAACTCATACCCCTCTGTCAAAAGGTGATTTGGAAATGTCGAAATGATTTTTCATATTCAAGAAACTATTTCTATGTTTTTCCATTCTTTGGGAAAATGTTCTCCCCGTTTGGCCAACATACAGTTTAGGGCAAGGACCATAAGTTAAATCATTAATTCCTGATCTATTCGACACTGAAGTTCTGTTTTTATAAATTCATTACAAGCAAATTTATTTAAAACAAAGACAAAACTTTTTTTAATTATATAGGGAGACGTGTGTTGCGGTTTTGTAACTGTTCAGTGAAAATCTCACTATAAAGTATTACTTGAATATGGTATGGATTTTCATCAAGTTTCGGCCAATTCCATTGATCAAAAATCATCTTATAGTAAAATGATTTCTGTTCTACTTCAACTATTATTTATACACGCGATATACTGAAAAGAATAAATATACCTGGCAAATGAGGAAGAGAAACCCTCTGTTCATCCATTCTCTTGCTTTGCATTCCAGCAATCATGTCAATCAATTCCTCTGGACCATCGCTGTGAGGGATGTTGACAACATTGGTGTTTTCTTTATTATCGACAGTTAGTGAACAACGCTGATCATCCATTCTTTTTGATTGGAACCGAGAGAGTAGATCAAAGAATGAATCTTCGTCTTCTGGCTTGCCTGGGGTGGATTTCTGAGGTGGTAAAGAAAGACCAGGACGTTTTCCATCAGGAGTTAGCTGCAGGGATGAAAAGTGCCGTTATTGACGGATTTAGTGATAATATACAATAGGAATGATAGATACAAAAAGTATAAAACGTTGGACAGTAGCTCTGTAGGTAGTAGGTAACATGATCGGGGAAACCGGAGAATATTTTAAAATCAAGTGGTGATTGCTCAACGAAATGGAATGAAACAAAATTTGTCAAGAACCTCATGAAAAAGCAAAAAAATCAAAGAATCCGCTTATATTCTTTAAGCAGATACAAGTGTGCAAATGGATAGTATCAATTTAACATTGCTGAGGCAAGAGGATGAAGATGGAAATATGAACCTGAATCAAGTTCTCAAGCAACATTTTGTATCGGCTGTTCACATTAAGAATAGAATGACTTCATTTTTGGTAATCCAACATAACTACGTTAACATTCCCATTGAAATGCGTTCAACAGCAATAAAACTAGTAACATTTCATTTTGTAAGTTGCTCAACTAATGGTAAAATTTCAGACGTTGCCGAATCGAAAAAAACTCAAAAACTGTCAGTCTTTCTTTTCTTTTCTGAACTTATCATTTATTTTGATAAGACCTGTGTATATTCAATATACCTAAAGCATTGTCGAAATAGTCTCAACAAATACTAAAAGTAAGCAAGGATAATAGCAATTAAACATACCAACAGTACAAAAAAATTGGAAAGTTCGAAATAGTGCACACGTTGGGCAATGCTGTAACTTGTCATCTTGTGACGTCATTCTATTCTTAACGTGAACAACCTATATGTGTGATCAGGTAGACTATCGAGTGAGACATCTGGGACATGTGAATATTTCATTTTCATGACATCTTTCAAAAAAAAATTACATATTTCCAAGAATTCTATAAGTTTTGAGAATGGAAAAGGACTACTTTTTTGTTTTTCCAAGATAACTCCTCAAAAGTTCATATTACGAGTAATTTTTAAAGTTGAAATTGCACTTTGACCTTTATCAGAACAGATCTTATGCTGATCTAGATTTATTCATTTTTCAGACTGTGGAAAACTTCCTGAAAAATCAAAGAATATGTAAATAGCAATGCAATAAGTAAAAAACGAGTATTAATATCGACACTGCAGTTCAAAGTCAATATGTTAAGGGTCAGTAAAAATTGAATAATGAAGAAAAATATTGTTCATTGGAGAAACAAATAAATGAACAAACTTTTTTGACTTGCTACAAATATGCAACTGTATATAAAGTGGTTAAAGTAAAAAAAAAAAGAAAAAAAATTAATAAATTTGGGGTAAATTAACATAAGTATATATTTATTGTCTAAATTGATCATACGATTTTTTTATAATCTTTTTCAGCATTGAACTTATATCTCTGATATGCATATTATTGTTAGTAGTATATTATCACGTTTATTATACCATCTATTCCACTTCTTGATATTTATATAAATATTGTAACTGATTCTTGCTGAGTTTTTTTTCAGTTTCTCGAGGAAGAAAAAACACATGTTATCAACACCGCGTAAGGTGTTTAAAAAAAAATCCCATGCAGTGCGTTATTGAATTTGTTATTTAAACAGGTGCTGACAATCGATGCAACATGCTAGGAAAAGCAATTATAGACAAAGCACATCAAGCTGTGTGATGAGCGGTTTCTTATGAAAATTCAACAACAAAAGGTTTCAATTTTCAACCTGTTTTTCTCTGCATATTATCAACGAGCCATTTGTCACTTCAAACGGACTATCAAAATTAAATAACGTTCCTTGGTTCTCTATGAAGAAAACGGCAATGGTTAAAACAGTTATTTAAAAAATGAGCACTACCTTAATAAGACTAAGCTGTTCCATGCTTTCTCGCCTCACCCTATGTAACTGTTGGGAACCTACATTATTCAGCGATTCAGATTTTGATGAAGTTTTGGAAGATTCAGAATCATTGTCAGGGCTTTCAGGTATCTCCAGAATTTTTTTTAGGTCGGAAATATTCATTTTCGCTGTTGCTTCGCCCATTGAGTCTCCTAACTGAAAATACATAATAATTTATTTCTAAAAGTACTGCCAGCATCAAATTTGATATATTCATTTATTTATTGTTTATAATATTGTAAAATATGAGGAAGAACAATATTTTTATGATCGTTCAACTATAAATGTCCATGATCAAGTACTGGATATCTTAAACATTTTAGAATCATTAGACATCACACATTTTATTATACAATAACCTACCAGATGTAACAAAAAAAACTCTAGTGATGCCACGCATATATGTTATCAATCATTACAAATTCAAAGAACAACAAAAGTATCAAACTGTGAATTGTCCTCAAATTTCCTTTGAGTTTCTCCCAATACATATATTTATTATTATATAATGTAGTACTACTTCTACTGAAAGAAATTAGTAAACATTTTTCTTCAATAAATGTAATAATTGAACTAAACGGGAAAAAGAAGAAAGTCCCATCGACATACTCACCTCTTTACTTATTTCCAGATGTTTCTTAGCATAACTAAGAGCTTTCTCATGGTTTCCCAGCGAAGCATGAGCGTTTCCCAGTGACCAACAAGCTCTACCTTCACCTACTCTATCGGAGAGATCTTGAGCAATGAGGAGATGCTTCAGGTGGTATTCTATGGCAGCCTCATAGTTTCTGAGTAGGGTGTAAGTGTTTCCCAAACTATAACAAGCTTGGGCTTCAATAGCTTGATCTCCCAACTCTTGAGCCAAAGCTAAGGTACGCCTAGATTTCAACAGATTACATCTACTGATTTGCAAATTATAAAAACACTCACTTGTAATGATGTGCTGCCTCTTCGAATTGACCCATGAATATGTGGGAGTTCCCCAAGTTACTATGAGCTCTACGTTCTGCAGCCTTGTCTCCGAATTGTCTCGCTATAGCTAGCCTCTCTTCGTGGTAACGGATGGCTTGTGCAAAATCTCCAAGTAGGTAATAGGTGTTTCCCAAATTTCCACATGCTCTTCCTTGGGCAGCAATATCACCTAGATCTTGCATCAAGGTCAAATTTTCTCTAATAAGAAAAAATGGGTTGTTACAAAATTTCAACAAAAAATAGAAATAAAAAAGTTTATATTAGTGAACAACTTGAACTGTTTTGTACTGGTCAATTTATTTGAATGAAGTTCTGAAAAAATATTAAAATAAGTTTGCAATATTGAAAAAGTTACAATACACATACTGAGGTTAGATTAGGATAAGTTAGATAAATGTTAACAAAGCAATAATTATTATTATCAAAATATTTCGTATTATTATGTTCAAATACTAACTACTTTTGGCACTAAGGCCAATCAATCAGCAGACTATGCCATTTATTTAGAAAGAAAATTAATGTTAATCGTCTGTCTATAGTAATGAATGAAAAATATCACCAAAAAAACTACATTAATACCTGTTAACTAGTTTTATGATGTTCATCTACTCTTGAGTGAAATTGACCTGATACGTATTAGATCTAAATATGGGATGTGAATTACTAATCATCAGTTCAAATAAATGGCATAAACTCCCAGATCCTTCACAGACTAAACACTTTCTTAATTTTGAAAGTACAAAAATCAACAAACAAAATAACTTACTCGTAATAAGTCACTGCTTGCTGCAAGCACCCTTTTACGTCTTCAGAAAATTCACCTGGATCTTTTTGCCCTACACGGCCAATATGTTTGCCTTTAGCATGAAAAACATTACCCAAGTTATACAGAGCACGACCCTCGCTCAATTTATCACCCAATTCACGAGACAATTCTAAATGGCGTTTACAACAAACAACTGCTTCATCAAAACGCCCCATTACTTTCAATGTATTTCCCAAATTTCCAGAGGATTTGGCTTCACCCAACTTATCTCCCATAATCCTAGAAAGAAAATTCATTTACCAGCCGTACTAAAAAATTTTAACAAAGTTACTGTAACTTTGGAACACCATCTGGCATGTGGTATATATTCGCCTTAAGGGTTCACACTAGTTTTTGAAAAATTTAATAAACTTAAACACAATATAACTGAAACTGAAGCAATGGAATTGTTTAATCTACACCTTATGAAATGAAATGCTCATTTTAATAATATTTTCATGAACATTTTGAAAAAGATATATATCTTGACCAGAGTATTTTTTGAGCTATATTAGAATTTATAATACTGTTGGTCAACCTCACTTTGATTTCTGTCAAAATGTTTTATATTCCTTTGATTCAAATAAAATTTCAAGTCTAGAAAAATTACAGAATCAATAGTCGATGTACAAATAATAGTTTCAGGTTAGACTCGTTACAATGTTTATCAGTGACCCAGAAATTATAATATATTTAAAAAAAAAACACTTTGATGCCATATTTACATCTAATATTTTACAAAACCGCAACACATATTTCGCTATACAATAGCATCTTCAGGCATCAGAATACAACACTTGAATTCAAAAAATCATCACTTTTTTTTAAAGCTTCCTATCTTATTCATTAACTTGAAAAGGGTACTTTCTTGTCGATTAGGCCTTCTTTCAAATGAGACATTACACAAACTAGAAACATGAAATCAATAGTGAAAAGCTCATTCTAAATGGCTCATAGACATAAAAATGTGACATTGGATTCATTTATAGTTTAACTTTGTTACATTATCAACAGAACCAAAAAAAGGTCACTGTGAATTTGTTCAGTTTCATAAACAATTTGTGATATAATTTTCTAAAAAATATGCAATATTGAGTAATTGAACATTTTGTAAGAAAAAAAAGGAAGAGACAAGTGAATAAAGATCTGCAGCGTGCGATGATGAAAAGAAAATATCATTTTATGAATTTTCATTACTGAAAGTGAGTTGACAGTATTGAGTTTTCAGTGGCCGTATCTCCAAAAGTAGAACGAAGCACCAAGTTGGTGATCAGTGGACAAAAATATGTAGGTCAAATTAAAGTCAAATTACTTTTTTTTCAAAAACTAGCATGAGCCTTCAAAATGAATATTTACCCCAAACTTGTTAAATATCATCAGTTTATTAACTAATTCAATTGAGATACCTTGCCAGGGTCAGATCATTATTGTGATACTGCATTGCCTTTCCATAGTCACCCAAATAAAAGTAAGCATTCCCCAGTTGGCTGTATATGGCACTAAGAGTTCTTAAATCATCAGTTCCAGCTTGAATTGCTGCTTGAAAAAATGCCACTCCTACCTTGCAATCCCCAGCTTTACACAGTCGTTCACCCTCTAATGCAAGCTCTAAGCACTTGTTTCCAGATCCATCATAATCCTAAAATATATTCAAGTGAAATATAAATAAATACTTGGATATAAGTGCTCACCTGGACTTCTCCAGGTAAATTTTCGACGCTGGCAGTAGAGTTCTCCATTATATTACCCTTTTATGACTCACTAAAAGTTAAAATATTTTACAAACTTATCTTGGGAAATAATTGTTACAGAAGTACCTTGCTTGTGAATGATTCAATACCTATATTTCCATTTTTATGCGTATAAAAGTTTGAAAGAAATAAAAACTTCTCGGAAAAGAAAACACCACAGACCAAACAAATAAAACGTTTGATGTTTGATGACAATATTTGACTGAAGTTTACTGTCATTTCCCTTGGAAAGTACTGGGCATCATTACCAAAAGATGGCGATGCAAAACTCAAGGAAAACAAAGTTCTCTACGAAACATTATGTTAAAAATTTGAGATTTCTTTCAGTAGGCCTTTGGTGAACATATCGTTCGAGCAAACGATGTGTTATTAAGGAGATAATACTCTAGATTGTTATTGAAGACGAAGCAATAGGTATAATGGTGTGTTGAACATTTTCTTTTCATCGAACTTGGTTCATCAACACCTTGTATATGAACAAAACAAATTGATAAAAATAGTCGGATAACGAAAGCTGGTGAGAAATGATAATTCATTGACTTATTGACCAAATTTTTATTAGAACTCATCTGTATCTGGTATATCACGTAATTAGATCACTTAATTCATTGTCTTTCAAAAATCAAATCAAACATTTCATCTTGTACTACTGTTTTTATTCAGAATCCAAATACATGGAACGTGAGTTATCTTCAATAATAACTCAGTAAATTCAACTACTGGGAGATACTCGTATTTTCAATTTTCTGTTTATTTTTATTGTGTTATTGTCAACCAATTACAACTCATTCATTTGTATTTGAATCTGTATTTTACCATGTGTAACATGTAATTTACTTTCAATAACTCACTGTCATGACTGACTTGCAATAAATACATATAAAATAGTCGAATAAATATTCTATGTTATGCTTGAATTGCGAATACAAGTAAGCACCGTTATTTATCAGATTGAAATCTTTTTGATAATAAACTAAATGGTAATATTTCAAAATGAATACACATTGAAATCTTACAATTTTTTTCATTTTTTCCATGCAACTTGATAAGTAGGTATTAGGTATATCTAATTTTATACTTGAGAGCGAATAGGTACTATAAATTCGAAAGTCTACCCAAATATTGATGAATTTCCACAAAAAAGTTGAAGGCAATACACGATTTAATTCATATGATATATTTTCATCAATATATAAATCAAGGGAATGAGCAAATAATGACAAATAAATATCAAATTCGACGAAAAATTGAATCTATATCTAATCACGTTTCTTCATACCCAGTAAACTATGGGAATGTGGAGGCATTTGTCAAAACATACTTATTGACACGAATGCTTCTTTTGTTCTGTCTGTATCAAGACGATTTTTTTTGAAATCATCGTTGGACTGTTTGTACTTTCAGTAAGTACATTTCCATTCCTTCTATATCGTTATATTTTTCGTTATTTATATCTGGCATGTCGATCCTTTGATAAACCATTAGAGCTAACAAGCGCAGACTGTGGTATTTGAACATTTATTTTATGTTTAACTGTGATACTAGAATCACTACTGAAAGCGCTTTCAGATGAAGTTAATGAGTTTGATAATTTCAATACGAACGGCAAACTCTGAGCTATTCCTCCAGCATGTGAAGGTCTTCGATCCTCCGGCTTATCCTTTTTCTCCTCTGATGATGAACTTTTGGCCTTTTCTTTCTCCGTGGTGAGCGCTTTTTGGTCTTGAAGGGGTATTCTTGGATCAATGGGCGGTTTATAAACAGTGTCTTTTTTCGCCATTGATATTCTTCTTTCTCTCTTAACCGCGTTATGAGGTTTGAGGTGTTCATTTTTCAGTTTTCTTTCGGAGAGGGGTGCTCGTTCCCCTACAGGATCGCTTTCGTCATCAAGAATCTTGATATTTTCCTCGTCCACTTCTTCGACTTCATCGTCTTCTTCGATAACGCTATTTTGGATCCAATCCCTGATCCTGTCCTTTTTAGCTACCCTATCAACGGTTGTTTCCAAACCGTACTGGGTTAGTGTGAATAGTAACTTGTTTTTTTCTTCAGGACTGCTGTGAAAGCTGTACATAGAAGGACATAGTCCCTCGTCTTCTTTAAGAGTTTCGTTACTTTTTTCCATACCTTTGGACATCCACCTATCATCTAAATATCTGTGAACTTCCCCTAAACTGGATGGCCTTTTGTCTGGCCTGGGTTCCAAATATTTTTTGAAAAGTCGCTGAGCTTTCGATGATACTAATTTGAACAGCTTAGGTTGCCTCTTCAAAGGTATGTTGGAATTTTGCCACGACAGGTATCTTATGTATCTGGGGTCGTCCATCGCAGCTTTTTGCCAAGGAAGACAGCCAGTGAGACAGACGAATATCACAATCCCGAATTGCCAAACATCGTGAGAAGTTGCTGCCCTGAAAAAAATAATGAAATATAACCACAATGCAGAAAGTTAGCCTATAGTCTGTGGGCCCCGATACCAACAAACTTTCGCCCCTTTGGACCCAGTCCGGTTCTGGAAATAATCGTCATTTGTGTCTTTTTATATTTTTCCTTGTACCCATATTAATTATACATTGACATTGTAACGTTTTAAGATGAGACGACTTCTTCACCATTTCTCAAATAGTGAACATTTGGAACTTTGGGAATTCAATTAAAAATGACGAGATTTCACACAAACATAAATATTATAAAAAAGTGTGTTTTTCAATTTATCAAAACTCACATATAACTTCCATCTGTAGCCACCTGAAGCACCTCGGGAGCGGCATAAGGCAGCCATTCGTTTCTTCTGAGTACAATAGAACCTACTCTACGAGTTTCGCCAAAATCGCACAGTTTGATGCGAGAAAAGTCCGACTTGAACACTAAAATATTGTCAAGTTTCACATCCCTATGAACCAGATCTCTTGCATGCATGTGCTCCAATGCCGCGCTCAATTGTTTCGCGACTCTTTTGGTGTGAAGTTCGCCAATTCCAATTTCTGAGACGTTGGAAGTTAGGTCTCCTGAAAAAAGTATAGGGAATAGAAAGGATAGTTCAAGCGGTTACTTCTGTCAGAAGATTTTCATCATGACTTTTCATGTTTTTCAGATTTGATCATGATTTTTGGAATCTAGTTTTCAATTAGTTGAAGTCATGATTTGAGAGATTGTTACTGTTTATGTTTTTTTAATTTTCTTAAAGATTGTTATTCCTCTTACAATGTATTCGTAAATCTGAATCCTGAAAGGCTTCGTTTATAATATAACAATGCGTTAAACTATAATTACTAAAATTTCATTATAAACCTCTTACATTGCTACAGCTATCAACTTCATTATCTATATTAAATTACATTTTATATTATATTAAATTTTTTCCCACAGTCGTGGGGTAGCTTTTTTATAGAGTCATCTCAGATCCCTGATGTATACAACACCAGTGCATTTCTATAAGATGCACTACTTGCTGAATGTCAAATTATAGAAAATACCTACGGGATATTTGTAAGAATCCGCGATTAAATTACAACAGGTGGAGATGTACCTATATCAAGGCTAGAGGTAGCCATATAATAACAAATGTTTTTGATGTTTATTGCTTTTTTGTTTAATTGATTGTTAAACATTTTTATTATCTTTTCTTAATTTTCATGAAGAAAGTATTTGTTCACATTATTTTTATTTCTCATAAATTGTAAAAATACCAAATATCGTAAATGTTTCTCAATAGAGTGTAGGTACATGGTTTTCCACCGAATCTTTTTTTTTATGACTTTTTGGAAATTTTACGAATCTTTCTAGATATAAGGTTGGCTGTGTTGAATGCGAGCAGTCAATTATGTAATACCTACATAGACATGTAAATGGATAATAATTCGTCGTTATCAACTTTCAGCACAAGGCCGTGCCCAGATTTTTGTTTCAAGAGGGGGGAGCTCTCATTAAACCCTGGTAATTCAAATTTTATTAATTACCATTACATCGGCACGGGAAAAGCTCTCCACTAAAAAACTGTACTAACATATTCGTTTTTAAAACTGAAAACCTCAAAAAATTTCCAGTTCAGTGAATTCACAATACAAAATAAAGCCTTCTATAAGGGAAAATTCTGTTATAACATCATCAGTTAGGATGATGGCATCTCTGTGAATTACCATTAGGGCCAACCCGGTTAGCCTCTCTTGTCCACAAGAATTCCGTAGGTAAGTTTTTAGGCGCCTACGTGAGGAAAATGACCTTTCCGGTCATTTTCTGGTAGAGTTTTGACGATTAAATGGTAATTATACTCACCATGACTGAAAAACCTTTGTTTTCTATATTATATATGTATCACATGTAATGTACTGCACAGAGACACATGTCTTAACTAATCGCGCACAAAAAGACGATTTACGGCACAACGCGAAGACAGGTTTGTTCTGGTTCTCAGTTTGTACTGTTTCGAATCGTCCAAAATCAGTGAGTCAGTTGTGGACTGAAAAGGTTATTAATGCGACAAAATGTTCAGTTTTCAGTTGGATGACTATTTTCTGACTGTTAGGAATAGTTCCGGCAGAGAACTAGAACAAGCCTAGATAGGTAATAGGCAGCGGCGACAGAGACGGCGCTGCGTGGTGAAAATACTGAAAAGATTAAACGAGATCCAGACACCCTCTGGGCACGGCCTTGTTGCAGCACATACGAATATGTTTGAAGGTGATTGACAATGTTTCGTGATGAATTTCACTAGTTCGGACTTCCATTGTCTATTATATAAAATGATTTGAAATCCCTGAAACAAGTAAAAAAGAATAATTAAAAAGAATAGTTGAAAATAACTATTATATTAAGCAACAATAAACCTGAAATGAAATGATAGTGAAATAACCTACAAGTAAAAATATAATAATTGAATAAATAAAAATTAAAGGAATGCAAAAAGAAAATAATAAAAAAATAAAAAGTGTTGAGATTCCAAGTCACGTTAGTTCACGACGTTTCGAAAGTCAACACTTTTTATTTTTTTATTATTTTCTTTTTGCATTCCTTTAATTTTTATTTATTCAATTATTATATTTTTACTTGTAGGTTATTTCACTATCATTTCATTTCAGGTTTATTGTTGCTTAATATAATAGTTATTTTCAACTATTCTTTTTAATTATTCTTTTTTACTTGTTTCAGGGATTTCAAATCATTTTAATAATAGACAATGGAAGTCCGAACTAGTGAAATTCACATACGAATATATTTAGCATTTGTGTGTTGTGGAATTGGCCGCGGTGGTAGTGCGCCCGATTCACGATCGGAAGACCGTGGGTACGATTCCTGCCTCGACCAGATATTTTCCTCGAGAGAATGTATCTGGTTGAAGCTGGGAGATTCTGCAACCGTGTTAGGAATCACACGTTGAAAGGTAAAACCTCATTAGTCCTTAGCTCGCACAAGTTTCTCAACTTCTGAGAGTTGTCGTTCGTATGGGGGCGACAGCTGATTGACGGAAAAACAGATTATAAACAGATTTTTTTAGATTTAACATTAAATCATGTCCATACATAAAGCGACAATAATTTATATTATCTCTGAATCAGAATTCATAATGTTGTTGATATTTTCTCTCACAAATACATTTATTTTGAAATATGGAACGCTTAGTTCGTTTTCCTCCTTCGGAAATCTCTATTGGGAATACTTCTAATTGATTTGCCATATTTACCTACTGGATAACTGGATATCTATTTACAGACAGATTTTAAACAGACTTGTGCACTAACCCTTTCGATAGTTTTACTAAGTGCTAGCATAGGTACTTACTAACTATTAATGATTATCTTTGACACTGAACAATCTTGATTGTCTTAACTCGAATAAATTAACTTGAATCTCGGAATTAAAGTCAATTCTCTAATTAGGATGACTGTCAACACATTGTAATTCCTCCAAATTGGAATGAAGCTTTTAACAACTGTAAGACAAAGGTAATGGGTAGGTGGTCCCTAAGTGTCATCATTTTGAGTTATAAAAATTCTCAATTAACGCGACATGTAATTGGCTAACTATTTGCTTTGAGTAGTCCCTCAAAAGTGTTTTCAATAAGCGCCTGCTGTAGAAGAAGCTTTCAACCACTCTCGTTCTTCTCTATTATTTAAATCAGAAAGAACTGATAGTTCAGAATGTCACAATTGAAAATTTATATCTGTTTAACAGGAAATGAATCCAAGTCAAAAATTTTGAACCCCGTACATTCTTTTGTCTTTTGTTTTTCATTGCATCTAGTTGTTCAACGATATTTCCATAGACGATCTTATAGTACTGTCATATTGAATTTGGAGGGAATGGTTTCCACGTCGCTATTTGAGTAGGAATGATCACTTGGAATATATGGTTGAAAATAGAGTGTCATATCCTATCAAATGGTGCGACTGTGTTAGGAATCACACGTCAAAAGGTAAGACCTCGTCTGGACCGTTAATCCTTAGCTCGCACAAGTTTCGACTTCTGAGGGTTGTCGTTCGTAGGGGTGCGACAGCTGGTTAACGGAAAAACAGATTTTAAACAGATTTTTTTTCAACAGAATCCAAGACAAAAAATCAATATATTACCTAGTATTAACAACAATGTTACAACAAATATTGTTTCAATAAATCGTTAACTCAATTTCATTTCTGTAGTTCTATTGTTTTGATTTTTCAGTATTACCTACACTGGCAATTTTGATTTTCACGAGTACCATTCAATATTTTCCATTCAATGTTGCAATATTCACTAGATTTCAAAATATCTTGTTCTCTCATAATATTTTTGTTTTTTCACAATCCATATTTGGAATTATAACTAGTTCTTTTATTTTTTTCCATCGTCATAACTTTGGAAAATGAAAAACTCGTTTATGCATTTGTAGCAAATAACAAAGCTAAAATATCATCATTTACCTAATGGTGCATATTCTTGCGAAAAAACATAAAATCCAGCGGTTTCAAATGCAACATCATACGCTGTAATAATATTCCTGTGGATTCCCAAATGCAATCCATAATGAAATTCTCTGTAGAAGTCCTTAAGTGCTGTGTATGGTTTAGGCAGGGCTTTCAACACCATTTCAGTGTCAGTTGCCTTGTGCTCCACCAAGAGGATTTTTCCAAACCAACCTTCACCTACTATCTGAAGAATATCGAATTCTTCGGCCAAGTTAACCTGGAAAATATAGAACTAAATTTCCATTTCTCCAAATAAATTTTCATTGTCAAAAAATACCTATATCATAATTTGATTATAACAGACAATCCAAAACAAGCTCTTTTCCCAATCACCATAAATGCAATACTTCAGCTTTCTTCATCTACTGAAGACGCCAACTTTGTTGGTGAAACGCGCGCTGAAGAGTATTGCATTTTTTGTGATCGAGACAGGTGCTTGTTATGGATTTATTTTACACCAGAGGTTCCAGCTTTACCCTTCATTTTATGAGCAGCATTTCTTTAGATCATTATGCCAACATATCGTCTCAGTTCAATAACGTGTTTTCAATGTTTGCAATGAAATTCGAGACATTAATGACTCCTCTTTTCCACATACCAGCTAAGAGGAAGTTAATATACACTTGGCTAGACATAAAGAATGATACTCCTTGCAGAGAATTCATTGGAAATCTTAGCAGAGTTCATCAACAAATCATTTTCGAGTGGTAGGTATATTTCCAGAGTGTCTGAAGGTTGCAGTTATTAGGCCATTATCCCAAGGAGGTGATTGTGAATTGGCATCAAACCTATGACCGATTTCCCGATAACAACTTTGGCGAAACTGATAGAAAAACTTGTGAAGAAAAGCATGACTGTATTTTTAGTAATAACCATTTGCTCAGCACATGCCAGTTCGGTTTTCAGGAGTAGGCATATTTCAAAATAATGTTGTAAATCATGCCCTAAAGAAAATAACGCCGGCCGCCACTGGTAGACATAAACTAATCGTGACGTAGCTGAGAGCGCGCGAATGTACGATGTTCTCTGCCACTCTAGAAGCAGCGAGAATAATGCTACCGATTTCGATGGAACTTCGGCGAAATTTTTACCGCATTCGATTATAATATATAAACGCTAGCCAGGAGCATATCGACACAGTTAAGTGGAAGTTACAGTGTGGTACGCGAAGTGATCTAGTAAGGCGATAAACATCTCACGCCCCTCGTGCAGGTCGAACTTAGAGATGGACCGTTATGTGTTGTATATACATATCAATAACATGTTATCTATTTCACTATCCTCAAAAATATTGATGATTCTCTTCTCCTGGGTCACTATAGGGGAACTTCTGTCTTCAGTCTCCGGCAGTGCTTCAGCTGCATAAAGAATTTTCCTAGGCCTCATCCGTAACATTAATTGTGAGATGCAGAAAAAATAGGCTTTAGAAAAGTAAAATGATCTCTGTTTGACCTGTCTGAATTAGGTTATTTCAAAAGTTTTGTCCGTTCCTATGAGTTTATTTTAAACTGTAATATCTCAATGGATACTTACTCAATTTATTCGAAGTAAGCGCCATTTGAATCAGTGCAATTTTCTCAACGTAACACAAGTCAATTACTTCATATATAGTCAGACTGGCTAATAATCAAATCATCTAATCTAAAGAGACAATTTCTCAGGCCAGTCTCAACTCCCTACACTGTAGGTTAATGAACTAACACCCACCAGAAAACAACTATTCCCCTGGCTAATACCACGAAGGGCATTGGATTATTCCTGCATATGCTGTAGGCGATACAACTGCCGCAATAGATTTTCAATTATTGGAACACACTTGCAGACCGTTTTTGGGCTGTTTGGCCACTCGTCAGTGCAAGGTAGTGTATATCGGTATTTATTTGGTGTATATATACAAATTATTCGAATAAACTCAGGAAAACATTTAATTTTCGAGAATACTTTCTCTAATTTGGTAATGAAGTCAGTAGTACAGCATACATACCTTTTCTAACTCAAACTCTCTGATTTTATGAATATTTCCGCTGAGAGACTGTTTGAACAGACTGCCCATTTTTGGAAAACCATTCCCTGAAAAAAAAAAACAAATTTTTCGAAGAATTGAGAAATACACGTGTTTCTTATTAACAGTTTCTTTGTAATGGAGATTTTTCCTAAATTTTGAATTGTATACATTTAGAACTATCACCTATCCATCTAAAGTAAATCTCAGAAATGGTTTAGAATAATTCAAACATTGGCAACTGACATGCTCTTAAAATTCCATTCGGGAATATCGAGTTTTCGAAAGCGCAAAAAGACCACATCTTTTTATTATTTGATTCTTAGAAATTTCGAGATTAAAGGTGAAATTTAGAGAATAAAGTTGAAATTTCGACTTCAAACTCGATTAAAGTCGAAATTTCCAGAGGGTTTAATGTCGCAATTTCAATAATAAAAATATGTGCCGCTTCCGTTGAAATGCTTTGTTGAACTAAACTGAAAAGTGTCAAAGAAGGTTAAAAAAAGGTGTGAAAGTGATAAGGTGAATAAATATTTGTGATTCTATAGTTTGTATTGTGGAAAAAGAAGGCTGACAAGTTTCGTAACTTTGAAAATAAGGAAGAGCACCAATTTTTTCTTTAGAATTCGTAATCTACACGTCAAAATACGTGAGTAATTACAACATTTTTTTAAACAGCGAGAGCAGTCTATTCTAAATTTAAACAATTTTCTAAACAAGTTTCTTTGTTTAGATACTGCCTTATACATATTTGTACGGTATAGAGTTGTCTCACGTTCATTATTCATATTTCAGAGTAAAATAAATCGCAAGAAAATATCTTGGTTGTACTCAAAATCTAAGAAACTGCCGCCGACTCCCGTTTGTATAGCTATCTCTCGTAGGTGTACGAGTTCAAGCTATGATCCAAACAGGATCTTTGATTGATTAAACGCAAACGGTGATTATTTTATATTCCTATTTCACTTTCTCACATATTTTATTGATGACGCATGTGTATCCTTTCGCTGACCCAGCTTTAAGTGCAAGACTCTCGACCCTAGGGTGCTGATTTCGAATCTGTTCTCGACCAAATAAGTGGATTGTTCAAAAAAATAAGGTGAATGTTCAAATTTCGCGGGCTACGTATATTCGATTCGCGATTTTTTCATTTTTTTTTATGTTGGTGCACTCGTCTCTAACATATGTTCAGTGTTCAGTTTCAGCTGTTCAGCATGTTTAGCTTGTTGGTGAGAGGCATAAGTTAGAAGCGTTTTGCATGTTCGGCGATTTCCTACTATCGAAAAAAATGGATCTTTATCTTTTTCTTCTGAGGACAAAAAAACACAAGCACTACAGGAAAATCATTAAGGCGCTCTCAGAGCGGTGCCTGTGCGAAAGTAGCCAATCACATTGGATTTGAATCGCTGGAGAAAAAATCCATTTGGAAAAATGTTCTCAGAAAGTTTATTTTACATAAACGCAGTTTTCCAGATGAAAGTGTTCTTAAACAGTGAAGTTCGAGGTTTACTGAGTTGAGCCTCAAAACGATGAGCAGCCACAGAACGTTGCGTATTTCTGATATGCACCGCTCTTGGTGGAATCAAATGTGCCAAGTCACTTGAACACTGAAAGTATCTATAGAAGAGACACAAATCTCCACCCTTTCTTCAATGTTCCAGGCTATCAAGATTGCACGTGATGTTCGCGTATCTAATCAGGCGGATGACTCTTTTCTGGATGGAATCCAGCAACTTCAGGGTATGTTTGGGGGGCGGAGCTCCATATATGTGAACAATACTCTGAAAAAGGTCTGAACTGACCTTTATAAAGCATCAAAATTTGCTAAAGTGTGTACAGTTTTCTGTTTCAAAACAGTGTTCCAAGTTTTTGAAAAGCAGCCTTTGCAATTCCAACAACGTGATTGTGCCAAGACCTATTGGTGTTCATTCTAACCCCAAAAAACGTATCGAAGCAGAAATCGGAATTGTTGACATTATTATATTCGATTCGGGGACATTTATTTTCTTGGAGAAAATCGATGCCTGGGTTTTTGTGGTATTGAATTGAACCTGATTACTTTCACCCCAATTTGAAATCACATCTAAATCCTCATTAAGATATGCAACCTCCTGCTGCCGGTGAAGATGTGCCTCCGTAGCCGATGTCCTGGAATAGGGTAGAATGGGGGAATGGCGATCAGTGGGAAATGCCGGTCAGTTTAAGATATCCATCTTCCCGAAACAGAGTAACATTAAAAATACCAGTGCTTCCATCTAGTATACCTGCAAGTAACCTTATATATATATGGCGCAATCGTGCTGGCGCACCTATAGTGAGCGTGCCAGCCATTACTGTGTGTAGAGGTGTATTCTTGTTATAATTCGAAATTTTTAACCAAAGGTAAGTCATTTAATATATTATTCGAATAAAACAGCGTTAACCACCAACTATTGCATGCGTATTTATTAATACAATATCTCGGTTTTGATTTTGAAAGCGTATTTTATCATTTGTATTGTCAACTGAAACAAACTTTTGTAGTTTTGGGGTTATGCCAATCATTCGAAGCGGGTAATGGCGGTCAGTGACCGGTATTACCCTATACGAAAATATAGGACAAGTTTTTGACAAACTTTCATATATCTTTATCGCATATAATAATGTAAAAATAGTATCTCATAATTGCTTTTTGTTCGCAGATGCCCAGGAAGAGACCTAGAACAACAACAAAGGCGTCGTGGAGTAAAGCGATCTTAGAAAAAGCTATCGAAGCAGTAGGTGGTGGACTTTCTATTAGAAAATCTTCCAAAATCTACAACATACCGTTCAGTACCTTGCAAGAACGGATCAAGAAGGATCTTCCTGCTATTGAACCACGTTTAGGAAGACATTCCACTTTCTCACTAGAGGTAGAAAAATCTATGGCTGAGAATATAAAAATTCTAGCTAAACTATTTTATGGTTTGACTCCACGCCAAGTTCGTCGTGCAGCCTACGTTTATGCTGAGACAAATAATATAAAGCACCGGTTCAATAGAGCGGCAGGACTTGCTGGAAAAGATTGGCTCTATGAGTTTTTAAAAATAAATCCTTCGATATCTATCCGCCAACCTGAAGCAACCAGCATAAATCGCGTGACGGCATTCAACAAGGAAGAGGTTAGCTTATTCTTTAAAAATTTGGAAGATATTATGGAAAAATATCACTTTCCTGCTTCCAAAATATATAACATGGATGAAACCGGGTTCACTACCGTGCAAGACCCAGGCACAGTTATTGCGGAAAAGGACAGAAGAGAGTAGGGTCTGTCACAAGTTATGAAAGAGGAAAAAATATAACTGTCATTTGTGCAGTGTCCGCTGCAGGGTCCTATATACCACCTATGTTTATTTACCCAAGACAGCGAATGTCACCACAGCTATCGAAAGATGGTCCAATTGAAGCTATTTATCACTGCTCCAAAAATGGTTGGACAAACCAAGAGTTGTTTTTGACATGGCTAATACACTTTGCCAAGTTTGCAAAGCCATCTGCAGACGAGCCAATCCTTATCGTTTTGGATAACCATTATAGCCACGTGTCTTTAGAAGCATTCAAGTTTTGCCGAGAAAACAATATCGTCATTCTTTCTATTCCGCCCCACACATCTCATAGAATGCAACCGTTAGATGTTGCATTTTATGGCCCTCTAAAAGCTGCTTTTCGGAAGGGATGTGATTTGTTTATGAAAAGCAATGCATTACAGAAAATTACCCCGTATGATGTGGCGTCTCTATTTAACAAAGCCTACTGTGACACAGCTACGATTAAGAAAGGGGTTTCTGGTTTCAAAGCATCAGGAATAGTGCCAATTACCCCTTCAATTTTTGGAGAAGAAGACTTTTTCGCTTCAGACTATTTATTAGCTAACAACACCGATCTTGTCATCAATGATTCCATACCTAACACCTCTAATCAAAATCGAGAAACAGGTGAAGATACTTCTGAACCAGAAACCAGCAACCAACTGCAGAATACCATACCTCCGCCTGAAATGGATAATTCCCTTTCAGGTCCTAGTAATATTTTGACGCCAAGTAAAATTATACTATTTCCCTTGCCACTTCCAACAGCAACAAAAGCTACAAAACGTGTGAAAACCAAACAACACTCCGCCATATTGACAGCAACACTTGTAAAAGAAGAATTAGAAATAAAGGGAAAAAAAAAAGAATGTCAAGACAAGACAATCCAAGAATATCAAGGCATCAAAAATCAGTTCAGAATTTTCTTCTTCGGATGAGGAACTTTTGGCTTCAAAAAAGAAAAGGCGTTTTGAAAATGTTTGTTACGACAATAATGTTGACGATATTTCTTCAGGAAATGAAGAAGAGATATGTTGCATCTGTAAAGAGTTCGGAAAGAATGAGAGGTTTGGTATAGATGCCGAAGTTGTGGGCAGTGGGCTCACAAAAATTGTTCCGGTTGTGATTCCCCTGATAAATATGCATGTGATTATTGTGATAAAAAATGGAAGGTTATCAAGCGTCTTGATTTGTAATTTCTTATAATATGAACTGTAATAACTTGAATTAGTTTTGCAAACTTTGAATTGCCTACTTACTTTATAATACATTAGTACTCAATATTTTATTGTTTTATTTTAATTCAGAAGCAAACCTTAGAATAAACCTTATATTTTTTGACTAATTGGCATTACCCCCCCTGCTGACCGCCATTACCCGAAAGTCCGGGTAATGGCGGTCAATGAAAGCTTTACTAAAAGGCACAAAAATATAAAAAACTATACAAAGTTTTGTATTTTATATACAGAAAGTGAAGTGAATTAGCTATTCAGTAAGTAAATCACTTTGGCCTTTGCTCATATAAGAAATGAGTCATTTCGATTCCTGCTTAAGTGACCGCCATTCCCCTATTCTACCCTACAAATGGAATGACGAGACAAGTGTGGCGTCGTCAGCAAAGCAATATATTGGATTCTTGTTTTTTTCCAATAAGTCGTTGATATACAATAAAAAGAGGGTTGGAGACTATATGGATCCCTGGGGAACACCAGTGTTGATGATGAAAGTATTCGAGAGATATCCGTCGACGGCCACTTGCAGGGAACGTTCTTTCAGGAAGCTGAAGAGCCATACACAAAAATGATCCGGCAAGCCATAGCATTGAAGTTTGGCCAGCAAACCCTCATGCCACACACGGTCAAAGGCTTTAGAAATATCAAGCGCGACCAGCTCTTGACTCTCCATGTTTTTCGATTGCGTTTTTCTAAAATGGGTGACATGTTGATCTTTGCCATATTGATGATCGCTTAAGATGTTTCAAAGTGGTACAAGCTTTTCACAGAAGGTCGAGAAGATGTGAATGACTACGCTCGTTCTGGACGCTTCAGCACATCAACAACCGATGAAAAGTTGAGAAAGTGAATATAATTGTAATGCAGAATCGTCGAATCATTATTAGAAAAGTTACTGAGGATGTCTTTATATCGGTTGCCTTATGTCATGCATTTTTTCAAAAATTTTGGGCATGAAGCGTGTGATAGCGAAGTTCGTTTCAAAATTGCTGAATTTCAACCAAAAATCCGTCGCATGAGCATCGCTCAGAAATTGTTGAATGACGTCATCGGCGATCCAGATTTGCTTGAAAGGGTCATGACTGCTGATGAAACAAGGCTGATCGAAACCAGAGTCCAATCGTCTCAATGGAAGAGCTCAGAGGAGCCAAGACACTAAAAAAAGCACACCAAGTTTGATCAAATTTCAAGGTTTTGAACACTGTTCTCTCTGATTACCGTGGCGTAGTGCATCAGGGTTCTTGCCACATGATTGGGCAGTCAATAAGGAGTAATTATCTTGAAGTTATGCGCCGCTTGCGAGAAGCAATACGAAGAAAACGACCTCTATTATGGAAAACATGGCTTTTTCATCACGATAAAGCACCTGCCCATTCGTTATTGCTTGTTCGTAATTTTCTGGTCAAAAACAACACCGTATTATAGTCATATCTCAGCCAACGTATTCACCAGATTTGGCCCCATGTGACTTTTTCCTGTTCCCAAGATTGAATAAACCCACGAAAATACGGCATTTTGCGACCACTGAGGATATTAAAACCGAATCGCATATCATGCAATGCTGGCACAAGTGTATTATATCTGAGGGGGATTACTTTGTGGGGTAAAAATAGAAATGAATGAATACAATTTTTTTGGAAAAATGAAAATGCACCTTATTTTCTATCGAGAATTTTCCTAGCTGAATGCGGTTTGATCCTGCTGCATTACATGGCGGCGGAAAAGATTTGTTTATATATGGCATATACTAAATGAAGAATTGGTTTTATTATACTCACTTTGGTAATTGTATCATTATTAAAAGACCCCAACAATTCTTCAACTATATTTTGTCATCGCAAACTTTTGTAGAATTTGAAAGTTTATGTATTCCTGATCAATATTTCGATCTGCTCTATTTTGGATGCATTGGGCCGAGACTTAAATGCACTATCTAGATGAAAGGCATTTGTGTTGCAACACAGTGGGCCTGTAGTCTGGTCGTCGGAAAATAGAATTACCTTTACAATAGTAGCTATTTTGGTAGAATGATTTTTTTCTCATGCTGGCGCATGTGAACAACTCCAACAAGTACTTGAATTTGTTCGAGTATAAAGATGGCCTATTTTTGGCACAGACAGGCTGCAGCCTTAAAATATTCAACAATCTACCGGTTCGATATTTTTTAGTGAATACGAAATACATTTGCTTGTAGCTATATTCAATTTGCATTACGATTCTTACCTTTAGTCTTTATCGAAGTTGTTGCTGTTGATTAGGATCAGTGAACTCTTAACTTATATTGGAACTGAACAATCACACACATCACTCAGAAAAAACGAAACAGCCTGTATACAAAGTCACTCTGTTTAAAGCTGTGAAGATATTGGGAAATAACTTTCACAAGCTGTCTAGAGAATTGCAATAACAGCCCAAAGTCTGTCTGTGATCTGTAGAACTGATTCAAGCGCCTTTTCAACATAAATATTGGCTTTCAAATCTGTGACAACAAATGTATTTATAGATGTCGTTCTGTTATAGGATTATCTGAGAGTTGAATATTGTAAGCAAACATTTCCTTGGTCGTTAAAAAGAGTTTGATTAGACAGCGCGGGAAATAATAAATAATCCGCGACGAAGTGTGATTCGAAAAATGATAACCATGGTTTATTTTTATTTCAGAATGATAGTTCAAATAAATGTAAGAATGATAAAGTATAATTAAGTTTATGAGTATCGCCTAGTAGTTTGTTTTGCAGTAAAAGCTGCACATAGGGACAGAAAGCGATTTCTCATTCGCTGATGTCAAAGCTCAACTTTACTGCCATGAGAACGTTTGTTTATTTGAAATAGGAAAATTTCGAGTTTTCTATCGATATCTTAGACGGCGTATTTTAAAAGGAGGTACTTTTAAACTCAGGATTCTTCTTCAATGGCAGTTGAGTTGCATTCGTGTTCCGACTAACAAAGTTAATGAGACTTATGGACGGTCAAAACAATGATGTCTCGTCTTGGATCACAAATATTTTGTTTTTGGACTCTGATTTCATCTGTCCAGCTGTCCAATTCGGAATTCTTATCAATTTTTCCACTTTCCAGATTTCAAACAAAGATATAGATATCATGGGGACTAATATAGAAATTTCGAATCGAGCACGTAAGTAGCAGGACCGGATTTGGAAGTATGAAGGCCCTGGGGTAACGAAAAAGTGGATCAGTGTCGTTGTTTTTCGAGTTTGAAAGCCGTGGGTTTTTGGAATTTCTTCCTGACGTTTCGCTGGCGCGAGTGGCTAGCTTCTTCAGAGGTTTGGCTTGCTGTCCGATGACTACCCTTTTAGGCTTCGTAAAGCCTTGTCAGGTAATCAGTTGTATTTGTACCTGAATTTGTACCTGTATTCGTACCTGCACTTGAACCTGGAACATTAACAATATTGCTGCCTGTTGTCCTGTTCGTTATTCTCGTATTCTTTAGAATGGGGTTCCATATTTGATTGAGGTTCACCGCTTCTTCTTTTCTGTTAAAATTATCCGTGTGTTTATGGATCTTTATTGCCTCCCGTACCAGTCGGCTATGGTATCCCTGGTTAGGGGAAATTAGTTCTGTGTTCTCAAACAAAATTCTGTGGTCTCCTTCACTCAGTGCATGTTCTGCCACAGCTGACTTGTCTGTTTGGCCTAGTCTGCAGTTCCTTTTATGCTCTTTTAGTCTTGTTCCCATGGTGAGCAAGACCAACGGATAGCTTTCCTAGATGTACTAGTAGAACAATGTGGTACCAGACTAACCCACAAAGTGTATCGAAAACCCACACACATGGATAGATACTTGCACGCACTATCGAACCACCATCCTAGCCAAAAGAGAGGAGTTATCTCCACTCTAACGGAACGGGCTCGGAGAATATGTGAACCAGAACATCTGGAGAGGGAACTGAAATACCTGGAAGTGACCTTGAGATCGAATGGATACAGTGCCTCCGAGACCAGAAGAGCCATGAGACCGAAAGGCACCACAGTTCAGAAAGCGAAAAAGGATCAGATGGTTGCACGCGCATATCTACCGTTTGTCCCTAGGGTCACGGATAGAATTGGAAAACTATTGGGCAAACACGACATCCAAACAGTCTTCAAACCCACGAGGAAGATACAACAAAGCCTCAGGTTGGCTAAAGACAAAAGAGACCCATTATCAGCAGCTGGGGTCTATCGCATTCCGTGCACTTGTGGAAAGGTATATATCGGAACCACCAAACGATCCATGGGAACAAGACCAAAATAGCATAAAAGGAACTGCAGACTAGGCCAAACAGACAAGTCAGCTGTGGCAGAACATGCACTGAGTGAAGACCACAGAATTTTGTTTGAGAACACAGAACTAATTGCCCCCAACCAGAGACACCATAGCCAACTGGTACGGGAGGCAATAGAGATCCACAAACACACGAATAATTTTAACAGAATTGAACAAGCGGTGAACCTCAATCAAATATGGAACCCCATTCTAAAGAATTCGAGAATAACGAACAGGACAACAAGCAGCAAGATTGTTAATGTTCCAGGTTCAAGTGCAGGTACGAATACAGATACAAATTCAGGTACAAATACAACTGATTACCTGACAAGGCATAAATACGCTTTACGAAGCCTAAAAGGGTAGTCATCGGACAACAAGCCATGATGGTTAAACCTCTGAAGAAGCTAGCCACTCACGCCAGCGAAACGTCAGGAAGAAATTCCAAAAACCCACGGCTTTAAAACTCGAAAAGCAACGACACTGAAAACCTCAGCCGTGAAAGTCTAAACCATTTTGTCGAAGAAGTGGATGCCCCTAATTTTTTTGTTATAAAAAAGAATAATTTTGCAAAACTAATTACTCTAACATATATATAAAAAAATAACTATCATCAAAAATAAAATAGGCATGATAAATTATATTGTGACTGCTAAATTAACATTATATTCAACTCCTTTTTGAATTTGTAAAATGTGATATTAGAATCTTCTGAGTTTTTAACAGACTATTTATTAAAGAAATAAGAAATTAATGATTGCTTTTATAATTTCTTCTGAGTCAATATATGTTTATTTGCCCGAAATACAAAAACTATTGATTAATCGATGTGTTTATATAATCTAACATATTTAGGAAATACGGTCATTTTAAGATACTGGCCTCAATTTTCCTTGTATGACTTCTATATATGTAGAAAAAATATAAATGATGAAAACATGTTTAATGAAGTCATGCCTAGACGAGAAGAGATCAATAAACTTTTACTATATTTTGGCATACAGTCAAAGTCTTACAGCATAATATATTGGGGACAAGCATAGTGACTGCGGACTGGCATGGTGTTTTCATAGTTCAAAAAAGAATTATTGGTCTTCTGTTCTACATTAATCATGGTGAAAGTTATCATAATATTTTTAAATAAAAACCAAATATGAAAGAAATCGATAAAATATTTTAAAATAAAATTAATTTGTTGTCACTTGAACAATGTCAAAAATGTGTGAAAAATCATATGGAAGAGTACAACTTAACAGTTAATCAGCATGAAGTTGAAACAAAGTGTAGTGAGCTACAAATTCCAAAATTTGAAACATCAACATAGAGAAATGCTGACTGTATCCAGAGTATCAGTTGTTATTCCATTTTCAAATGTGACTTTGAGAAATTTCTATTGTAGTTTTTTTTCATTGAAGGAGTTTCATAATTCAAAGAATTAGGTTATAAGCAGTTTACATTGTTTGTTTGATTTGCCTTGTGAACACCATAATATGGTGTACATAATATGTTTTATTGGTGAATAAATCTATTTTATTCTTTGTGGCATGCAGAACATACATACAATATCTGGATCCCACCAGAATTCTTACTTGCTAATTGGTCTTTTAAGCTTTATAAAAAGAAATAGTTGACTAGAGAGTTTTTCACATACAGCATATAAACGTAACAAGTCCATCTCAATGTTTGTTCTACTTTAACTTCTAATAAATTATATTCTGGTTCAGTGTATAATTTGTGGTAAACAAGGTTTGATTTTGATTGATATTTTATTTCAGCTGATTTGGAATAAGTCATTCATTGACTTTATGAATCAGCTCCAAATCATTTAAATTTATACATGATAGTTTACATGTTTTTCATGAAGAAATAGGTTTAATTGTTGATATATATTACAAACAACATAGGATCCAATACAGACCCTTGAAGTACCCTGTTTCAAATTATGTGGGAATCTGATGTTTTCTCATAAGAAAGAACAGATAGCAGTCACTTTCAAAAGTAAGACTCAAAAAATTTCAATAGGCACATACATATAGGCATAAATAGGTACTTACAAATATAACTATGTTGATTACACAAAAATGAATAACGAGCATACATAAAATAGTTTACTGTAAAGATATGCATGCTTTTTGTTAATTGAATGATTAATTATTATCTCAAATAAGGTCACATACTGAAAATTGTTTCAGGAAAATTCAAGTGGAAACCCTTCCCTTTTCAAACAATTTTGTTATCAAATTTACAAAACAATAAATAATTTTTTAATTTCATAAAGTCTATTTTTTAATCACAAATCTTTTTCAAATCTTTAACCAATGACTGAAAAGTGGATATCAATGTTGGTGACTCTTTCAGCAAAGACATTTGAATAAATTCATCCATATCGGATTTTTCTTCTAGTACTTTAGAAAAGTTGTATATGAATGTACCATTGAAACAATCAGATACCAACAAATTTGTGAAAGGCATGTTCAACAAATCATTCAAAATAATTATATGCAATAGACAACTTTGGAATTTTGACATTGCATGTACACAATCTATATCAAACAATTTAGGATTGCTGGATATTTGGAAATATTTAACAAAATTTCTCATTTCAATTACAGTTTGAGTTGTTTCATTATCAGGGTAGCTCCTGTGTAGACGTTTTCTCACAAAAACGGATCAAGCGAACCTCTCCTTGGAATTTATGCAAAATCGCCTTACATAGTACTAGAGAGTAACAAAGAGACCAGCGAAGTGGCGAAAACTTTTGTACATAAAGAAGAATAACCATAAACAATTGCCATGATTTCGGAAATACTTTTAGTATTTTTTCTGTCAAAAAATCCAATCCAAGTATTTTCAAAATAGTCAATCTCCTGTCTGCATTATTCATCCCTTCAATGTCTGCAAAAGATGGAACATCCACACTGAAACGAGGAATAGTTTTTGGGATAAGGCGATCTCCTTCTCGCATAAAACACTCTAGCTGTCTGTCCGAGTTAATGAGAATTTTCTGAATGGCGCTTACAATTCTCTCACTTAAAATGTGCGAGTGTGGTGAGCCAATATTTTCAACTTGAGCTTTGAAACTGAAATATTTGTTGTGTATAAAGATATCTATCAAGTTAGATGAGTAACGGCATTTTCTGTAATTTTCAAGAAAAGCCTTGGGAATTTTTTTGACCAAATTGTTATTTTCCCTGTCTTCTTCATTTTCTGGTAGATCTGGATTATTGAAAAGTCCTAGATTGGCGAGATATTTACTTTGGCAACATTTGTAATTCCTCATACTTCTCTGCAATTTTGTTTTCACAAAATCCTTCTGCTCAGAATCCACAAGTTTTACGATATCATCTACAGCAGTTTCAACGCTCTTTTTCTCAATCCACCGTGCTATTTTCATAATACGAGTATCAAATTTAACTCTGGAAGGCCACAAATTGAAACTCGGAAAATTAATGAAGTCAATCTGTAGAATGGATGCTAAGAGAGGTAACTTGTTATCAGCCAAACCCAATATCTGGAGAAATTTATCAGCTTTAAATATACTGCACTTTATGAACTTTATATCGGTCTGTCTTGCATTCTGATTTTTTTTTCAGAATTAATAATGCTCCTACCTGGTATGAATAAAATATGGGAACACATGAAATAATCCGAATTGAAGCTTAAAACAGGGCACTTCAAAACGTGGGCAATGCTAAGTATGGCTGTACATTCATCCAAGTCACAACGTACAGTTTTGATATTCCGTTTAAGAACAACGCTTTGAAATACTTCATATATGCAGATTGGAAGGTAATCACAGGAGCTTTCAGATGAATTATAATCAAAATTAACCAATTTCTCAATCCCATTTGATAGCCTTCCAATCGTCTTCTCCATTTTTTGATTGCTCGTTCCTCCTTCAAACACTACATATGGAATCACCTTGCAAGCAGACAACATTTCGAAAAACTCATCCACAAAGTCGGCAAATTTATCATAGTCCCCTCCAAAACATCTATTTTCTTTGGGCGAATATATTCGAAATAATTGGCAAAAAACTGATTTTCCTTCTATTACTAGATTGGTGTCGTGGAGTTGATACTCTTCATAAAAATCATTTGCCTCAATGTATTTCGTTAAACCTCTTATACCCATTTTTGAAAATGTTTGAAATATATATATATGTAACCCTTTCAATACTAGATTCTTTAGAAAACAAAACAACTTACTTTCAATCTGGTAACTGAGGTAACTAAAAAAAATATGATCTTAGCACTTTCGTTTCTTTAAGAACATTGACGCCACGTCGCACTGAATTGGGTTTATCATTCCACATTCCAGTGGGATTCCCATAAATTTTATCTCCTCATGTGATTTTCCCACTTGAAAATGACGTCATGATGATGTAGTTCAGTGTTGCCAACAGAATGAACTATAAAGTCGCTACACATGAAGCAAAATTCCCCTACACTGCTTCATTCCTGCAAGCACCACATCTAAAATTAAATACCACAGAAGTTACAGTTTGTGTACCGTTCAGATACACAAAACCGCGCAACTCATAAGATGGTAAATTTATAGCAGTTAACTTTTGAATGCTGTCGTCTCAACCAAATATTTCTTAGCTTAAGTTGATGATTTTGGAATTAGATTTATTATAGAAGAGCATTACCCCAAAATCAATAAAAACACATCAAAATTTCTCATGATTACGATACTTATAAGAGATCAAAAGTAAAAAGAATCATTCTCAAATTCCGAGTTAACTAACGAACAAATCAAACATTTGAATGAACTTCATGATATACAATCAAAAAAGAAAAGAAAAAACGCATTACAATACCTAAACAATCTACTCTGAATCAGACTACAGGTGGGAAGTATCAGTAGGTTTATTTTTGTGGTCGTACATATATTGGTTATATTTTTGGTAAACCCTTTCATTGAAGACATATTTTCTACATTTATTTTTACTGAAGGATCCAGTTTTATAGAAAGTATGCTTGTGAATATTCAATTTCTTCATTTAGTTTCAGTATCATTTAGAAATGAAAATACTTCTTCCACATCAGCATTTTCATGAGGAAGAGTTAAAACTGTAAGGGCTAATTCTGATATGGATTTAAATATAAATACATCATTGAAGTTTTTGGCTTTCTACTACTCCATCTTGATACAAAAAAAATGTGGGAATCTTCCAAAGAAAGGAAGGAAGTAATGAATTTGAAAATGAGTAACTCTATATATGAATGTGTAAATAGATCATGCAAAGAAGCAACTTTCAGACACAAACTGAAAGAAAGCCCTCCTGAAACAGCTACTTTCATAAAAACATTGAATTTCACGAAAGAAAAAAATTCTTTCAGAACAAATACTTTTATATGAACACTGAATTATACAGAAGATACTTTTCTCTACTCAGTTTGTATTCCAAACATTCGTTATGGAATAAAATCAGATATCATTCACAGAATTTCTACTTTAAATGAATGGTAACATAAATTTTTGAAAAAGTCCTCATACAGTGAAAAGCCGTTTGGTAAAATTTAATACAAACTAGTTTAAATAAAAGTTTTAAAGAATCACAAAATCTATTTAGAATACGTTTCAATTCTTCACCTAATATTAATTTTTCAAATGCCAAAATGTTATTTGGATTGAATGGGTCCAACAAGTCAATGTTCTTTTCAATCTTCAATCACTCATGTTTCATGAAATTTATTGCATCATCTTCAAAAAGTAGACACACTCTTCACACACACTCCTGAAATTCTTCTAATACTGATTGTCTTTTAGGGCTTCATGAAAATAGAAGCTAGTGTTTTGAAGAAAGCTTTCAATATGTTGGGGTAGAACCGAGGTAATTGTAATTTGAAAACAAATTTCGAAAACTAACGGTGAATAAATTTACAGCTTACGAAGTACAAGTACTTGTTTGTAAGTTTTAAAAGAAACACATAAGACATTACTAATTGAAACGAAATATACATACACAGAGTGTATAAGTTCATCTAATAAAATGATCTAAAATTAAAATCTAAAAGCAAAAACATACTAAAATATCTACATTGAAGAATTCAATGGTAAAAATGTCATTACTTTTATTATACTTTTTTTTTTATTCTATTCATTTTAATCCATTGCCTATTTGATTTAACTCTCTATAATTTCATGAAAATAGTTTCTGCTTGTATTTTGTACATAATGTTTAAGAGTTTTTTTGAAACGGTGTGCGCAGACCTCATTTTTAATATCATTTGGCAATGTATTAAACAACTTAGGCCCAAGATATGGATAGCTTTTTTGCCTGATCGACTTATACATAAGGGGTGATTTGTAATTATATTTATGCCTAGTTGAGTAATTATGGTTTTGCATTATCAACTCAGATCTGTATATAAATTGTCTCAGATTTGCTTGTATGTAATATAATTGTCTAACATCATTAACACCAGCTTCACAGAACTGACATATACACTTTCTTTTAGAAAGTATTCCTTTACACTTTCCTTATTGCCTATCATCAAATTTGTGTTATTTGAAAAGTAACCTACAACGTTCTCAAAGCAGATACCATATTCGTTTCGTTTAGACTTTTCTTCGTAAGGTTGAACAGTCCTTTTGCAGTTCCTAGATCTGACGGAATCTCTGAACTATACAATAAGGCAGTCTATATTTTGGTTTCACTGAAGTACTTCACTAGAATACACAGTAATCTTTTATTATTGATGTCAATACTTTCATTCAACAAAACCGAAACTTTGGCATCTTGCAATTCTATTCTATGAATAGAATAATTTCATGAATAGTTTTTGATTAAAAATTTTTTTGTAATTAAGCTGCATTTTGTTTTTCCCAATGATATCCGTTTTGCTATTTGTAAATCATGTAAAATTACTTTGTTGCGCTAATGTGTTCTAGCCTATTAATGCTGATGTAGTGACTGGCTAAAAGGAGACATTGACTTAGGATAACATTTATTCAACTTGAATAATTTTTACTGAAAACAGTATGTTACAATAGTCACACGGTTTTTGCTTCGGTAGAGTTGTGCCCATGACTTGTTTACCGAGGTTAACCATTCTATTGGAATGTTTCCATAGAAAACACTGAAAGTTGGGCTTTCAACTTATTTTATATACCTAACCAATTTGGAATGTTTAACAAGGTCCGAATATTTTGTATTCAGAATACAGTTGCAAACAATACACTGAGCTCTTGACTCTTGAACGATCATTTACTATAGGTCTAATAATCCTTTCAAGTTGGAATCAGACAACCAATGTTACTGCGGTAGCTCTTTCACTCGATCTACTACGAGAGATGAACTATCTTCCATTTCCACTGTAATAATATGTTCCATATGATTTATTATGAGAGGTTTGTTCTGGTTCTGCGAAATTAGGACGTCAGGATCATGCTCAGTTGATACAAAGCGTTCTGGTTTATTGAGGATAATTTTGGACTGATGAATCCTCTCTTCTGGTTTTGACTGCGAAATGATCCTAAACTGTTTTGAACCGTCCCGAATCGTTCTTGCTCTCGAGGCTGAACTGTTCCCGTTGCTCATGCGCATTCATGTGGAAATTTGTTTGGGCTATTTGCTAGGATGTTTTTTTATTTATTTGATTTGAATAATTGATGATTGAAGGTAGATAACATTTGAGCTGACTATAGGGATGCGCTACATAACAAAATGGACATGATTAATAGTATTTTCTCGTCTTTATCTCTTCATATATACGATAGGTGGCACAGTGGTCTCCTCAAAAGTGTTCTGGTTTAAACACGTGTCCGAGACTATTTCGGACTGTTTGAGATTTTTTGTTTGTACGCACCATGTCTTGCGCAGTTTCCAAACGTTTTGGAATGTTAGAACCAGAACAAACCTATACAACTTTTAGTTTCAAAATATTGGGAGTTATATGAATGAAAATATTCAAAAATCTTCTCTTTCATCACGTAATGGCCTCAGTTACTAAACTATAACGTATTGACTGTTCATAACATTGTCAATTTGGAGTCGAGTGAATTCCGTTACGGAATTCCTCTATGACCAACATTAACATTACAGCACTGATATAGTTTGACATTTTCCGATGTTTTACGTTGTTTTGTTTTAATAACGCTTATATTGAATTTCGTATACTCATAGGATTTTATATTCTCACTGACTAGGTTGCTATTATAAGACCCACCCTATTATCGTTGATTTTAAACCATTCTTCTATATAAGATATGTTAACTCCTTGTCGCATAATTCAAATAAATTTGTGTTTTCCATATGTAAACAATGGAAGAACCACGAGAGACCTCACACCCATCAGCGCCCTCTTACCATCAGCGCCCTCTCGCGATAAGAATTTTCATGATTGCCATCATTGATAATACGACTTTTTATCTGAATGTTCATGAAAAAAATTGCAAAAGGTGCGGGTATTTGTGAAAGTTATTCAAATTAAAGGGTCAACTGGGTTTAGATTGTAGATTATTTTTAAATTAGAATATCTGAAAAAAAAAACGTGTAGAGAAGTGTTTTCTTTGTTTGGAATTTCTAGGACTTATATGAACTATTAAAAAATACTTGTCTCTTTCTCATATTATGACTCAAACTGTTAAAATTGAAAGGGATCAATGAAACACATTGCATTTATTTTTCTAGTGGCGCTCACTTCAATTCGTGAAAACCAAGTTTGGTTCGTGAAATGTCACGTTCTGTGCCTTTAAAACTAGTTTCCTTTTCCGCGAGAGTCCATTTTGTTTCTCTTTACTAAGTAAGGTTAAGCGAGGTATGCATGATTTTTTTTCTAAATATTTTATTTTCAAAATTGTGGACAGTTTATAATTTTGAAGCTCAATAATTAACAATATTAATCGAAGATTAATATTTTTCCTGAATTATAAAAAAAAGTATTGTTTTTGTATTGTCCAACAATTTGAAATTTTTTTTTTTTCCAGCCAAAATGTCGTCACATTTAGTTTGGGGAATTATCCGAAACAATAACGCCTTTCTATTGAAGAAAATGAACATTTCCAAACCATTCAGTACGGTAAGAAAACTGGATTATTTTCTTAAGAAACCTTAGTATCATAACCTTATTTCAAGATTTATATCTAATTCCCAATAATTTCCTAACAAAGTGATATTGAGTATAGGTGGATTCATGCACTTGTTTGAGAATGGATTCATATATTAGTCTAAGGGTGGATTCATGCGCCAGACTTGAAACTGGACTTATAAATCAAGTAATGTGAATGTAACACAAGGGCAAGCTGTTTCGTAAAAACAAAGTGCCATTAAATGCCACTCTATGAAATGAGCATTAATCTTTTTTTTGTTGATGCTTGTGTTAATGTAAGTCTTGCATTGCTTTACATAATCCAAACCTGTAAGTTGCCAAATTTAAATCTAAAAATTTCATATTCATCATTTATTGCTACTATAAACTTACAACTTTTGTACATAGATATAAGTATGCATAAAATATTTTCATTTATGCTTGTGCATGAATGTTTCCACTGAACATCAATAATTAACAACTATGAATTCTTCTGTTTTGCCACTCACGAATTGAGATTGGATGCATGAATTCACTCTTGGTTACAAGTCATAAGTTTTAAGTTGTAAGAAATCTCATTTTCTTTTGTTATTGAAAACTTATGAGCCATGTACGTTGATATTATGGATGAGTATAATATAAAATTCAATCTCATGCATGAATGTTACAAATTAACACACAGTGGGGTATATGACACCATGCAAGGCAAGATACGACGCTGATATACAAGTCTCATTCAAATCCAAATCAGTAAACTCTGTGCACTTCTGCAGTCTATGATATGCATTAGAGTAATTAGAGTGTGGATATGAATTACACAATGTCATTGTTTTAATAGAACATTGAAAAGGAAGATATTTCTGAAATAAAATATGGGGGCTCTTTACTTCTCTTCTTTATACAAAAAATGTAAGAAAGGAAGATAATTAAGTTCCAAATGAACTTTTCAATGAAACAAAGCTCGTTTGAAACTTACAGACATAAAAACAATCACTAATATAGAACACCATCCTCAATGATCTATTTCGAAGCATCTTCAAATGCTCTTTTCGAGTCAAGCTAGGCTTTTGATTGAAAAATACCAGAAACGAAATATGAACCATATAGATACATTGAAGTATATTCACTTCAGATGAAAACTAATCGACAGATCTACAGTATTTCTCCTCTTTTATATTGAAATCATAGTCTTGGATTTTCTGTCAGTTTACAAAAAATGTTTTATGTTGAAAATCAGCTGAGGTTGAGTTTTTTTAAGTAATTTAAGTTTTGAGAAAGTCATATGAAGCAATCCTAAATAATTAATTAACATCATTGGTGGTATAGAAAATTTCTCTCAGTACATTATAGCCATATTTTTTGCAGGAACCCAATAACTTGACAAATCTCAGTTCCTATAGATATAATGGAATCATCCACAAAAAATCTGTAGGCATAGTAGATGCAGCTGACAAGAAGGGTTTCACAGTTGTTTACAAAAAAGCCAGTAAACAGGTGAGTTTTTTTAAAATTGACTTGTGATTACATAACGTTTGGATGCATGTGTTTCTATATCCTACCTCAATTAAAAACGTTTGTTTTAAGGTTGTTGACAATGTTTCGTGGTGTATTTCATCAGTTCGGACTTCCATTGTCTAATATAATATAAATTGTTTTGAAATTAGTAGTTTTCAGAAAAAAAAATCTTTTTTTTTTTTTTAATATGCATTCAATTACACTGATGAAACCATTCCTACTGAGGAACCTACTATGTAGTGTGATATTTATTAAAATAAAGTATATATTGTAAAAATTTGTAATTACCTTGAATAATGTTTATCCAAAAACAAGCAATTTACTCATCAACCAAATTGGCTTTTTCAAGAGATGAAGAAAACTGATTTCTACCAGAAATGCAATACTCTTTTCGACTTGCCTTTCATCAGCCATGTTGGCATTTTCAAATGTAGAAATCGGTTTTCTTCATCTCCGCCAATTTGGTTGGCGAAACGTGCTTCCATTCCTTGTTATCCATTGATCAGCTAGATGATACCAGATTCCAAAAGTTTTACTTTACTTATCTTATATCAGACAGCTGTTTCAATCTGTCCTAAATTTCATCAGTAGTATTAGGTGAGTCATGTTTGAACTCCTCTCTCCGGCAAGAAAAATATTGAATAAGGATTGGAAAGACATCACCTAGTAGTTTGTTTTTTACAGTGAAATCTGCACAAAGATGTAAAACAACTTTTCATTCAGCACTTGATGTCGAAATTTATTTTACAGCAGATTGCTATTGGAATCTTCCTTTATCTCTCATGAGCCGGATTTCAGTTTTTGATTCCTTAAATTGCATCTTGTCATTTGTGATCATGAAATTGTTGAAGTATTTGCGACATTAATTATGATCAATATTTATATAATTTCACTTTCAGCGCAAACCCAAACAAAGCACTGTCAAGAGGACAATGAAATCTGGTCCCAGGCGATCCCTCTACAAGTTGAAGCGTCTTTTGAAAGCAAATAAGTACCGCACAGACCTTACTAAGGTATAAGATACGTTTACTTGCAGTGAGCTGATTTACATATAATATTTTTCAGGCCGCTCTTCGTAGGGCAAGCGCAGTACTTAGGTCACAGAAGCCCCTTCCTGCCAAAAAGACCAAGGCAAAGAAGGAATAAATAAATTTTTGTAAGATCGATCAATAAAAATTTAATAAAAATATCTCGATTTTTTTTCCTTTGAAAGCTTATCAAATTTAGAAAATTCACGAGTGAACTTGGAACTTTTGTCAACAAAATTGATCTATTGAAAGCACTTTTTTTTAAACCAGGACAAAAATGCTGTTCTTGGACACGCGTTTTGCTAACCAAGTTGGTACCATCAGAAAATGACCAAGACTAATCTTAGTCATCTTGAAGTTATACTTGGTAGTTCCAGAAAGGCAGTATCAATACCAAGAAACTGAATGATTCAGAGGTCTTGTTGCATGTTGATCAAATGAAAATGCAAGGAGGTCACAACTGTTTGAATAAAAACAAACTCAATGTGATGGCAAGTAGCAAAAAAATAAAACCATCAATAATATTTCAACGATTGTAGTCGAAAAAACTAGTTGCAAAACCTAAAGTATACTTGTTGGATTGATGACGCTAGTTATTTTGTAGAAATTGTTGATGACCTAGTTATTTTGTAGAAATTGATATTGAATATAGGAGAAAGAAAATACTTCCCTCTGATTTCTACTAAGTTTTTAATTTGTTATGATCGGTTTTGCTTTGTTAAACCATTTTCTTAATAGAAATAAGACGAAAGTATTTTTTTATATTCTATAGTATACCATATATACATGATATACCCGTACAAAATCCACACGATTATAGTTATTCAAACCAGACAAACAGAATTGATAATTCTGAGTTTCACTATGATGGTTCATCAGATTAGAAACATCTGGAGAACCAAAAAAGATGTATTCCAAAGTTTTGTTTCTATCGAAGACTGCCGTGACATAGTCTTTGGAAATATTTCCATTTCGGGATTGTCACATATATGTGTATTGGGCATAAACTTGGAAATTTAAAATGTAACACCTTATTTAGAATACAACTCATTCAGGTATTTTTTTTAATCAAAACAAGACATTTTCTACAGAGAGTTCTAAACATACGACTTCATAATATTTTTGATAAACGACTATAACTCATTCAAATACAATTTAACTTACTTGTAGCTCATCAGACTTGTTTTTTTTTTATAACTTGTCCAGAAACATTCTCAATATTAGAATTTAACACTTCCTACAACCATAGTATGTTATTGAACCTAAATATCAATCATATTTTTTCACACTTTTTTTCAACTTGAGTGCAGAGTGAATTTTTGTTTTGAACTCAATCAAACAATATGCTTTATTGTCAGATGAAACAAGTCTTCTAATTCACAAAAGTCATTAGAGAAGTAATATCAAACAAATGGAGAGAAGTATTACAGAATAAAATAAACGTTTAAAACTCAAACTACATAAAATTGTGATGCCAGATGGTATTGAATACGCCATATAAAATGAAAACAATATTCAGATACAACAGGAGTTCAGATCTTGAAATATTTCCTTATAAAATTCCTCCGATGTATAAAATGCATAGTTTTAAAGTAGCTCCTTTAGGGCATCCCCAAATTTAGTATACAGATAAAGAACGAACATCTATTGGCAAGTGATTGAACATTTTTTGGCGTAGTATATTTTGAGTTTTTTATCATTGAGCTTATGGGAATACTTGAGGGGATCATGTGGATGACTTTTTGCTCATTAAACAGAACAAAAATATAGCCCTGTAGAAAATAAAAGTACAAAGCATACTTCGTTATTTCCCTAGAAAGCACCCAAAATGAAAACAATGTCATCAAAGTATCAATAAATTTTCCAATTAAAAAAATATGAGGTGGCTCTTTACTGTATGGAGAAAAAGTCAAGCGAGACAGACATATTACATGTCCAAAGGTAGCTTTCTTGAAACAAACTTTGTCGTGTCGTTATTTTTGGCTACAAAGAAGCTGTTTTCAATGAAACACCTAATACATTTATATAGTTTTTGATCTAATAGTTTCGGAAAGATGGAAAGCATAGGTACATATTTAGAAAGTGAAATAAAATAAATATTTTTTGAATGATTTGTTAGCAAATTAAGATCCGAAATTATGAGATTGAACTCAAAATTTTGAGTTTTGAAGTCGGAATTTCCATGAAACAAAAAATGATAAAAATATGCGTTTTCATATCATTCAGGTTTGAAGCTGCAGATAAACATATTACTAATAGATGTTGAAATAAATGTCACTCTTCGAGGAAAACAACTTTAGCCAGGTCATTTGTTTCTTTAGCGGACCATTAAGGCAATATAATTAGCAGTGGGATCACGCGTTAAAAAAGGAGGGCCTTGTTAATTCTTATCTCCAACAAGTTTCAGTTAAGGACCACGGTATCATTTCATAATGGTAGTTCTCAAATCAGTCGCTTTATCCATTTTTCACCAAGAATGAAATATTTGGACTCAGTCCCCCTCAACAATCTCTGTGAGGATGTTCTGCTGTTATCCCAGTACCACTTGTTATGTTTTCATGAAATGAAAGACGATACTCTCTTTATAAACAAACTCTGTATTTACTATCTCTACAAAAGATTCATAAATTTAATCCTAAGTAGATTTCAGAAATATAAAAATGTACACAACAATAACAAATACATAAACATATATTGTAAGAATTTACATAATGAATTGTAAATGAAAGTAATTTCCAAAGGTCCGCAGACAGTATCTATGTTTTCATTGCAAATTAATCGAAAATAACACTTATGGATGTATATTTCAATTAAATTATTTACTTATGTCTATTCTTCTGAAAAAAAAAAAAGGAAATGGATAATACGGTGATTGATAAATATATTTCAAGAAGGTTTATCATGTTCTGAGTGCTTCACATTGATGGTTCAGAAATGTATAGTAAAAAGGCAACCTAGAGTTATTTTAGAATGTTTATCATAAAACTGATAGAAAACTTGAATCTATTTCTGTGGCTTGTGTTACGAATTCGGAACTGTATCATTGAAAATATTCTGTTGACATTTCAAACATATGCTCAAACTGAACATTACAAATATCAAAATATTTCACTTAGACTTTTGACGTAACCGTTTTAATATTTACAAACACAACAAATCTAAACTTATCAATTTGTATTTATTTACATCATATATATATAGTACTTCAGTTTTTAAAATGGGCTGAACTTAAATGAACAATCTACTTTTAATTGAAGATGCAAAACACCAAGACATGTTTAAATCCTCCGAACAAATTGCTTTGTGTTTTTTTTAAACTCAGCTCAGGAATATACATTTAAGCTAGCATTTTCCTAGCTATGATTTGAATTTTAATCATCTCCCTGAATATAGATCACTTTATTTCACTTAGACTAGAACAAAAATGAACTTGAATGGTCTATGTTGAATGGAAATCTTGGCAACAACTTCAATACTATTTTATGTAATGTAATGCTTCTATCACGGCATTGCATTGTATATGAGGTATACAATGTTAAACAATTGGTATGAAAATAATTACTGAAAAACGACCCTGGCGAGATATTTGCCAAGTTTATTTCGCCTATTTTACCGTGCACAAAATAAAGTTATGAAAAAAAATCAAATTGTTTAATTTTGTACATTTGCAAACTCATATTTTAACATCGACACAATATAGAAATATTGGTGATGACATAGCTTTCTTAACATCACTGCTAGATGTATTTGTGTAGTCAGTTTGGGAGACTGACTACAAAGTAATGTGTGGACATGATACAAATAAATAGGTAAGTACATATCCACTTTAACAATTATTGGGCTACTGGAACAGTGTCCATTTAGGGATGTCTTGAGAAAGTAAGGCTGCGTAAGGAAGACCTTAGCTGCAAATTACATAGAAAGTTCATATTAGCAATATTATTGTAGATAAATCTATATTGTCCAGTTATGACTGACTCGATTTATTTCACAATGATAGTACAAAATTTGTTTGCAAAGTTGTTTCACACATCACTCACTAAACGTTCAAATAGTGATACATAAAATGTGTGAACTTTATAGAATAGGGAAAAATTTAAATTACCACACTAAAGTACTTCCTCATAATGGTCCAGGTTGCTTTTTGAATAGCCTTTTTTAGAATTCATCCATATTGTAAATTTCTATTCAAACATAGTATCAGTAAAAATTATTTAAAAGTAGGGTGTTATGATTTCAGAAGAGCAGTAAAATAAGCGAAATAACTTGTAATATGCCTAGGTTCCTAATAAAGATAAAATGAGTATAAAATTCAGTTTGTAAATGAAACATAAAGATACTGAAAATGTCTTGAAGTAAAAATTATAAAAATGTATGCATACGAAATGCATAATTCAGAAAAAGTAAAGTATACTTTATGGTATTCTATATGCTACTTTAAGAGAACAGATATCTGTCTGCTAGGATTTAAAATGTCTGTGAACTTAAAATTAGCATACATTGAAAAATATAAAAATAACTTAAATGTCTCAATAAATATTTGAGAACTAGAAACTAGCTAGATTTTTGGTCACTTTTTAAGGTTAAGGTAAGCCTTTTTCTGGAAGTCTCCCCACACACAGACTTCCTACGAGATGTAGGCTCGCATGGAGTGGGAGTTCCTTTTCTTCTCTGCATTCCGACATTGGCAGTTTTTCTACCGGCACTTGGGGTTTTTGTCATATTTGGCTTGTCACAAATCGGAGGCACATTTCCTACTCGAGACCAATTGTCTATCTGAGCCTCCCTGGATTCCTTGAGGACTGTACGAATTGCACTAGTTTCACCTACAAGTTCCTGTAGTTTCTGTATAGTTGTATACAAACAAACTGCACTTACTAGTCCGAAATCAAACAAACTAGTCATGTGTATGACAAAATTTTTGTACAGATTTTTCAACAATAGCTCCTTTCCCTTATACTGAACAAATAATTGGCAGGCAATAGGAATTTGGCAGTCACCCACAAACCCGTGTTTCATAACATGCAAGTTCCACATTTTCATCAGTTCTTTCTCTCCTTCATTAACGTCAGTGAACTCGTCTATCATCATCATAGTTTTGTTCTGCAGCCACTCTGGGTCATTCTCTCCTTCAGAATCGACATCCATTTCTTTGGGATAAATCGGCAGGTACGTGGTGGTGTGGTGATACAGTCTATTGTGGCCAGTTATAAAAGGCCTCTGACCATCAAATTCACAGTCATCAAGTTCAAGAAACTCGGACAAGCTCGGTTTAGGACGTTTCGGATGACAGACAAGAATATGAGTTACAGAAGCTCGACGGACAGGTCCGCTTCTAGAAAAAGCGCAAACAGAAGGCTGGGAAATCAAATCGTGAGGAGATCCAGTGTATGATCCATCATACATTTCATTTATTGCTACATCTATCCTAGCACCTACTGAAATAGGAACATAGGTGAAAGTAAATCGTGAGTGGCACAGTTTCAAATGCTTCAACAGCGTATACAGCTGATTGCAATTCAAACTGCACCACGGGCAGTGTAAGTCTTCACAAGCTTCAGTCTGCTGACGAGAATTATTGTTATATACAAACTGATAAACTATTTGTAATTTCTCTACATTGTTGTTATCACCATTCATCGATAATGGCACATTTTCTTTGTTTTCTTGCAAAGGATAAGGCGGAGGGCGGTCAACTATTCTAGCACTAGCCTCGGGAGACCAATTGAGTTTGAACTTCAGAACAGCCCCCTTCATGAAAGCATCCAAATTTCCACATGTTTCTACCAAATCGTTCACGCTTTCCCAACTGGAGTGCTTTTTGAGATTATTCTTCGGGTTTCCTGAGAAATCATGTACCACAATGTCATAATCTCCATCGCTCAGGTAGCACCTATTGTGTTTATCATAAACAGTAAGTTCAGCCCCGTAAAGTTTTGTGTTATCAGTACCATTGGATTTGCGCTTCTTCAAAGCGGGTTCCTCGTCTCCACTGTCCTTTTCAGAAGTGACTTTCACTCTGAATAGGATTATGTAAGACTTGACCAAAGGGCCACTAGAAGGGTTGAAAGATTCTGTTGGAATGCTGATTGTGGGAGCCGTAAGAGGTAGCTGTTGATCATCGGGATTGATCGGAACATCGGCTGTCCCGAGAGTTATTTGCATACTAGGAGCAGAGCTGTCTTTACGTTTTTTGTGACTGATTTTCAAGAGCACTGTTTCTACCTGAGCTATTTGAGCATTGTAGTCTAAGGATTTATTGTTAAAACTTAGAAAAGTAAGATTTATAAACCCAGGTTGTATGGAAATGGAATCTCTCCTCGAAACTACTTTATCCAATAAAGAATCGACTTTGAAATTTTGCCTGTGTTTGTGGACTCGCGACATTCTTTGTCTCATATAGGTTAGGGTTCTGTTGAGGAAGATGGGCTAAAACATAAATTAAATGAACTCTCTCGAACAAAAACTGTAAAAGAAACTTACTGAACACATATTTCTTGTGCGTAAGTACCTATATATTTGCGTTGGTTCTGGAAAATAAACAGTTAGTTGAACTAGAAAGGTATAGTTCTGAAAAATTAACTTACTTTCAAAGGCCTGTAAAAATAATTCGTGATCAGCCTGAATGTGATCGATTCTTGGAGTTTTAACATTGTCTGGATCTTTTTCTCTCTTTTTGGGGGGCATTCTTTTAGATTAAAATATAATACTGACCCGCGAAAAAATACAACCGCCTTTCTTGGACACGCCAACCACCCCGAGCTTATTGTCAGCTTGCTAGTTTTTTTTGACAATTTTGACAAGCAATCAAGCAATCACGAAACACCAGCAGGTTTGTTCTAGGTTTGTTATGGTTCTGCGAAATTCAGGTTCTAGGACGTCAGGATCATGCGCAGTTGATATAGAGCGTTCTGGTTTATTGAGGATAATTTCGGACTGATGAATCCTCTGTTCTGATTTTGACTGCGAAATGATCCCAAACTGTTTTGAACCGTCCTGAATCGTTCTTGCTCTCGAGGCTGAACTGTTCCCGTTGCTCAAGCGCATTCATGAGGAAATTTGTTTGGCCTATTTGGTAGGATGTTTTTTTATTTATTTGATTTGAATAATTGATGATCGAGGGTAGATAACATTTGAACTGACTATAGGGATACGCTACATAACAAAACGTCTTCATCTCTTCATATATACGATAGGTGGCATAGTAGTCTCCTCAAAAGCGTTCTGATTTAAACAAGTGTTCGAGACTATTTCGGACTGTTTCAGATTTTTTGTTTGTATGCATCATGTCTTGCGCAGTTTCCAAACAGTTTCGGATGTTAGAACGGGAACAAACCTAGAGGATTCATCAGTCCGAAATTATCCTTAATAAACCAGAACGCTCTTTATCAACTACGCATGATCCTGACGTCCTAGAACCTGAATTTCGTAGAACCAGAACAAACCTAGCAATTATTGGTAGTTGTTCCACAGAATAGTAATAGTATTCTGTGATTGTTGTACAAGAAGGCAAAACTTTCTAACCTGGAGAATCTAATCATTTCCAGACAATTACAGCAAAGTAGCATTTAGTGACGTAGGCGAGCATGATCCTAGCGTCCAGAATAAGGTTTATTACAAAGTGTCTCAAATCAAATTCTGAATAAAAATGAAAACTGACCAAGAATTTTCTTTTGTGTTTCAAAGTTTGTTTTATGAACAGTAGTGAAGACTAGGAGCTTTTTGAGTTTCTTTTTTCAAAGTATTATACCCTGCATAACTTATTTATGTAACGTTTTGGATTCAGAAGTGTATTCGTCACAACAGGAAAAAATAGAACACATCATACAATTTTAATTATAGTGTTGAATTGGCCAACTATTAACATTAGGGGAGGTGATAAATATCTGTAGGATATATTTCATTATTCATCGTGATATTAACCGCTGAAGTAGCCGTTCTTCGGCAGGCATTCACCAGAACCTACTATGTAGGTAGTTGGGAGAGAGGAATTCATCAATATATTTCATTTGTAAATATTTATTTTCTTATTCTCTCCTCGTTACAGTCTTCAAATACTTTTGATCTCTGTCAAAGTAGTGGTACATGGGATGTTTTTTCCCCGCTTGGGGCTTTGTTCACGAGATGAAGCTGTTACTAATTGACAATCTCTCTCTTAGACGAAGATTTTACACATGCAGTTGACCAGCGTTGAAATTACTTTGCTGCCTGGGTCAGATATATCCTGCACTGATGAGAGGAAATACCACGAAATGGGTCTGTAGGTGATCTACTCGAATAATTTTAGCATGGTCCTGCAAGTGGATGAACAAGAAACATCTGCGAGACTAACCTCGGTGAGGTATCTTGCATAAATGTCTGTTGGATATATTTCAATATCCAGCGTGATATTAGCTGGGAAAATAGTTGTTTTCCGATAGGCATTAACCGGATCTTGTTCTGAAAGTAGTTGGAACGGATGAACATTTCGAAATTTCATTCCGAAATATTTATTTTATCATTTATATAAATTTGAGATTTAGTAGAAAATTTACCTTGTTTGCTCACTTGAGGATACTAACCTAGGACATGGAAAAAACGTGGATGACATCTATTGGAATTTACGTAAATACCACAGTAGAGGTGTGGTAAATATGTTAAAGGTGACGCCAAAAAGTCCCTAAAGCCAAACATTGTGTTGGTCACAATGTCTCTTGACATAAGTCAGTCATAGTTTTAAGTTCTATATTAAAAGTTCTCTAGTTAAAGAAAAACTGTCTTTTAGAGTATGTAAGGTTATGTTATATATATATGTATTTGAGTATGGTGAATAAAAACACAAAAAAAGGTAAAGCTAAAGTTTAATTTTGGATCATCCACCTAAAATATTAAAAAAATACTGGTCTGGTAGTATTGAGAAAAATTTCATTTTCACATACCAGTTCAATGTTAACTGTATTTTCTGGAAAATGATTATGTAGAGATTAGGTTCTGTACGAAGTCCCTAGTACACATTGATCTGTTTTGAAATTTGTTTTTCCGTCAATCAGCTGTCGCCCCCATACGAACGACAACTTGAGAAACTTGTGCGAGCTAAGGACTAAGGAGGTCTTACCTTTTAACGTGTGATTCCCAACACGGTTGCAGAATCATCCCAGCTTCAACCAGATGAATTCTCTCGAGAAAAATATCTAATCGAGGCGGGAATCGAATCCACGTCCTTCTGATCGTGAGTCAGGCGCACTATCACCGCGGCCAATTCCCAATGAATGGATGGATGATGAATTTGAATTCAATCATTATGTACCATGTACCTACTTCAGCATCTGTATGTTATGCAGTTAGAGCCATATATCATTGATGTAGAGGCTTCTGCGCCGATTAATTGATAAACTCTTGTATGTACAACTAAATTTGAGAACCGTTTCAGGTTTGTCACGATAATGTGTACAAAATACAACAATATAACCTGGTACTCCGAAGAATGGTAACATTTTTTTCGAAATGATAGTTTGTTTATGAAGTTACTTCGGTGGCAGATACTGGTTTGGTTACATTTACTATCAGATACAAAGTTGTATTTGTAATGTTCTAACTTTATATACTCCATGGTTGTTGGTGACATAAGTTGGTGACACTGTCGAGTTTATAGTCTTGTTAGGTTTGAGGCAGGTTCTTAATGGTAGTTGAGTAGGTTGAGGTCGTCAAGTCCAACGACTATGGACGGTACAGGATTGCTTACTTTTGCGATTTTGTTAGACACATCACGTGATCTCGTGACGTAACAGTGGTGACTCGATTGATTCGGTACTGCACTTTTGAATTGAAATAAACAAATTTCATTTAAATTCCTTATTGAAATATTATTTTTATATAGGATTAAATACTTAATATAAATGGATTGATACTAAGTGAATTTTTTTTTTGTGGATGATAGGGCTAGCTATTTTGTTCTTTTTAAAAGTAAGAGGTTTCATCAGATTTTTATTATTTTCGTGAAAACTTCATCGAATCCATTCTTTTTGCAAAGTTGTGGAAACCATATCCTTAGCAATAGGAAAAGAGTGAAATATTACATCAGTAACACCACTTTTCTTTAAAGTCAACTGATTGCTTTTGCAAGTTGACACTGCACAAATACGACCAGGCATAATAACCAATTTTTACCTTAATTTAATTTTAAAATGTTCAAAAAACAAAAAGTTCCACAATGGCAAAAAACAAACCTCAAAACGGAAGAAAATAACAGAATCATATATGGCGTCTACTCGCTACACCAGTTTAAAAAATGTCCAACAGCACAAAAAAATACGACTTTCACAATAACAAACTCAATGTTTCAGAAACCTAATTGGTATAATTAAATACAAATGTAACCAAAATAAACAAAAACAATGTAATACTGTTCGAAAATAATCCTCAAAAAATGTTAAAATAACACACAGTGTTATGGCAGCTACTAAAAGTGTCACTTGTGTTACGTCACATCTGCTCGGACCTTGTTTAAAGTGGCGATATATGTAAGTAAGCAATCCTGTATGTCCATAATCGTTGATCAAGTCGACATACTCTCTTGTAAGCATTTAATAAGCAAATAAGCCAGAATAAAGAATTACGGAGATTAATTTGTATGATACGACAGTATTCTAATAAGTAGCAAACGGTTACAGTTTGTATGTACAATTACTAGCTTTGTACGATTCACTCAGTTTCAAAATTAATCGTAATCACTAAACTGTGTAGCCGTTAACTACGTGGTAGGAAATCATTATGAAGAAAAGAGAATTGAAAGTTTCTATGTTTTTTACCACTCACATTTGTAACTAACGTTACTACAGTTTTGTCGTATAAGGACATTTCCAAACTCATACATTAAACAAAGAAAAGTGGTAAAAAATAAATTGATGGATGTAGCCGTTACTACGTGGTAGGAGATCATAATGAAGAAAAGAGAATTGAAACTTTCTTTGTTTTTCACCACTTTTATTTGTAACTAACGTTACTGCAGTTTCGTCCTATAAGGACATTTTCAAACTTATACATTAAACTATGTTTGTATGATACGACAGTATTCTATAGTTTGAAAATGTCCTTATAGGATGAAACTGCGGTAACGTCAGTTACAAATAAAAGAGGTAAAAAACATAGAAAGTTTCGATTCTTTATTCTTCATAATCTAATCACTTCACTGATATTTCAATTGATGAAAATGGGAGGAAAACAGATTAATATAACCTGTGCATTAAAAATTAGTTTGGATATTCATATGTGATGAAGTTATGAATAAAACGAAAATGAGAAGAAACAATAAACATATATAAACTTCAATGATAACCCTGATCGAAAAGATATTTCGAAGTTTATGCGAAAAAGAATACACTAAATAATTGTATTTAGGAATATAGAATTTCATTACTTTTTTCCGAGTTTTGAAGTTATTGTATTGATCTCATCTTTTTTATTGTTCTTTTATGACCAAATTTCATCTACACATTCATAGTTATCCGACTTTGACACTCATATGGGAATCTTCAGATAATAAGATAAATTTTGATTACATTTGAATAAACCATTTTTTGTTTTTTTCTGGATAGAGAATTATATATTATACAGTTGATATTTAAGCATATTATTGAATAATTGTATGTGTGAATATTTTCACACAGGCATTAATTAATTACAAATCTAGTTTCAAGGTTGTTATTTTTTAAAGGAACACAATAAAGAAAAATGTTTCTATGAATGCATTATTTATTTTAAAAAAATGCTCCCATATACTGAAAGCAAGTTGATAATATTTGATTGAAATCAATGTTAAATATCTAACACAGTTTAAGGATTTTCTGGCGTGTCTTTTCCAAAGACACGCCAGATGAAGCCATTGTATGGCGAAACACGTGTTGCGTTTTTGTAAAACAATTTAGTGAAAATCTCACAATAAAGTGTTTTTGGAATACGTTAGTTATTGATTTTCATCAAGTATCGGCCGATTCCATCATATATATATATATATATAAATTCAGTAGACCATTTTGGTTTCATTAACGTTCTCCATAAAATTTTGAAAGTGAGTGAAAATCTCATCACTACTAATTACAGCATTTATGAAGTATATGCAACCTATTTTAAAAATGAATATTTATGGTTGAACTTCCACCGTCTCTATTTAACAAAATTATGGAATCAAAAAAAAGTATGTACAATGTGAAATAGCATTCACCAAAAAGTTGTTATCTGATAATTGATGAATTTCAAAAGTTACATTTAGTAAGTAGACAATGGAAGTTGGAATCGTTACTATTAAGAAGCAACACTTAACTGTTAACCACATTTAAACAAAAATTACTGAATTTGCAACATTATAAACGAAATCACATAGATAAATTAATATATAATTTGAATAACCGAGGTCCACAAGTGAACCCTGTGGGACTCCTGTGTTGATCTTGAATCTCTGACTTCTTCCGGTGAGAGAACTCATGACTCAAGCAATTATTTCATCAGTAATTTCTAAGGACCTAAGTTTTTCGATGAGAATTATGATTTATTTATTTAGAAAAATTTGTATGAATACAGTAAACTTGCTTGAAATTTTCCAAGGCATTCAACAAGAAACCTTTATAGGTCAATACATTTCTGGTTATAAACCACTGCTCAGGCGGTAGTTCATTATTCTCCTGAAAATAGGCGATCACTTATGTCGTGAAACGCTAACATATTAATTGTAAAGGGATGGCAACAAAACTGCGTTGTTTGCTTGGCAACACGGGCTGTCAAAGTCAAATTAAATGACTACAAAAGAAGTAGAAAAAGATTTCAAGGGATGATAATCAATTTGATCATTTTATTTGACTAAACAGAAAATTTAATAGATCGAGCAAAATGGAGTGTGTAGGTAAGTTTATGAAGAAAATTGTTTATACACAATATCATCACGTATTCTTTTTATATATTATATATAATAGGTTGATTACTGCAAATCATGATACCTATTTCCAATATTTCATTTCAGGTTCTAAAAGTAATTGTACTGATGAAAAACACTTGAATATTGTGGAAAAAAATTGTACCAAAGAAGAGAGTGATAAGTTAACTGAACCGTCAGACTGCAAGATTCCTAAAACAGATATGGATGAAACAAATTCTATTAATAACACTGTGAATGGTGAAGATGACATGGTTGAGGTGAAAGTTGTATATAATAAAAAGAAATATGATGTTTCAACTACATCCAAGACCACTATCTCCGACTTCAAGAAACAATTACAGGGTTTATTAGGTTGGTTTGCTCCTCATGTAGAAGTGGCTTTGGCAGTTGGTCAAAATTGTGTAATATTTTGATAACTTGACTGGCGCAAAATTTTAAAGTTTTTTTACTTGTAAGTCACGTGAATATTCGTTTTAATGACGCGCTAGTTTTTGAAATTAGACTTACTCTTGAGGAGATACTATCACTCAAAAGGTGAAAAATTTACTATTTTAGGAACTCACTTTTAGTGAGTTTTTAAAATGCACGTCCCCATTACAAAAACCACAAATGGCATACATTTCTGAAGACTTCTGCAAAGTATAGGACAGAGATACAACTCTTGGGTTCAAAATAATATGTGGTGCTTTAAAACACTGTCTTTATGATCCTGATTACAGTATCAGTTAAAATTATTTTTTGTTTTCTCAGGTGTTCCAGATGCAATGCAAAAACTCATGTATAAAGGTCTTCTTCAAGATAATCAAACAGTTTCTAGTTCAGGCATCACTAAGGGATCCAAGATTATGTTAGTTGGTTCAACTTTGAATGATGTTCTGGCTGTTTCATCAGTCAGCAAGCAGGTAATTTGACCATCAAATTATTTTTTCTGATAGGTCAATGGTTAGTAAGTAAACTTGAAAAAGTAGGTATGCTCTTAGGCATCTGAGTAAATACAGCCTCTCTACTGCTCACGCATTATTATAAGTGAGTTCTAATTGTATTTGATTCGCTGAACAATAAATCATTGTCTTCGTGTTCTTCTGATCAAATAATTGAATAGCTCAATAATTTATGGTGATGCCAACAAGTGAAAGGAAACAAATAGTGGTTATACAAATGCCAGATTAAAAGAAGTTCATGCGAAAGTTGGTGTATCACAGGAATTCATCCTGGTACTGTTGTTCTTTTATACCATTTATGATAAGTGGTAGAAATTATCTGTGGATAACACTTATTTTTAGAATAAATAATGAATCTAATAATTCTATATTGTTATCTAATTTCTGTGCTGTAGTTAATTTCTGTGACAATATAACTATCTACAATTTTTCTACCAAAAAATATTTGTCCGAATTTTGAATTTAAGAGGTTACCTCTACAAAATTCCTAGGAATGACTTCAGATGATAGTATGAGATAGGGAAAGCTATCGATTCTACTGTGAGTGAACTGACTTTGATATGCTTTGTCATAAAAAGACTAAAAAATATTGTATTGCTCGAAATTTTGAGAATAGCATATTTTGACCTGGTACAGTTGATTTTGTCTCTTGAACTCATATTCTGGGGAGCGCCAAAAAATTTCAGTAAAATATTCATATTATCATTCAATTAGGAATCATGGTATTACCATTCCTCATATATATCTTCTGATTACTAATCTAATATCTGATAACACAACCCAGGTGTGGAGAAAAGACATTCATTAGAGATAAGTTTATTTATGACATTTTATTATAAAAAATATGCAGTAATGAATAAACTCCTAAATAAACTGATAAAAGCCTGGAAAAGTGAAACTTTGCTAAGGCATGTCATAAAAATGGATACACCTTTATAAAGAAAAGCCAATACTAAAAAAAGCTCGCCAAGTTTGATCAAATGTCAAGGTTTTGCTCACTGTTTTCTTCGATTACCCGTAGCGTATTACATCAGGAGTTCTTGGCACGTAGTTGTCAGTAAGGAGTATTATGTTGAAGTTATGCGCCGCTCAGGAGAAGCAATATGAAGAAAACGTTCGGTATTGTGGAAAAACAGTTCATTACTTTTGCATCACAATAATGCGACTGCTCACTAGTCATTGCTAGTTCGTAATTTTTTGGCCAAAAACAACACCGTAATCATGCATCAGCCACAGTATTCACTAGATTTGGCCTCCTGCGATTTTTTCCTGTTCTCAAGATTGAAGAGGCCCATGAAAGGACGGCGTTCTGTGACCATAGAAGAGATGAAAACCGAATCGCTGAGGGAGCCCAAGGACATACCAAAAAGGGCATATCAGATCCATAGTGTATATACCATGCATATGAAACATGAAATAGAATCATTAGTTTGACTATTTCTATCAAATCTATAACTTTATGGGGTATCATTCATATCATTCACAAATAGTGTGAAGAACAATACATAGGTTTTGGTCAAATAAATTATCATTCAATCCAGACAAAACAACTATCGTAAAATTTCAGACAGCCCAACAACACAATGAGGACTTCAGAATTAAACTATCTATTTTTCTGATTGATTCGGCCGTTACTTGATGAAGATCCAGAAGAAAAAATTGTAACCAGTGATAATGTGAAATTACTAGGTATTGAACTAGACAAAAATCTTAAGTTCAAAACACATTGCGAATCACTAACATCTAACCTTAACTCATTCTATTACTTGATCTATAATTTGAAGATTATTCTTACTCATGAACAATTAATGAACTTCTACCATGCACAGGTGGAATCTCGTTTGAGATATGGTATTGATTTCTGAGGCAACTCCATACATTCTAGGAACACAATTATTGCACAAAAGAGATTGGTAAGGTGCTTAGCAGGAAAATCAAGACAACACTCTTGCAGAGATCTTTTCAAAAAACTGAACATTTCAACTCTGACTGGATTATTTATTTTTGAGATATGTTTATTCCTCTATAGAAATAGAGGAATCCCAAAGAATTACAACACACATAACATCAATACAAGACAAAAGAACCTCTTGTGTATACCTTTTGTCAGATTGAATATTACCATTTCCTCGCCAAACTGTATTGGGGAAAGGTTATTTAACAAATTACCTGAGTCAGTAAGAAATTCCACTAGGGAAATAGAATTTAAAAAAGAACTCAAAATATTTTTAATTGGACAAAGTTTTTTATACTGTGACCGAATTTTTGAGCAAGTAATTTACTTATTTATAATATACACTCATTAGTTTGTAAGTTTTATAGTTGTGTAGTATCTGTGACTATCCCTATACAATGTATGTTGTCAATTATGGGAAATGAATGATTGATTGATTGATTGATTGAAGGTATATAATTAAAGCCTAAAAGCACTAAACCTAACCTTATGTGCCACCATATCGCCTGGTTCGGGTGACATAGGCAATATGAACAAAATCAATGTGGCGGATGTTACATCCAAAATAGTGGGTGGTTTCGAATCTTTTATGTTCACCAGTGTATCGAGTGGAATGTCAATTGATGAAGGAGAAAATGTGCAATCATATAAATATGAATATAGTTTAGTGTAAAATATACCAAATACCAAAAATATATATTTATATTTCAGTCTTTAGAACTAGAGTTATCTATCAGCAGTTCTGAATATCAGTGGTGCAAAAAGAACATATCCAATGCACCACTTATATCTTTTTTCTAAAGATGAAACTTTTCTGTTGAAAGTTTAGAATTGTTTGGTTTGATTCTGAAAAATATATGTATAGGTTTTTTTTGGATTGAACAATCGTAAATACACTATCATTTTAGTTTAAATGAAACAGTTGTGGTAACACATAGTAGAGTGTGCATGTTATGTAGTCATTAACGGATAAAATGTGAAAGATTGAAGTGAATGCAAAATTCTGAAAAACTTTAGCCTGACCACAAAAAAAAAGAGTACATAAAATATATTAAAAAAAAACAACTTGAATGCTGAATGCTTTCATTTTATTGTGAAAGATAGTGTTTTGGTGTTGGATATTTCTAATGTCGATAAAAATGAAGCAATTGGCACTTATCTTGTGTTTTTTTTATTTGTTGTAATCGGGTCACAGTTTTTTGAAGTTTTTTTTCATTGTAGTGAAATATTAAAAAAATCATCTGATAGATAGAAATTTTGATAATAAAAAATTGAGCAAAAATTATATCCTAATACAACATACCACCAAGTTCCAGTGAATACAATATACAGAATCGATCATCATCACATCATTGAATCAATGACTGGAAGAACTTTGACCTGATATTTCCAAAAGGGTAAATAGGGAGATGAGAAGAGATAGGATGACCAGTACAATAATCTGATCTCACTCTGTTAGATTTTTCGTGAGAGGAATGTTAAAAGTGTCGTATACAAAACTAAGACAGTTTTATTCAAAATTAGGAAACTGCCAAGACATCCGAGGCGAATATATTGAATATCTAATAATAATTTTAGATAATTTTAGGTAAAATTGAAATTGGTTTATAAATAATCACTTGTTCTCTTTAATTCGTCACATGATCTTCATTTCCTGATTTTAATAAAGGTTTGACTTCGTCATTTTACCCATTACTTCGGGCTGAAATTAATGAAGTAATGTTTATCAGCTTACGAATCAGTGGCACTAATTCTGATTCAACTTTTTTACAATTTTATTCATGGATTTAGCAGAGTTGCTGAATTTTTGTCCAAAATATTTATTTTTGCCAATACAAATGGTTTTTCACTAGTAAACAAGGGTTACATCAGTCTCAAAATATCTTTACCGAAAATAGATTTGGAAAATTTCTCTTATTCTCGCAGACTCCCCAAGAGACAATTCTGAAAAATGCTAATATAAATTTTTTCAGGACATAGTAGAAATGGAGAAAGCTACAACGTCTAAAGAACCCCTATGCAAGCAAAAAATCCACCGAAAAGTCTTAGATAAAGGACTGCCAGAAGACGTTATGCCAGGAATAAAAAATATCAAGGTTTATTTAAGGTGAGCTTGGTTGAAAGGTGTACGTTTCTACATGAAATATTTCCAGGAAGAATTGCCACCTGTGCCCTTATCCGGTATGTTGAATAAGCACGGGGGGAAAGTTAGGTTAACTTTTAAATTGGAAAGCGATCAGTTGTGGTTGAGTACCAAGGAAAGAACCGAGAAGTTACCCATGGGCTCCATCAAAAGTGTAGTTTCGGAACCTATAGAGGAATACGAGCAGTATCATATAATGGTAAGACAATTATCTTGAACACAGCTCTATGAAAGCACTGGAGCACCACAGAGTATTTTTTATAGTTGATTATCTATAATTGACAATTCAAACTTTTGATTATTCATATTTGACAGTTCCAACGGTTGATTACCCGCAATTGACAGTTTGACAAATTCGAAACTGTTCCAGTTTTAACCTTAATTAACACTTTGAATTGTCGATTATAGTTTAAACTGTTGATTGTAGCAAATCTATAGTTTTAACGGTTGATTATTCATTCATAAGTATCTACAGAACAGCATAACTATCCTAATACCACAAAACAACAAAAATATAATTATTAAAAATAGGAACACAAGATAAAATGAAATACAAATCACAAACAGCAAACATAGAGACATAGTCACAAACTGACTGTCAATCAGGTTCTCTTTAGATTGAGGAAAATGTTCCATGGTTTGTCAGCATTGGAATGGATTATTCTTCACAAGGAAATTCAGGCACTGGTAACAAAGCACATACTTTTCTGACTGACCTGAAATATCACTCACCTAATAAAATAATGGGCTTTGTTAAGAAACTGAATATAGTTGATTGAGTTTGATTTGGAGTCTGCCACAATAAAAAGCTCACGGGTTGAATAGACTTACTTCAGACCTATCTACTTATCTGAAGAAATTATCTAGGTCGGTTTGAATTATTTAACGGTCATCTGAAGAAGTTACTTGTCTATAAACATTTTCAGATTAGTGTAGAGTGAGACTTTTGAGTGTTGAAATATCATTAATGAATAATGAAAATATAATTGCACCAATATATGATTCTTGAGGAATACCTAAAGTTGCTTAAATATTCTTGGCGAGATCAGTGTAAATCACATTGAAAAATTTCCTCGGGTTCCATGAAATGAAGATACTCTGGCATTCAGCACTTTCATAAAATCCTAACACTCAGTTTTCACACCATTTCTTACAGGGAATTCAATTGGGGCCCACCGAAGCTTCTCGATATTGGATCTACTGGGTTCCAGCACAGTATATAGATGCCATTAAAGATGCTGTTTTGGGAAAGTGGCACTATTTTTGATTTGGAGGCATTTCCGCTTAGAAAAAAGCTGATCATTATAGAGTTGAAAAAGTTTGCAAAAGTGACGGTTATATTAACCATCATTATGCATTCTACTCAAGAGAATAACATCTATTTTCGTTTGTTATAGTAAATTCTCGTAGATTTTATAATTTTATACATTTATATGTTTTGCTCGATCAGGATAATTCTCAACGGAAATTCAAACTACTTGTTTCTACCGAATTATGTATTCACTTTTGTCAGAAGATTCGTCAATATAATGTAAATGATCGCATAGTAAACTCCTTGATGAGTATCTATTTTACTGAATACATTGTTTATTCCATTGGTGGAGTTTTATTTAATTTTTTTACTGATTCATATTCATATAAAACAATAAGTACTCGCCTCAAAATCCAGGTATTTCACATATGATCGTCAAAAGTTTGGTCCTTCGAACCGGATTGAAAGTAATTTTTTGAATACTTTCACCTTTTTTACATGAGTCTCTTGAACACATTTTCTTGTCATTAATTTCATAGGTTTCCAGCCAAAAGTGTTTCTCCACTAGTTTGTAATTAGTTTTTAAGTTGTCATCAGATTTATAATGGAAATAATTGAATCATCTTGTAAATTGAAAGGGATGGATTTTGAAATAGAAAAGTCCATATTTCAGAGTTATTTTTGTTATTGAAGTCAACTTCGACAGTAATCAAATACTCGTAATTTGATAACTAGTGCCAAAAAGTTGAATCGGAAATGGAATTTGAAAAATGAGATGCAGAACTAATAATCTTTAACAAAAACTTTAATTGCTTATAAAAATAGCTGATGTGAATATTTACAACTACACCAGCAAAACATTAATTTTCGCTGAGTTACTTTCTTCTTTACTCACTTCACTTTCAGCATCATCACAGGCTTCCAGTCGCATCCGTAATGTACTTGTATCTAAACCCTAAGAAGAATGCCCAAAATAAATTAAAATGAACTACATTCCTGAGTGTGATGATAAAACTATACAATCACGTGATTGGATATTTGATAGGTAGAATTAGAACCTCTGGCGTCAAATGATTCTTTAGATTGATTGGATATTGCTTTGTTCAAAAGACTTGTTGAGGTTGTGAGATCATTGACCAACTTATTAAAAAAAAATTCTGCCATTGTTGGAGCATTACGCAGGTGTCCAAAATTGAAACCAGAAATAGCAAAAAAAATTTGGACTCACATATTCTTAGCCGGATTAAATATTTATTAAATATACGGTGATTATGCTGTAAAAATACCTTCAACAAAATTTCCATTGTTTGTAAGAAAACATTAAAAGTACTGAATCGTCTTTGTGACATTCCAACTAACCATCTGAGAAACTATGAAAATATCGTAGAATTCAAAAAATTATCAAAAGAATTCATACTTCAGGGAAAAAACTAGGATAAATAAACTATATTCTTTTTGTGAAAAACCAGTTTGAATGTCCTATATTTGTATAATAAGATTTGTGAATAATCTTATACGAGAATAAGTCTGTCTGATTATTCAAGCTCTTATTTAAACATTATATATATGTATGTACGTATACAGTGCCTTCATTTCGAAACTTCCCACCCCTAGTACTTCGTGTAGCAGGGAGAATTTGCTGTAGGCAAAAAACACGTCAATTTAGATATCGAGGGGAAAGTTTAAAACCAGTGCCAGTGGTATTTTAGGTTCAACCCCCTTACCCCTAGCTACCCCCACTTAATAATTTTAAATGGCACCCCCTATCTTGTAACACATCATTTTAAAGATCTTAAAGATCCTCACTCAACCCCGTTTAGAAAACTGAAATTAGTTGATCCGTTCTCGTATAATAGGGCAAAAATAAAATGAATTATAACAAAATGCAAAAATTTATGGAACCGCTACCACTGACTCAATAACGGTATGTTTATGTCTGTTTTTTACAGGTTTTTGCTTTAGCTGAAAGTGAGATAAGGGCACACAGTTGCTTCTTGGCGTCAGTTACAATTAAATGGTGAAAACATTTGTCAAAATTAGTTATTCCTGATTTTAAACTGTTTGTCAAGTGGTGTCAGTTGCAACTAAAGTGGTGTCACAGGGAGATGCTTGAAAATTATTTGGACATCAAATCCTGACGTCACCAACTTAGTGTCTTTTAAATTTGGTTGTGTATATAGGTTCCTTTGCTACCTAGCAAGAAGTAATTCAAGATGGGGCGGTTTATTTTTGATGCTTCGGGAAAATGCTTATGTTTCAATTATATCCTTACCGTGGTAGCAATTATATCATCTTGTATATTCATATTCGAGGCGGAAGTTCCTTCGTGGTGTAATAATACTTCCTCAGGTTTACAGAGCACGCAATTTTTAGTTTTGGACGTTTTCGAAGAAGTATACAAAGCCAATCTTTCTTTGGATAATTGTATCTTTTCCTCAGATAATTTTTTCTCCCTATTCGAAATCGACACCCATTGATTCTGCAGCTCTTGCAGTCTCTCATTGTATATATTCTCCACCCTTTTGGCATTTGTAAGAAGTTTTCGGTTCTCTTTCAGTTTTCTGTTCGTTTCTTGTACCAACAAGTCAAGTTCGGTTTCTTTCTCTGTCAGTTCTCTTTCTCTGTCGGCAAGGTTTCTTCTAGCAGTTTCCAGTTCTGATTTTTGGCGAAAGAGAGCCTCCCTCTCTTGGTTCACCTTCTCTGTGAGTTCTTTGGTCACTTGAATGGCAGTTTCTGCTTCTCTTTTCGCTTTTTCGGCTTCGAAGTTGGTGGTCAATTTACTGGAAGTCTCCAGTCTTACTTTTTCGGTACTTATTAAAAGTTTTTCTTCGGTTAGTTGCGTGATCATTTTTTCTTGTTCCGCTAGTAACGATTCCTTTAGAGTCTAAAAATAAAAGTTGAGTATATAATTAAGTCATAAAAGTTTTTTCAAATATACGGGGTGTTCCTTAACGATATGCCAATATATTCAAGGGTGTAAAGTACATGAAAAAATAATGTTAAACTGTCCCGTAACGAAAATACAAGGTGTTGAAGTTTAAACAAAAAAAATGTAAATTATTTAATATTTCCGAAACCATTTGGGATATTTCAGTGTTATTTGGTAAGTATGACAGTTTATAAAAGTTTATATTTTTCAATCAAAAAATAATTTTCAACTTTAACAGTGGCTTGGGTACGGAATTGACTTTGATATTTTTGAGGAAAAAAATGATACACCTACGGACTTTTCTCAAATACATTTCATTTTTGAACTCCTCGTTCAATTTGAGATGAAAAAGTCCTCCTAAGTGATAACAAAAGACCAATAAATTGGTCTTGGTAGGAGATCATCATGAGAAATGAAACTTTCTATGTTTAATACCAGTGTTAGTATAAAACAGAAAGTTTTATTTCTCATTTTTCATCAAAAGACTTCATTCTTGAATCGTTAATTTATGAGATGACACTTTCTATCATACACAATTATATTAATATTATCACCTTCAATTGTTCTCGTTCTCTCTCGATTGAATTTCTGTTGAATTCTGCTTCTCTTTCTAGGGCAGTTGCTCTGGCAGATAGAGTAGCAGCAGCCTGTTGAAGAGCCCATCTATCTTCTTGAGCGTTAGCACTCTGTTCAGCAATTTTGGTCTCTAGATTCCTCACCAAAGCCATTAGCTGAGCTCTTTCATTTTCGGCTGAATCTCTGCATTTTTGTAAAGTGTTTCTCATTACTGAAATCAAAATATTATATTGAATATGTTCCCAAAAAATGGGTAAGTATCCATCAAATTTCTGATCAAATGTAATACGTCTATTGACTTAGAAAAAATACAAGGAACTTTTATCTCATAAAACATACTTAAATCAATTGCTACCGTTTTCCGATGTGAATACTCTTCGGTTTTGCTAAAATTTGAAATTCCCCCTCTTTGTGACGAAATGAAATGGCGTACACCTGAAGTCAAATAAACGAGTAAACGATATAACTATCTTGTCCCCTTCAAAGTAGTCTCCACCCACTTTTGCCAAAGTTTTTCCAATCCTCGAAGCAGTTCTGATATGCACTTTTTGGTATGTCCTTGAGCTTTCTCAGCGATTAGATTTTCATTTCCTCAATCGTCGCAAAACGCCGTTCTTTCCAGGAACTCTTCAATCTTGGAAACGGGAAAAAGTCTCAAGGGGCCAAATCTGGAGAATACGGTGGCTGAAGCATGACTACGGTGTTGTTTTTGTCCGAAAAATTACGAACAAGCAATGACGATTGAGCAGGTGCATTATTGTGATGCAAAATCCATTAATTGTTTTTCTACAATACCGGACGTTTTCTTCGTATTGATTCCCGCAAGCGGTGCATATCTTCAAGATTATACCCCTTATTGACCGTACGACCATGTGGCAAGGATTCCTGATGAACTACGCAACGGTAATCGGTGAAAATAGTGAGCAAAACCTTGGCATTTGATCGAACTTGGCTTGCTTTTTTTGATCTTGGCTCTCCTGTATTCTTCCATTGGGACGATTGGACTTTGCCATAACCATATATCCATGATTCGTTACCAGTTATGACCCTTTTGAGCAAATCTGGATCGCCGTTGACGTCATCGCAAAATTTCCGAAAAAATTGCCTGGCATGAGCCAACCGATATGCCGACATTCTCAGCAACTTCTCTAATAGTGATTCGACGATTCTCCATAAGTTTTCTTCACTTTCTTAACATTTTCATCAGTTGTTGATGTGTTGGGGCGTCCAAAATGAGCTTGTACCACTTGTAAACTTTTTTCCGACTCCGCATACTCACCGTATGCCACTGTCAACATGTCAAGTGTTATTGAGCACTCAATTTCATTTTTCACAAAAAATTTGACGCAAATTCTTTGATCCAATTTTTTCGGTAGCAGAAAATTGCCGAACACGGTAAACATTTCTAATTGTTAGTTGAAACTGTGAACATATGTTTGAAACGAGTATACCAACATAAAAAAATGAACGCTAATCGGATGTACGTAGCCCGCGAAATTCAAACATTCACCCTATTTTTTGAAGAGACCTCGTACATTCTTTCAATAAAATGGTTACAGTTTCCAGAATTCGATTATTTTTCGTGTGTTATAAGCGAAAGTTATTACTTACGTACGATTTCCTTTTCTTTTGACTCAATTGACTTTTCTCTGGCTATAGCAAGGACGTCGTGTGTTTGATAGACTTTTTCTTCGATTTCTTGAAGAGTTTTCGTGCTGCTAGTCAACATTTCAATACCACTATCGATTTTTTCGGTGAGTATGCTGCCATTTTCCAATATATTTTGTTCCTTTCGCTTCATTTCTTTGATATAGTCGATTTGGTTGTCGTGGTCCAACTTAATTTCTTCTATTACCTTTCTGTGGTTGTCCCTCAGCGATTTAATTTCTTCGCTATGTTTTTGCTTACATTCCTTCATTTTCTCTTCGTAATGTGCGATTTCTTCTTCATGTTTCTTTCTTAGGGCAGTAACTTTTTCGTCAAAAATCTCCGACATGGTTTTCAATTCATTCTGAAGCTTATCCTCTAGCGCTGAACTTGATTTTTCTACCAAGTCGATCTGTTTCCTAAAAAAAACTTCATTTTGTATATATGATGAATAATCAACACATGGGGTAATGCCTCGTACATTTATTGAGTTTCCTCTACATCAGAATCAGTTTAGTTGTAAAACAAATTGAGATTCAAAAATTTTAATTAAAAAAAAATTGAATCACAATGAATTTATAGGATAATTTTAGAATGTTCTGTGATTTTCAACAATCAGATCTCATGTTTTTTGATTTATGTCCTTACAAGTTGCTCATCATTGATATTTGAAAATAAGGTTTAGTTGACATATGTGAAGAAAAATAAACTATACCGGGTGATTCTCTAAGGTGGCTCCCCCTTTAACATTTTTATTATTGGAGAGAAAAACGAAATTTCGGGGGTTGAGCAATATAGTTCAATTTACATTTTTGACATATTTACTTGCTTTGCCGTACTTCCGGTTTGACCTGAAATGACCCCAACATTCGATTTTTTAATGGGACATCCTATATTTTTTTACTTATTTCGACCGAGAATGACATTCCAAATCCAACAATACTTCACTTGTCAATATTTGACAAATAAAGTCATTTTTTATTTCAATTTTTATTTTTTGATCTAGAATCGCTTCATTTTTGATCAAGTAACATGAAAAAACTACGACTTTGAGGTTTATGACTTCACATTTGTTTTAAGAATTATTTCACAGTCGCAAATATGAATTTTTCCAGTCAACTTGATTTTTTCAAATGGAAAGGGGATGGCTGCCGCCGTGGGCTTTTTGCGAAAGATCATTTTCTTACGAATAATTTGATGCCACACACTTTCACTTTATTTTCTCAATTTTTCTTTTATCATTGCAAGAAAAGGTCATACCTAATAACGGCGGTCGGTAGCCAGGGGGTTCGACGTGGGTGCTTGGTCACTCACTCGAATTGACTGCCGTGTTGCTCGGTGGTTGAAACCCTAGTCTGAATGATCGATTTTCACTTGGTATCGTCCAACCCGTGTTAGGAATCACACGTTAAAAGATAAGACCTCGTTAATCTTTAGTTCGCACAAGTTTCCACTTCTGAGGGGTGTCGTTCGATGGGGTGCGACAACTGGTTAACGAAAAAACAGATTTTAAAACAGATTTTTTTTTCAACAAATAATACGTATTTCGGTATACTAATGCACTAAGTCCTGTTATTCTAGTTATCCGTGACAAACAATTGAAGCTGTTGCTAGGACTACCTAAACAAATAGGCTAATTAATATGGTGTCACTTTTAAAAATTTATTTGTTGTGTAGTTTATAATTAGATATGGCATATTATACTAGAAATGAGAAAATTGACAAGTTGCTAATTTACGGAGAAACAAAAAAAAGTGCAACTGATGCAGCTCGAATTTATGCTCAGAGGTTCCCTAATCATCGCCATCACACTCGGCATTATTTTCCAAAACTGGAAAGAAAAATGCGAAATGAACCAGAAGAAAATGCCAATAACTTCATTGTCAGTGAAGAAAAAGAAGTAGACGTGTTAGCATATGTTGAAGTGAATTGTATGGCATCAATTCGCCAAATTGTTTCTGAGTGTGATATAAGTTATTCGTCCGTTTGGAGAATTCTTCACAAATATGATTATCGATCATTCAAGTACCAACTACACCAACATCTTTACGATAACGATCACAACCGAAGATTGACTTATTGCAACTGGTTTTTGACTAAATACAGAGAAGATGTACGTTTTCCATTTTAAATTATTTATTCAGATGAAACCCGATTCATCAACTTGGGTATGTTCAATAGGAATAATAAAAGTTACCTACTAGTCTAAAACAAATTTACATCTGATGCATAAAGGAAATTTTCAAGAGCGATTTAGTTTCAATTGCTGGATGGGTATTATCGGAGGAAAACTTTTGGGGCCAATAATTTTCGACGGACATCTGACTGCGGAAAGATATCTACAGTTCCTTAGAAATCAAATTAATGATTTCATTGAAGATTTGTCACTGGCTAACCAAGTTGATATTTATTTTCAACAAGATGGAGCGCCACCTCACAATTCTCAAGTCGCAAGAAAACATCTGAATGACACCCTGAAATGTGGATTGGCACTTATGGACCTATTCAATGGCTTTGAGTTGTCATATTTTCAAATGAATGTATTATTTCTTTCTCATATTCTTTCTTGCAATTATCCAGAAAAATGGAGAAAATAATGTGAAAGTGTGTGGCATCAAATCATTCCTAAGAAAATGATTTTTAAGAAAAAGCCGACGAGCCACTCCCTTTCCATATGAAAAAATCAAGTCAACTGAAAAAAATTATATTAGCGACTGTGAAATAGTTCTTAAAACGACTGTGAAGTCATAAACCTCAAAGTCGTAGTTTTCCCATCTTACTTGATCAAGAATGAAGCGATTTACACGATTCATGGCATTCTAGATCAAAAATTGAAATAAAAATGATTTAATTTGTCAAATATTGACAAGTGAAGTATTGTTGTATTTGGAATGTCATTTTCGATCGAAATAAGTAAAAATATATAGGATGTTCCATTTGAAAATCGAAAGTTGGGGTCAATTCGGGTCAAACCGGAAGTACGGCAAAGCAAGTAAATATGTCAAAAAATGTAAATTGAACTGTAATAAACAACCCTCAAAATTTCGTTTTTCTATCTCCAATAATAAAAAAGTTATAGGGGTGAGCCACCGTAGAATATCACCCGGTATATGGCATGTCGCTTCAAGTTAACTTTCGAATTTTTGTGTATCATGTCGTTGGCACGGGAAGTGTAGCTTCGAATAAAAAAGTAAACTTCAAAGTTATGTGGTGGAATTGGCCGACACTAGATGAAAATCCAAAATTACCAATAGTACACAAATTCTTGAAAGTGACTGTGTCAAATATCTTGGAATAATGATTGATAGACATCTAAAATGTGGCCATCAAATAAATTACATTGTGAAACAAATAAGAAACCTTTTTCCAAAATTCAAATTTGTGAAACAATTTTAAACATGCATTCATTTGTCATTCTTTATTTTTATTTGATAGAATCTCAGATGAGTTATGGAATTTCAGGCTGAAAGAAATAAAAAGTTCGCTTACTTGTACGATTCTTCCATCACAAACATTTCCTCGTTATGACGCTGTTTCATTTTATTAATAATTTCGGGCATCCAAGAATCTTCCTGATCTTCCTCCTCCTCATCCTTCCTTTCATTAATTTTCTCGTTTCGCGCGGTCAGAGGGGTTGAGATCAACATCTGTATCTGATTATTGATCCTCTCCTGCTGTAACCTGATATTATTTTCTACGACCTGCTGTTTCATTATATACTCGTCTATCAGCGCGTTGAATTGCTTGTCCTGCTTGCCGAGAATTTCTTGCTGCTGATTTTTGATATCTTTCAAGGCTTCCTCGTACTTTTTGAATTGCATCGAAACCAACAACAGCGATTCTTGCTGCTGCAAGGAAGCGAAAGTGTTTTGCAACTCCATATTTATATGTTGAGGTTTCAATTGGGACGGAAAGTCTTCCACTGCAACAGAGCTGGTACTCTCAATGTTTTTTGGAGGTATTTTCTCGATGAGTTTCTCGCTGTCTGCGGTTGTGGGTTTTGGGGCCTGTTTGATCGGAGTACTTTCACTGGTTTTCTTCTCACTTCGTTCCGTGAATGTTGTTTCAGATTTATTTGTAACACCAAGCCAATCTGGAATTCCTGGAAATAGAGAAAAATGTGTCAAATTATTCGTTCAATCTTTTGGCCAAGTCAAAATCCTTGTCAGCGAAAAAATCAACATTTTCAAAATATGATTACCTATATGGCTATGAATATTACTGCAATTGTAAAATTAATTTAGGGTGGTACACTTGTATGGGTGGTATTACTGATTACCTACCTGTATGATGTACCTGATTAGTATAAGTAGCTTTAGTTTTGAGTAGTTATTAGTTTTATCTTCCTCTTGAAGATGATCACTTGGTGATCGAAACACGTGTCGAGGTGTAAAAATAACGAAAAAACTCCAGTAATATTCATTACTACACCAAAGGTTCCAAACAGTATATCACAAGAACCTATTTGGCTAGGTTGAAAAAATTAGTTTTCCGCCTACCTCTATCCAAAGTATACATTTCCTGGCCTTATTGTAGGGAGCAAAGTCGTACTTTTCCTCACTAGGGAGGAAAAGTAAAAGTGACGTCATGGTACATAATCAATGAAATAATTTTATAGGGCATTGACAACCTAAACTATATTCTATTATATAAATATAAAGTTTACCGTTTATTTATAGAACAACCTGTATTTTGCAATATTATTCGATGCTACGTACCATGCTTCAAATAAAAGAAAATATGGATATTAAATACCCAAAATTAATTGCTTTCTTGAAAAGGCAAAACCAAGGATATGAACCTAATAAACCTTCCTTCTCAAGAGAGGAACTAAATAAATTTTTATTAGAAGCCCCCGATAATAATTATTAGGCTCAGTAGCGCAGTGAGCGGTGCACCGCTCATTATTCATGACGGCCTTGTAGTTTTTGGTTCGAATTCCAGCGTCGACAGTTTTTTTCTTTTTTTTAAATTATTATGTTTCTTTGTTTTGTAGGTTCTCCTCATTTTCGGAATTTCAGGAGCATGCAGGTGTGACAAGCTCCTTAAAATGGCCACTACAGATATTGAAGATAAAGGATCAATATTAATAGTAAATATACCAAATTCTAAAACAAATATTCAGAGAATGTTTGTAATCAATGCTTCACTGGGGAATGGCCCTAATTATATTGATATTTATAGAAAATATATATATCGTTACGCCCTAAAATAGATCAGACACGTTTATTTGTCTGCTATAGAGCAGGAAAATGTATCAACCAAATGGTTGGGAAAAATACTACCTATAGCTAAAATTCCTACAAAAATTGCAGAATTTTTAAAACTACCTAATGCCATAAATAATACCGGGCATAGTTTCAGAAGATCCTCGGCAAGTTTACTTGCAAATTCTGGAGGAGACATTCTTACTTTAAAGCAACACGGAGGTTGGAAGTCTACAAATATCGCTGAAGGATATGTGCAGCAATCTCTTGCTAAAAAGCAAACAATTTCGAACCTAATTATGGGAGTCACTAAAGTTAATAAAACTGATTGTAATCAGCCAAGTACGAGTATTTTCGAGGGATACCAGCTGTATAATAATATAGTTAGTGAAAATATCACGAAAATTGCGTTGGATCCAGCTCTCAGTTCTAGTGGTATTCAAATAACCACTGCTCAAAACTGCACGTTTAACATCACTATAAATAATTACTGTAGCAGAAATTAAAAATATGTAGGATGCAAGTATGAAAATACCGTCCCTATGAGTTATACTGTACCTACTTCTCAGTTTTAGTTCTTTAATAAATTTTGTTTGTAAGTTTCATAAATAAATTATTTAAAAATTTGAGGGAGGCGGCAAATTAAATGTATAACATGGGGGTAAAGTGAATTTTCCTCCCTTGAATGATTACTGCCCTCCGCTACGCGTCGGGCAGTAAACTTCATTCTCGGGAGGAAAAGTAACACTTTCCTCCCTTGTTATACAAATAGCTATTTCCTCTTTTGATGAAAATCAGTATACACCTTAATCAGTACTTAAAAGTGGTAGAAGAGCTTCAGATTAGTCTGTCTCTAAGGGTGGTACCGGTGGAAGAGTACACGAATGCTTTCGATATTGAGTTGGTAATAGACAAATGCGCAAATATCTATGTTGGAAGAGAAGAAGAGTGACACGAGGCTTACGGAGAGGATTTGTATCTAGTAGATTCATCCGAAGCATCCTGCAGCTTCTTGATACAGGACAGACTCATCTGGAGGTTGAACAACATCACTAACAAGAGCCAGACGCTGTAAAGAACTTTTTCTGCAGTAAGTATCCGAGAGATCTTGTTCTAGGAGCTGTCAAGGAAGAACAAAGTTGGTGTTACAAGTATGCTTGCCGTTCCGATCCCAACCTACGATCCTCTGGGTATTGGGTTGGAAGTAATTGGAAAATGATGTGTCTCTGAGCGAGTTTGCATCCCAAAGCAGCTATATCACGGTTATATCGTATTGTATGGTGCCTATAAAGTCGTCAGGATCATCTCCTCCGCATAGTTCGCGACTATAAAATAGCAAGTGTTGGAGCATTTCTTTTCAAATCAGCTGCCTCAGCGGTCGATGAATTTGATGACCAGAACGAGATGATCAGAACCTTGTCACAAAAATTCTGCAGAGACTACTAAACAATTTCAAGTCGATGTATGGATTTTTCAGCGACAATAATGAAGTCCTTGGCTTGTATAATCACCTTAATGTACACCTTAATATATTGAAAGTGTACATCTAAATGTATACTTTCAATTCTGTTTCTGGTGAAATCTGTTTTTCCGTTAACCAGCTGTTGCCTTCCTACGAACGACAACTCTCAGTAATCGAAACCTTGGCGAGCTTAGGATTAACGAGGTTTCACCTTTTAAGGTGTGATTCATATCACGGACGTAGAATCAGAATACAATAAAAGTCACATCTCAAAGCATTCATATGAAAATAAACTAGTTAAAGTAATAGATCAAAAACAGTATCTAACATGAATAGTCCACAACTTTCCTGAATCCTTTGTGAATTAATATAGTTTGAATATGTAAAAGCAAGTGATTAAACATTTTCTTGGAATTATACAGTTCGTTGTTTAGCTTATCCCACTATTACTATCTCAGAAACGGTAAGACCTACAATGTCGGTTAAATCGGACGAAAGTTTCCTGTTTTGGGAAACTAGAATAATGTGTATTCGGATCGAGAATATCAGTAGTTGTTTTTGAAATAATCACCAAAAACTAGAATTATGGAAATTCATTTTTTTGGCTCTACCTCCTCCAATTTTGAAAGACATAAAAAAAAGACGAACTTTCATATTTGTCATAGTCTGATGTAAACCAATTTGTATTGCGACATCTCGTTCATTAGATTTCATCATAAACTTTAATTTTTCAAATACGGACCTCTAGTTTTTTTCATGGATTTTTGTAGCCACTGAAATAACAAATTAAATCGTAATGGTCATTTTGGATCCAGTTTTGTATTAATATTTTTCTACTTATTTTTCAGTCAATCGAGCGTCAAGAATTCAATACAAACATTCTTCTCGACTTAAGTTTCAACAAACAAGTTAGCGCCAAAAAGTCAACCAGGGTTGCGCAGTAACATTTAAAATTTAACCGAAATTGTCACAATTGAAAAATTAGATATACTATTCGATGTTATTGACTACTCTACGATAAAAAAATTATAGAGAGAAGACGCGGAAAGTTGCCCAAAGGCAAGAGGAGAGAGTATGTTGAATAATAAAATATCTGAGCTTCAATTTTTTTGTTTTTATAGTTAGCTAAGAATTTTCCAGTTCTCATGCTCCACTTTGCTGTTTTCAGATTTTCACGAGCACCCAAAAGTCTAGTGTCATTCCAGTCTCAACATTTTTGAGCAATGGCCCTTCATTCTGAGTCTGACCTACAAAACGTGTTGAGAGACAATATACTTCTCAGGTCTCCAACATCATATATGCGTCGCGTTCTTTGAAACGAATTTCAGTAGGTTCTTTAGTCAGACCAAGATTCTTCTCTTGCACCTCTCACAGCTAATTTCATAAATGTCGGACTCTTCTTGGTTCATATGGAACAACAAAAAACTGTGACATATTTTCTTTTCGAAAAATCGAGGAATTAGAAAAACACTATCTAAAGTTACGTTTCGTAATTAACTCATCATGTTTGGAGGGGATACATAATCTAGGTTTTTCACTCCTATGAGTTTTCTAAGAGCTGTTCGAGTTTCAATGCACAAAGTAATCCTAATTGATCTAGGAAAATTGATTTTTAAGATTGACGAAAATTATACCCCCAAAAAAAATTCATGAAACTTCGGCTCCTCTGCAGAAAATGTTAAAAAAAAATAAGAGCCAATAAACCTTATGAGTTAACGATAATTGATAATATAATTTTGAGTCACCTACCTGTGTCACTAACAGTCTTATTTCTACTCGAGAAATCTTCCGTTTTCGGTCCAGTTTTTTTGTCTTTGCTAAAGAAATCTCCAGACTGAAACTCATCCTGAAACAATCCCAACCCCAGAGTGTCTTCTACACCAGTTGCTGACCCTCTTCTACCCCTCCTTCTTTCCCTATTCGCACCAGATGAGAACAAACCAAAATCTCCGGATGTTTCTTTTTCCGATGTTTTGATATCTTTCAAGGAAGTGGAAGTCTTTGGACCGGCAGTGACTTTGCTTTCTTTCAGTATATCTTCCAGGGAAGTAACTTTCCTCTCCGGTTTGGCAGCCTTAGGCTTGATCGACAAAATGTCTTCTAAAAAATCAGTCTTCTTACCTTTATCACCTGGTGAATTTGTAGAATCAAGAAGCCAATCGTCTTTGGGTTTTCTGGAAATGGTGGGGTTCTTTTCCGTCTCAGGCACAGAATCTTCGAATTTGACGGTTTGCTTGGGTTTACTGGGGAAACCGCTCTCGTTTTTACTTACGATATCATTTGAACTTTTATCTGCTAAACCGAATAAACTATCCAGGGATTTTTTTTCTGGCGTTTTCGTTAAACTTGCTCGCTTGGTGAGAGCTTTAGGATCTTCGAAAAAACTGTCGTCGCTGTCTAAAGCGTCGTCCAAATCAAAATCCATTTCTCAGTTATAATAATTTAAATAACTTCAACACGGCTTCCACGGATTTTGGTTGATGACACAACAAACATATTCCATAATACCAGGGAGACCAAATGTTTGTATTCTGGTTGCTAGGCAATGTTGCTGGGTTCTTTCTCAATTTCAAATAAACTTCATTAGGTACTAGGGTTACCTATTCTTCTTCTGCCTCAATCTTCACTGGTTTACGACTTTTCTTTAAACATCCCAATTTTTTAATTTCTTCGTGTTCCATTTATGTCCAAAATTTTTCACACAATACGTACTTGTAAAGGATTCTTCAACTGCAGTTACCAAAATAATTTCACGGACAATGGTCCAGTACGAATAATTTGAGAAAACATAAATAAATAACACTCTCATAGACATCTAGATGCCTGTTATTGTTAACTTATCTAACTAATCTTAATGAAATAAAGTCTATGGAATGGTTTTGTTGCAAAATATGATGGGCGACTGCTGATTGTTTTGTTCTTCCATATTATAGGTCTGCCAAGTGTTTCTCATATCTTATTTTGATAGATCGTAAATTCCAGACTTTTGTATTTCCTAATAGGCTCTGTAGTGTATGACTTGTTTTAGAAACCACCTCCATACCTAGTTCCTTGAAAATCTTTCCAAAGTCCTTCGTGTATTGGTGGTATGGAACTGAGATATATTTATCTTGGTTTTCGTCGTTTAAAAAAGTCGAGATTTCGTTCATTCTCAACCTGAACTTTTTCTTCCTTATTATATCATTTATAATACCCCTCTAGAAACCGTTACTGGCTGCTATTTCCTGCATTGTATGTTTTTCTTTGGTGAACCTTTCATGTGTGAGAGGAAAAGTCAAAAGACGATGCACTAGAAAATTCAGCCCAGCACGATTGTGCTGTCCACAGTGATGTATGTAAACTGTCAGTGCTTATTTCCTTTCTAAATACATCGTATTCTAGCCCTCCATATTGGCTCCTTATTACCAAAACGTCAAGAAATGGAAGTTGTCCTTTATTGAATCGACATATTATGTAAAATTAAAGTATTTACATTTATTTATCCTTTTTAAACATTCTTGGTCATCTTCTCAACAACAAATGAAAATATAATGAATACTGGGTTCGTCCCGTTTGTTTTCCTATAAAACTATATAAATAAATGAACGAATAAAAATAAATAAATAAATTACGCCCTATTGGGGTAAAAACTAATGTTCTTTGTCGTCGGATTCAAAGAAAGTTTCGGATTCTGTTGACTCTTCGGAATGTTAAACGCCACTATTGTTTTCAAATCCAATATTTCATATACTATTTATCATTTCATCGTTTGTTAATTCTTCTGAATCACATAGGTATGTTTTTCATTTCAACATTGAAGCCTGTTTCAAAACCATGACTAAAAAAATTCGTGTATAAATCAGTTCAATCGAACACTCGGTACAAACTGTTTATCTTCATTAAGCGAGATAGAAGGCATATTTGGACATATGTGTCATGGAGCACTTGTGCTGGTACCTACTTGAACATGTGCGCAGTGAAAGTCATATTGGGGCCGATTTATGATTCACTGCAGGTCTTAGGATTACATAAGACAGCTTTTATAGAGAACATTCCGTGACGAAATGAAAACTTGATGCGTCAAAGACAGGAAAAGTTTCGTTTCTGAATCAAAAACTGAACTGATCGTTTTCAGTAAAAAACTCGAGATCTCCATACTTCGTAATGATTTATTGTATTACTGCCCCATATAGAGAGAAAAGTCGTCTAGAATAGAGGCAATTAGAATTCTTGAAGTTACGGCATTACAGCCATGCATTGGAATGATATGAATTCTTATGTGCATGATGGTTAGCATGTTAGAATTTAAAATTGTCTCCAGTCTCTGAAAATTAAACAAAAAATATGTAAAGCTGTTTTTAATTGCCTTTTCTGGAATAAAAATATAAAATAAAATAAAAAACAAGATATCTCAACTATCGATAACAATAAATAGTCAATGTTTGTTAGAGTTTTAAATGTCCTAGAAGAACAATGTAAGGTTAAGTTGACAATCAAAACGAAACAATGTGAAATTATTACAATAATTCAATTCAATTTATTCATTGGTATTAGAGATTACAGTGAAAGTAGTATAAAACACAAATTACATATAGGTAAATATTTTACATTTGAAACTGACAATTTAAAAAATCGAGTAGGTAAATTAAAATATATTATTGAATGAAAGTATCCAGTTAGTTGGAATAAAAATTCTTCAATATTATAAAATATTTTCGACAACAGAAAAGTTTTGAGATGGTTTCTGAAATTGAAGTTAGTAGTTTCCTTTTCAATTGATTCTGGGAGCTTATTGTCAATTCTTACACCATCGGAGATGGGTCCCCTGAGAGTTACATTCAAATTAGTTCGAGGTGTTTTTAGGTGGTGGTTAAATCTGGTTGAATAACTGTGATCATTAACTATGAGTGCTAATGCTTTTTTTATTTTTAAAAATGTAACAAGGTATTTCTAGAATATACAAGCAAGAAGAAGGAAGTATTTTCTGACTGGCAAATAATGGTCTGCATGATTCTCTCTGACTTCTGAGGTATTTTTATGCAGTACAAATAATTTCTGAGCTGCTGATGATGAATCCCATAATAAGATTCCATATGTGAGTCGTGACTGAATTACAGCATAATAAACTTTTTTTAGTAGGTACGGACAAGTTGAGAACTCTTTGTAGGCATTGCAGTTGGTATATTTTGCTGGTTAATTTGGATATTGTTTCTCTGATATGGTAGGTAGGTCTAAAGTGAATGGGTCTATTCGACCCTCCACCGCAACCCATAAGGGTTTATTGTGGCTCATACCTATTCACACTCGGCCAAATAAACCCAGCTTCTTAACGAAGCCGATTAGTTTGTATGGTGAGTGGTCTTTCAGGTCAGATGGTGAAAGTACGGATCTGCCGAACTCAAAGAACCTGATTCGGTCCCCAGCGGGGCAGGCACAAAGTATATGCTCTGCAGTTTCATCATTTTCCAGACAGAGGCGACCCACACTGTCTTCCGACAATCCAAGTCTCTGCATGTGATGATTCAAATGACAGTGACTTGTAAGAAGGCCTGTTAGACATCGTAGTTCATCCCTACTGTAGTCCAACTGTTTGGAATCAAGCTTCGAAGAAGGAATAAACGCCTTGGAGTGAGCCAATCCTGTAAGATTCTGCCAGAAGTCCATAACTCTTTTTGCCATCCAGGTGTTCAGTGTTTGTTTTGCAAAGCCCAAAGCGATGCCAATGACAGGTTCTGGTCCAATGAAGCCGCTTGCAGCATCCTTCTTTGCAAGAGAGTCAGCAGCTTCATTGCCTTCCAGGCCAGGAATCCAGACCAGAGACAATCTGTTTAGTCTTTCTATCAGGAGAATCTTTTTTGGCAGTTTGCTACCAATTTAGACGTTGCTCGGTTGGAGCCAAGAGCTTCCAACGCCGCTTGACTGTCCGAGAATATTTTTATTGACTTGTGAGTGAAGTTGCATTTATCCAATCTCTCCGCCCACAATTCAATAGCGTAAATTTCCGCTTGAAATACAGTCGCATAAGTTCCTAAGCAGGTAGATAACTCTGTCCTGGGTCTGCGACTGAAAACACCTTCACCAGAACCGGAAGGTGTTTTTGATCCATCTGTGAACCAACAACTATCTGCTCTTAATATTTCCTTCTCCCGGAGGATCCACTCCTCTCCACTCGGGAACAGTACTTTATAAGGCAGTTCGTAGTTGACAGTTGGAGGCATAAAGTCAGAGATCATTTCCAGAATGCTGTGACTTCCAATGTCAACCAACAGTCTGCATTGAATTGATTTGTGCAATTGGCAATGTGCACAAGTCTGTATGCAGTCCATCTAGCCTCTCTTTCCAGAAAAATGTGGAGGAGGTAGATCTAGAAGGATCTCCATGGCCGCTGACGGTGTGGTACTGATGGCACCACTGATAGCCAGACAAGCCTGTCTCTGTAAGCCAGAGAGCTTCGCTTGGGTCGTTTTCTGTAAAGCCTTCAGCCACAAAGCAATTGCACCATAAGTGATCATTGTTCTGAAATCATCACATAAATTCAATGGATTTGTTTGGGACCTAAACCCCAAGTTTTACCACAAATCCTTCGACATGTCCATAGAGACAGTCTGGCTTTGTGTAAAACTTTTTCCAAGTGAGCGTTCCAGGTGAGTCTTTTATCAAGGACAATGCCAAGATATTGCACCTCCGTTCCAAATGGAATGATCACACCATTGAGGGAAAGTGGCGTTAGATCGTCCAATTGCCTTCTCTTGGTGAAGGGGATTAACACAGTTTTGCTGGGGTTGACAGACATCTGCTCTCTCTGATATGATATGATTTTTTAGCCATAAATATGAATGACACATTAAATTGGGAAGTCTCTGATATGGACTTCCCAATTTAATGTGTCATTCATATTTATGCCTAAACATTTTATGTTTTCTCACTGTTTTAGTTTTACTTCTCCCATTTTAATTTCTGTGTTTTCAATACTCTTTTATCTAGAGTGAAATATTGAAAAATTTGTTTTATCAGAATTGACATATGATTTGTTTGTTGAGAACCAAAGTATAATTCTTATCATTAAATCGTTACAGTTTTGTTGGATGGCTTCTAAGGAGTCTTCTGCTACTAGGATCGACAGATCATCTACGTAAAGTGTTAGTTTGTATTCATCTAAGTATTTAACAATATCTGCTATATATAAATAGAACAATATAGGTGCAAGGACACTTCCTTGCGGTACCCCTACATTTATCGATATCAAATCTGAGTAGTGAATGCTGTTTTGTCCATTACATAAATTGTGAGATACTTCGATATTATATCAAAACAGAAAAGATTCAGATTCGTCAATAGTATGAAAGCATTTTCTGACTAGGAGTTCCTCAAGTTTATATTTGAAAACACCAGGGGATCCTGCGCTTTTTATTTCATTAGGTAACCTGCATTGATGGGATATTTTTTGTACCACCAGCTCGATAGTTTGATTCAAACTGGCTGAAAGACGTTTTCATGGGTTCTAAGGGTCTTGGGTAAGG